TAATAGTATATCTTTAAACCATTAATCGGATTCCATTTGAATATAACAAATTAAACTTTTATCAATTTATTCGAGTATTTCCCCCCCTAAAGAATATATATTTGACAATACCATCTTCTCCTTCATGCTCATCTCGTGTATCTTCCTCTTCCAGCCTCAAATCTCAAAAGAAGAAAGAAAAAAGAAACACACACACACACACACAAAGAAGAAAGGTAATTCTCAGTTTCTTCTTAGTTTGTTCATCAATGGCAGCCTATGGAAGCTTTCATCGAATATTCGAGAACCCAAGACAAGACAAGACTCCAAAGTCTTTTCTTGATAGTCTCTCCTCTTCTTCACCTTGGAACCCAAACCCAATCAGAGGGCTCCACGTCACCGACCACGACGAAACGCCGCCGTTTACAGAGATATTCGGTGAGCTCCATTTCAGGGAATCATCCCATTCTTCTTACGAGAAAACCTCAGGCGAGAACAGCAGCCTGCAGCTGTGTACGGAAGGTCTAGGGTCAGAGAGTTATTACGACTTGGAAGACGGAAAAGTCAACGTCAACTGTTACGGTAACGGTGACGGGGAAGATGATGGTGACGAGGTTGACGTGAAGGGTGATGATAACGGAAGCAGTGGTGAGGAGTGGGGGCCACTGAAAAAGGAACGGAGAGAGTATCCTCCGGCGATGACGAGGATGAGCTTCAAGACGTATAGAGAAGAAGGGAGGCTTGTGTTGGAAGAAGTTAGGATTCCGAGGAGAGAGTTTCTTCGAGCGAGCCGCGAAGACGGTAGACTCCGGTTGAAGTTGGTTCAACCTGATGAGGATGAAGACGAAGACGATGACGAGGACGAAGAAGAGGAGAAAGATCATAAACCGGTCTAAAATTGGTATGAATAATTTTACGATTCCTTGGAAATTTATTCACTATTTTCCTCATCATAAATGACAAATGTAAAACCTTCGTTTATGCGGGTTTTGTAGTTTAATTAATCTTTTTATCGCTTAATCATACCGCCGTTCCATTCTAATGAGTTTTTCATTTACAATTCTACCGGTCTACAATTTTTACCAATGGCAGTGAAAATATTAATTTTCAAAGCGTTGGTGAAATATTTAAAAGGTTTTGGAAAATCTTCTACATATAATAACGAAGACACAGAAAACATGTGTTTATGTGACACAGAGAATAGTTTTAGAAATTTATTAACAATACATATGGAAATAATCTGCAGAACAACACCTAATTAAAAAGCATTTGGGCTATCGCCTATCGATTCATTAGACAACCAAATATAAACGTGGGAATCGGACTAAACATTTTTGTGCGTGAACAGTGAAATGATCGTAACACAGGCCATTGATGGGCCTAACATTGTAAAGCCCAAATGCTAAACATATCAAACCCAGTAAGTGAGGGACTATAAATCACATTAGCATTGTTTGCTTTTGATCACTCACTTCGATATTTTCCACCAGAATACTAGAATTAATGCATCAACACAACTACAAGAGTATAAATTTTGAAATGTTCGAAAAACCCATTTAAATAGGAAATGTTGCAGATTAAGCTATATATATATATACATCATTTCTCTTTGTAATCAGTAAACTTGAGGAAAACAAAATGTGTAAACAAGCCTTTTTTTATCACAAACTTCAGTAAAATCTAACAAATTTTAATTAATACTTTATACCCCAGAAACAAAAATCCCAACAGAGTTATTAAATGTTCACCTTATAGCGACGAGAACAGGCCATTCGCTATGTGTAAACCAGATTATACTCTCTCTTCAGCCAACTTAGTGGAGGGGAAAGGGTAAAACTTATTATCTTATGACTAATTGACTTATGAGCCAACAATTTATATCGTATATTCTCCTTATAAAAGAAATGTAAACTCATAAGTCAGAACAAAAATCTTCAAATCGCTAACCTTTCCTTCGATTTTTTTATTGTTTGGTAGATTTAGGGTACCCAATAACCATGATTTACTCTTGTAAGTAGATCAATGAAAAGTACATGCAAATAGGTCAGCTAGATTTTAGTTTGGTGGGAAATCGTTATAAGTAATACAGTATTTAAAACTAAATGACACGATGGATGTGTATAAGTCAGTTGTAAAAAAAAAAAAACATTTAACACGTTCCTTAAACCAAAGTAATCATCGGTTTCATGCTAAATTAATAAAAACATTTATACTATATTTAAATGAGTAAATCCCCTCGATAACATCAAGCTTTTCATAAATTTCAGTCAAAATTATTTACTAACAAGACCTTCATGAGTTTCCAAAACACTATACTATTTTCTTAAATCTTTTGCATGAACGTGTATATCTTTCTTTGACGATCGTGAATATGAACTTCTTCAATGTTCTATTGGCTATCAATCTGGTGACTATGCTCAAGTGTTCATAACCTTCTTTTTTTTTCTTGTCACCTGCTGCTGCTGACACAACTTGTTAAACATTTGTAATGAAAATTCGTTATGCGAAACCCCACGCGCACGCAATTATTATGGAAAGTTTTCACCTAACTAAATACGCCACAACTATAATAAATGTTAAATGATCGAAAAGAAAGCACACAAAATCACAAAAGCTTGATTATAATTATATCACACGTTATTTGACAAAAAAAACAAATAATTAAAATTATAAGTTATATAAAAAGGACAAATGCTATACGTAATCAATATGTAAAGCTCACAGGCGAGAGCGGACCGAGTCTCAAATCTATACTAGCCACAAGAAAAGACACTCTAGTGTTTCCTGTTTAGTAAATGACGATAAGAAATAAACATGCAGAGATTTATCTGTGTCTCCATCAATTTGGTTTTTTTCTTTTCTTTCTTGACCTTTTTCTTTCTGAAATCATTTTTCTTGCTTGATATGCCTTTCGAAAGACTATAGAAGTCTACGGAATATCGAGTTGTCAAATATTGTTTTTGCTTCAGATTGATTTGATCGATGTTTTTTTTTTTGGGTATTTGATTTGTAAATAAAAACCCAATACAAAGTAAATATCATTTCACCTTATATCCTTTCGAAGTAAAAAGTGTATTTAATAAAACTTTTGTCATAAAATACGGAATTTTATCGGTTAAATATTTATGTCGATTAAGTTTGATTCTAGATACAGTTTGTTAAACCAAAACAGTCATAAATTATTTAACCCAAAAAAATAAATGCAAAACAGCCATATATCTATCTGATTTTGGTTTGGATTTATCGACTTTGTTTTCATTCTCACGATTTTGATATGGCATTCTAATATTTATCATCAAAATGACTTATAAACTATGTTTGTCAATATACAAAAGCTGATAGACGTCCACCAAAAAGGTCAATTTCTAAGAAATAGTGTTTATTCCCTGAATCCTTTGAAAATTAGCTTGTTTTTAAAGTCAAGTTGTTAAGTAATACGAAATAACCTGTTTTAGTTGAGTTTGACATTTCTAAAGAACCTCAAATTAATAGAACCCATCTCATTTCGTTAGGAAAGAGTCTCGGGTGGACCCATTAATTAGTTATATTCATTAAGGTCGCAACACATACTTAAAACGAGTTATTGATGTGGACCACTTTCATCCAACAACCCATGACGGTGTTTAGTTTCCGTAATAATGGTTTATCTATCTGTTTTATATTTAATAATATAAATTAGAGAGACCCCTAATGACGGATTAGATGACTCCTAAACTATGTATTGTGTGCCCAAATAAATTTGATACTAGGTGATGCAACTGCTCTACTAGTCATGGAGACGATCCTCACCATGGTGTCCTCAAATAATAATTCTGTAATGCACCTATTAAAATTTCTAATTTTGTTTTTATATTTTGGGTTGTGCACCCACTAAAAAAAACTTCTAGCTTCGCCCCTGCACTTACATCAGAAGCTTCTAACCTAGTTTTATATATAAGATAACTAGTATAACGTTATCAACAACAACAAAAACATAAGAACTTAAAAACACGAAAAAATTGTACAACTAAAATGTTGAGAAAAATATGAACGGATATACAATGTTGTTGTAACTCCCAACTATATCGTGTGGAGAATTTCCGAATCACCTACAGTATTTCCCTCTCCCCGTGGAGTTAAAGCGTCTAAATCGAGTATACTAAAATTGATAAAACAATATCTACCAAACCATGATCGTCCAATCACCTTGGAAAAATGTTAAGTTGTGTAAGTGTGTGAAAACATGTTTAGTTGTAATCGTAAAATTAAGAGTTTAACCTTAAAACAAAAATAACAGCCTATTTTAATGTGTTTTGTATTTTCATGAACTTATTTTATAAAATATTTTTATTAATTTTCAGGTAACATTTAATATAATTTGATAATATTAATACTTAAATTTTTATTTTATTTTTGTAATTGATTAAAATTTATTTTTAACTAATTATTATAGATCATTTTATTTATTGTTTGTATTAATTTCACAATTCTATCTAAAAACATCGTGTATTTTCAAAAATGTATTCCTGATCTTTTCATCATAGTTTGAACTTTTCAATTAAAATTGAAGACTAAATGCATACTCAGTTTAAACTTTGAAAAGTATTAAAAGATGTTGTACTTGCACGTGGTGGACTTGTTTTATGATTACATAAACTATTATGTAAATAATAATGTAATTATAGTACTGTATGTTTTACTTGACAATATACATGTATGGCTATTTTACTATATACCTCCCAAAATTGATCTTTCTTTAACATCATACTTTTATGGATATTGAGTACATGTTCTTTACGAACCTCATTACAATGGAAATTGTTCTCTAAAAAAACAGGAAAAAGAAAGTGAACCCTAAAAAGTATGAGAAGTCTGATTTTGCTTCACAAATAATATATAATATATTCTAAAATTGGCAAGCCGAATTGAAATATATAGAAAACCAAGAGAAAGAGACTGAAATTCACGCCAAGACGAGGGCTTGACTCGTTCAATGGGCGTACGTGGCGTAAAAAGCTTTACTTAAACAGTAACACACACCACAACGAAAATGTAATCACACACACACCCACAAAAACATCCTTTGTCTTTCCCATAATCCGTACAGAGAGGTATAATAAATAAATAAAAGATTTTAAAAACGCGTAGAACTTTTCTCATTTCACTCGGAGAAACCAATCTCTACTTCAACAACTTATTTAATGCCAATGAGTCCATGACCTCTAAATCTAAGAAGCAGATCGATTAGTACTAACATATCTACCACAATTCAGGAGGTTTCCTTTTGTAGCATATATTTATATATCACATACAAAAATGGCGGAGGAGCTTACGATTGGGTTTCGGTTCTATCCCACGGAAGACGAACTCATTGCATTCTACCTACGAAACCAGCTCGATGGAAGGAGTGATGACTCAATGCACCGTGTCATACCCGTTCTAGACGTCTTCGAGGTCGAGCCTAGCCATCTTCCAAGTACGTTACCTTCACTAAAAATGTAGCTTCAACCTCCATTATATATGGCATCGAAAATCATCATCATGTTGCATATTAGGTTAAGGTTTAGTAGCACGTACGTTGGTGTTGTATGGGTGTGCAATCCGAGTTTTGGTTTTAGAAAAATAGTAGCCAAATTGAAACCAATTCCAGATCGGTTTAGTCAGCTTTGGTTTAATTAAATATACTGTATCTTTGTTATTCACCAAAAATCAAAGTTTTGGTTCCGTTATTATATAAAAAAAAAGATTAACGTAATATAAACCAATACATGGTTATGGAATATGAATATATGGTATAATTAATGCTAATGGAACTTACAAATCCTCTTTTTTCTTTTTGTGTTCGTCTTTTTGTAGATATTGCGGGAGAGAGATGTCGAGGAGACGCTGAACAATGGTTCTTCTTTGTGCCAAGACAAGAACGCGAAGCAAGAGGAGGCAGACCAAGCAGAACCACTGGTTCAGGATATTGGAAAGCGACAGGATCACCCGGTCCAGTCTTTTCCAAAGATAACCGAATGATTGGAGTCAAGAAAACTATGGTTTTCTACACTGGAAAAGCCCCAACAGGAAGAAAAACAAAATGGAAGATGAATGAGTACAAAGCCGTTGATGAATCATTCAACGTTTCCACAATCCCTAAGGTTTGCATATATATATATAAAAGATCTTTTAATCTTTTATTAAAAAGATTCTTGATCAAGTTTTTAACTAATGAGTTTTTATTTTTGGTTTTTTTTTTCTCTTGGAAATGTAGTTGAGACATGAATTCAGTTTATGTCGTGTCTACATAACATCAGGAAGCTCAAGAGCTTTTGATAGACGCCCTGTGGGAGTTTTTCAGACAGAGAGAATGCTTACAAGTGACGTTGCAGTTGCCGAGACATCATCTCGTGTAGAATTCAGCTCACCGGAAACTTCGATTTCAGGAGGAGAACATGTTGATTTCTACGTGAATGCAGAGATGATTGATGGTTTAACAGAACCAATCTGGGAATGGGAACAGCTGAATTGGCCTTGATGAAGCTGGATTCATTATCAAGCAAATTAAAGTTACTAAATTATTACGTAGTTGAATTTATGACCACAGAGATTCTTTTTTTTCCCTTGTAAACGTGAGACTTTGAGCAAGAATAATTGACAAAAGGTGACATTATAAAAAAAAAATTGTTTTTGTTTTCTCTTTGGTTTCGTTTTCTAGAGAATGCGAATGTCATCGATCACTGTTCATTTATAAACTCAAAAGTCTAAACCTTGAAATTAGCTTAACTAAGACGAAATAATCAACAAAGAGGTGGAAATGCGAGACAATAACAAAACCAGGGATTAAAATTCCAAAACATTATATAACGAATAAGTTTTGATAGGCAGAAAGTAAAAAAGGTGTTTTACTTGAGCATACCAAAATATAAACTTTAAAATAAACGAAAAGAGCGAAAAGGACAAAATTGTTTTGTAATACTCATAGAGAAAGAGACATACACATGTGCGTTATGACTATATAGGTGAAAGTGGACGAAGACTAAAAGAGTTTTTTTGGTCGTCTATAGTTTTGTCACACCAAAGCCAAAAATACAAGTTGTCTTTCTCTAAACTTGGTCTTAAGAATTTCTACCAATTCAACGTATATATTACTAAAAAGTTAGATAGGATCTTAAACTAAACAAAGTTAAGTTTATAGTTAAATTCGTTTGTACTGGTCAAGTCTCCTACCCGTACTCACCAACGATCAAATAAAAATGACATTTTCGGACGAACAATCCTTATGAGTAAATTTAAAGGGAACAATAATTGTTAATGTTATATAGATAAACAGATATAAATGTATGTATACTTACCACTACAAAGGGCACAGTGAACGAAAGACTAAAAGGTCATTGGTCGTCGATTGCTTGTCCTTGTCCATGTCCATGTCCAATAAGACTATTCATATACAGTTTCATCAACGCAAAAATACAAGTCTCGTTTCTCTAAGCTTTGGTTAAACAATAATTTCTACAAATTTACCATACTAAAATCACCATCTCATTAGGACATTATCCATGCATGGAGAAACTGCTTCGAATTGTTGAAACTCTTTAATATCTATCACCTCGTTTTCTATAATCCGAGACTAAAACTTGAAGAGATCATAAGATAGTGAAGTACTAATATTATCCATTAAATTGGTAAAAATGATTTAGGGTTTAAAATGTTAAGAAAATAACATGTAGGCGACTATTAAAAACTTAACAATAAGCAAGGGGTTTTATTCCAAACGTCTTCTTTCCTAACTTTCGTAGTCTCTGTTGGGATCGCAGCAAAGTCGACATTGAACTTCTCGCCGGAGAGCGCGTTATCCACACTATACCTTGACGTCTAAAAATCTGTCTGATCGAAGGATCTCCGATGGCGATTATCTATGCGGTTGTGGCGAGGGGTACGGTGGTCTTAGCGGAATTCAGCGCCGTCACGGGAAACACAGGAGCCGTGGTGCGGCGGATCCTCGAGAAGCTTTCACCGGAAACCGCCGATGAGAGACTTTGTTTCTCCCAGGACCGTTACATCTTCCATATCCTCAGATCTGACGGGTTTACCTTTCTCTGTATGGCCAACGATACCTTTGGAAGTAAAAGCCCTTTTTCCCCCTCCTTTTCACTTTCTCCAAATCGTAATATCTGTGTCTGTTCAGTGTAATTAAGGTCTAAAAATCCAAAATTCATAATCTAATTGATGAATCTGTTGCCATGGATTTTGAAGTCTTTGTAACTGATACCGTGTTTTTTGCTTCGCGATGGCTTTGAAATTTATGTGAAATTTTGATGTGTGTTGTTGAATCGTCAGGGAGGGTTCCATTTTCGTATTTGGAAGAAATTCATATGAGGTTCATGAAAAACTACGGGAAAGTGGCACATCATGCTCCAGCTTACGCAATGAATGATGAATTCTCAAGGGTTTTGCATCAGCAGATGGAGTTCTTCTCTAGTAATCCTAGTGCAGATACTCTCAATCGTGTTAGAGGAGAAGTCAGTGAGGTAATTTTCGTTTCTTGGTATGATCCTCTATATCCATTGAGAAGGCAGAAGAAGCTTTTGCTTGAGAGTGGCAATTGTTTCAGTCTTGTTTCACTTGTTCATGTCCTTCTTAACACCTGGAGAAGGTTGTTCTCTCATTGTTTTGTGGGTTTTTACAGATTCGATCGGTGATGGTAGAGAACATTGAGAAGATAATGGAGAGAGGTGATAGGATTGAGCTTCTTGTTGATAAAACAGCAACAATGCAAGATAGTGCCTTTCACTTCAGGAAACAATCAAAGCGCCTTCGCCGAGCTCTTTGGATGAAAAACGCTAAGCTCTTGTAAGGATCTCTTGTCACTTGTAGTTTCTCTCTTTTTTAATTTCTTTGCCTATCTACTACATTCCACTGGTTGTTTCAACTTGCCTGTTGCAGCATAGTTTACTAATATATTTCTTAAAATAGAAATACATAATATCAGCTGGTCTGGCAAAAAACTTAATATCTCTGTTTCTTGGCTTGTAAATGTTACACACCTGATGGAAAAAGTTTCGGATCATTAGAAATGATTTTAAAAGAAACCTGGTATTATTTGTTTGTGTGTTGACAGGGTAGTGTTGACGTGCTTGATAGTCCTTGTGCTGTACATTATAATCGCTTCATTCTGTGGAGGCATCACGTTACCGTCCTGCAGATCTTAATCTCAGGTAATGATACTTTTAAAAAAACATTTCTGGTGCATATAACCAGAAGCAGACCACTGTTTTTTGTAAATTAATCCTCAGTCGCATCCTTTCAATTTCCAGTCTTTGATTTTTGTCATGAAAATGACAGTGAGTTTGATGTTACATCACATGTCATGTCATGGTCTTCCTCGCTTATGTAACTTTTGTAAATGTCAAAATGATACAGAGTTTCCATAAAACACTTTACCTTTGGTCAAACTCGAGTCAGTTTGTTATCTGTATTTCCAAAACCTTTATCCGCTTTGCCTCTATGAATCTTCTTGCATCTGTCAATGTACATCACATATTCGTTGTTCTTTTTGGTTTCAAAACGTTTCTAGTGTAGTATATTTTCTACGTTTTAGCAAATTCGCAATGACGTCAGATTTATGAGAATGATGATTATTAACGATCCCATCCAAAATCAAACCGTCAGATTCTCTTCTATACCGAATTGGATTGGATTCAATTCAATCCCTCTTCTACTGATGAAGTTAAGCTAAACGCAGTACGAATCATAACCAAACTCTAAAAGTAAATAGCTTTCAGCCCAGCTTAAAAAAGTTATTGCAGTCGACAAGGACAAGAAAATGGTTCACACTTGGACGATCTCTATTACATGTTGGTAGATTAAAAGTCTTGATCAGTCCATTCTTAATCCTTTCATGTACAAACTCGACAATTAATGTCAATGTGTTTGGTTTTAACATTTTAAACTGGATTGATGTGAAACTGTGAATGGCAGTAATGTATAAAGCAACAACTCACAATACAGAACAGATTGAAGTTAAGGATTGTTGATGAGCCATTCACCGGCGGATGCTAGTGATCGGATAGTCTTCTTCAGCACGTGACTCTGAAACTATAGTTGATTTCTTGAGACCACTCACGCTCTGATGGAGCAAAATGTTATAATCATAACCAAACTCTAAAAGTAAATAGCTTTCAGCCCAGTTTAAAAAAGTTATTGCAGTCGACAAGAAAATGGTTCACACTTGGACGATCTCTATTACATGTTGGTAGATTAAGAGTCTTGATCAGTCCATTCTTAATCCTTTCATGTACAAACTCGACAATTAATGTCAATGTGTTTGGTTTTAACATTTTAAACTGGATTGATGTGAAACTGTGAATGGCAGTAATGTATAAAGCAACAACTCACAATACAGAACAGATTGAAGTGGAGGATTGTTGACGAGCCATTCACCGGCGGATGCTAGTGATCGGATAGTCTTCTTCAGCACGTGACTCTGAAACTATAGTTGATTTCTTGAGACCACTCGCGCTCTGATGGAGCAAAAAGTTATAATCATAACCAAACTCTAAAAGTAAATAGTTTTCAGCCCAGCTTAAAAAAGTTATTGCAGTCGACAAGAAAATGGTTCACACTTGGACGATCTCTATTACATGTTGGTAGATTAAGAGTCTTGATCAGTCCATTCTTAATCCTTTCATGTATAAACTCGACAATTAATGTCAATGTGTTTGGTTTTAACATTTTAAACTGGATTGATGTGAAACTGTGAATGGCAGTAATGTATAAAGCAACAACTCACAATACAGAACATATTGAAGTTGAGGATTGTTGACGAGCCATTCACCGGCGGATGCTAGTGATCGGATAGTCTTCTTCAGCACGTGACTCTGAAACTATAGTTGATTTCTTGAGACCACTCGCGCTCTGATGGAGCAAAAGGTTATAATCATAACCAAACTCTAAAAGTAAATAGCTTTCAGCCCAGCTTAAAAAAGTTATTGCAGTCGACAAGAAAATGGTTCACACTTGGACGATCTCTATTACATGTTGGTAGATTAAGAATCTTGATCAGTCCATTCTTAATCCTTTCATGTACAAACTCGACAATTAATGTCAATGTGTTTGGTTTTAACATTTTAAACTGGATTGATGTGAAACTGTGAATGGCAGTAATGTATAAAGCAACAACTCACAATACAGAACAGATTGAAGTTGAGGATTGTTGACGAGCCATTCACCGGCAGATGCTAGTGATCGGATAGTCTTCTTCAGCACGTGACTCTGAAACTATAGTTGATTTCTTGAGACCACTCGCGCTCTGATGGAGCAAAAGGTTATAATGAACAACGCTATAAACATAAAGGTTCTATGAGGATATAATATCGTATGATTGGTATATGATTAACATCGCATGATTACATTGTTTCTAGAACAACTTCCTTCACATTAAAAACGAAAATCACCAAGTTACACTAGTAATCATGTAATGTAACATTACAAAGTATGACAAAATCATTGAAATATATATCAATTAACTATATACATAGAATAGAGTTACAATATCATGAAACCAAAATAAAATGGAATATTATTCATAACATCGCAGCATAACATGTATGCTTGTTCTATAGATTACCAATCTAATTCGATTATTCTGATAATAGGAATAGTTAATGATAAGCCCCAAACATAGGGAGAAGCCATACATGGTTCGGGGTTCCAAAGCACCGTACATAAGTATTATACCCCATAGCGGATATCATCAACAAAACGACGAATGCACAAACTGCGATAACCCAAGGCTCCATACTGTTTCTTCACCACACACACACACCAATGTCTTCTACTGTTTCTTTGATACAAATTATATTTATACTTTTGTACTGACGAAAAAGTATCGGCAAAATTCGTAAAGTTTACACTTTTGTAAATACGTATATATCTGTAAGATTTGTAAAGTTTACATTTCGTCATTAAAAGAACATTAACTAGGAAAAACTAAAAAGAAATAACTAGAAATAGCTTTTTGGAGATTTTACATTTCAACTTTGTTGATGGTCACATGTATATAAACCTACTAAATATTTAACAATGTGAAGTAGACATCATCATCTAACTGCGGTAACAATTAACGCTTTATGACTAGTCGCTTAGGTTATGAGCCTGCAAGCTAAAGGCAAACATAAAAGAAATGAAACATTAATTACTTGCAAATGCACCACACAAGACTGAAACTGCAACAAATCCCTATAAAACTGACGAAATGCGCTAAGTCGAGCACCTGAAGATCTTCACTACTAGCAGCAGCAAAAATGTATCGGTTTATGCTTCTGAATCATGAGCTGGTCTCTCCTCTCGAGCATAACCATGCAAGGCGTGGCAAATCTTTTAGTAACCTTGCAAGGTGGCAAAGCTTTCTTTTCCATTCAGAACTTTAAAATTCTCCGAGTCATCTTATTTCCAGCAATAAATCATGAGTTTTTGAAGTCTCTACAACATATCTTTTTTTTAGATGTTTCATAAAACACACAATTATAAACTTTCACAAAAACTTCATGCATGCACCCGGTGGGAGGGGATTTAAACCCGCTCTTATCCCCGGCCCAAGGAGATTATGGGCTTTGGCCCAAAACTTCTCGGAATTCAAAAAAAAAAAAAAAAAAAAAAACTTCATGCATGCATTATTATTATATTGAGTCGTCGCGAGAAAGAAAAAAAAAAGCGGCCCATAGGGTCTAGAACCTTTGGACAATCAAATTCTATATATTGGGCCTTAGAAACGGCCCATAAGATAACACGCGAAACTTTGCAAAAAGAGACATGTATTTTCTGATAAATTTGTTTTTGCAGTTTCAGTTTAGTTTGTCACTTTTTTTACCATTTTCTTCGCGTCAATAACACACACCTCCTTCCTTCATTCCTTGAAAGGAGAAAAGAAAAAACTTCTGACCTTTCGCAAGTTGTCAAGCACGACCTGATTGTGATCAATCCCCAATCTCAGGCGTGGTTTCTATAGGGTTTTGATCTGATCGGGTTGAAATCATCAGGCCGGCATGAGGCCAATCCTGTTGCCGGATCCACCCAGCCTATCTACCGGCGTACCTGAGATTTTCGAACAAGGCGGAGCTCAGAACGTCGTCAGACGCGCCGTCGTCATCGGAAACGGTTTCCCTGGCTCCGAGAATCAGTGTATCGGTCTCGTTCGCGCCCTCGGCTTGGCGGAAAATCACCTGCTCTACGTGAGTTTTGATTCAGGCTTTATACGTTTTTAGTCTCGGTTTTAGCATTTCCTGCAAAATTTTCGCTTGATAGTAGACACTAAATCTCCGTTTTACATCAGTTTACGCTACGCGCATGGTTTAGTAGTAAGATTGATGATTGCTAAAGCCTAAATAGGTGTGGAAATTCATGAATCTTAGTAGTACTTATTTAGCATGTGTTGTGCAAATACGGTTACTGTTGAAGAAATGATGAGGATACTTATTTGCTAGCATGAATGTTCAGAGGATGAAGAACTATTGGAATTGTTTTCTCTGAAACAAAGAATTGATTGGCTAAGTAAATTTACCAGTATCTTAAATTCTGGAAATTTAGTGTATGTAAACAGTGGTTTTTGGTTTACATTCTGAGATTGTCTCTTTGTTTTTTTTCTTCTCATTATGATGGAAGCGAGTTACAAGGCCTAAAGGAGGGATAAATGAGTGGCTACACTGGCTCCCTGTTGGTTTTCACAAAAAGCTGGACTTCATACTCAGGCATATATACCTCTACTCCAGATTGATGCTTAGATCCAAACAGAGTAAATACATCGCATCTGTACCCTCAGAGAATGGTGGCGGTGTAGGCTTGTCGTCTATTTTGGAGGCTGATGTGAAAAAGATTGTGACCATGGCTCGTGAGACCTATGAAAAGTAAGTGGTTTTTGTTTGAAAGTCCGTGTTAACTTTGGATTTCGTTGTGGCGCTTGTTAATTTGGATTTTATTGCGTTTTTATGAGTTGCAAGTGATAAGCTGAATTGAAGCTTATGTACATGCCTTTTCATCTAGCTAAGCGATTTTATTTCCGTTTCACAGGGATGGCCCGTTGGTAGTTATTGCATGTGGAAGAGATACAGTTTCTATTGCTAGCTCGATATGGCGTCTGGCTTCTGAAAATGTCTTCGTTGTTCAGGTTTGTTATAAGATTTAACGTGATTGTTATGGCTTAGGTTTGAGATAAATTTGATTTAGAATCGAGAGGGAAGAATTTTGTTCCTGAATCCTGTGATCGTCTTAAATAAAAAAGGTTATGTTCCTGGATTCTTGAATTCTAACTATTGCTCTTTGGTTTTCATTTATGTAGATACAACATCCTAGATCACACTTAAATAGGTTTGACATGGTGATCACACCTCGTCACGACTACTACCCTCTTACCCCCGAAGCGCAAGAGCAGGTTCCTAGGTTCTTGCGTAGTTGGATAACTCCACGTGAACCACCTCAGGATCATGTAGTAAGTGTCGTGGCGTTGGCTAGATCCTCTTCTCCGTTTTATTACTGTAGAAGAACCTTGTTTTGGAGATTTCATTTGTAAAGACCATGAGACGCCTATTTTCAGGTCTTGACTACTGGAGCTCTACACCCGATCGATTATGCCTCACTCCGAAAATCAGCTAGTGCCTGGCATGATGAGTTCGCTGCTCTTCCAAAGCCCTTAGTTGTGGTTAACATTGGCTGGCCTAGAGGTAGGTTCTGTTAGTTCCAGCATATAACACATGAGCACCTTTTTTCTTTTGAAAAACTGAAGCTTAGATCTTATTGCCATGGTTTTCGTTTCTGATCAGGTAACTGTCGGTATGGAGTAGACCTCGCAAAGCAGCTAACAGACGCCCTTCTTAGTGTCCTTGGTAGCTGTGGAAGTGTCAGAATTGCTCTCTCCTACAAAACCCCTGAAAAGGTCCGCTAACACATGTTTCTATTTACTGGAATAGTTATCAGCCTGATGTTCTTGAGTTTCACCTTGGCATTTTATTATTAAACAAACAGGTTGCAAGAGTAATTTTCAAAGAACTAGGTGGTAACCCAAAAGTCTACATTTGGAATGGCGAAGGTACTAATGATCCACAGCACTTGCTTCAGCTTTGTGCACAAAGTACAATGCAATGGCAAAAGTTTCTAACGGTTGTGTTAAAATGCTAATTCAGAACCAAATCCTTACATGGGACATTTAGCTTGGGGGGATGCCTTTGTAGTGACAGCTGATTCTGTCAGTCTCATAAGCGAAGCCTGCAGCACCGGGTAAATAATATACTGAGACAACACTTTCAGTTTCTTATTTATACCTACGACATAAACTATATAATCTGTGTATTCCTTATCTGCTGCAGGAAACCAGTGTATGTTATTGGAGCCGATCACTGTAAATGGAAGATTGCAGATTTCCACAAGTCCTTGAGGGAGCGAGGAGTGGTCCGCTCATTTACGGGTTTCGAAGATGTAAGCATCTGTACATCTTCTCAAATACTGTATAATGGATCATGTTAATGAGTAGAGAGGTCTTTGATGAGAGTTATGCTATATCGTCCATGTCTTCATGATTTTATCGATATGGTTTTATAGATGTCGGAAAGTTGGAGTTATCCGCCATTGAATGACACAGCAGAAGCAGCTATGAGAGTACGGAGTGCATTAGCTGCACGTGGATGGAGTCTACGCTCGTGAAAACTATTATACGCTTAGAGAGAGAGAAGTCTAAGACAACCGGATGTGCAGAGATAAAGAAAGAAAAGGTGATGATACCACCATTTATAAGGGTTTATATACGTTTCTTGTGCCCTAAATTTTTGCTGATATTACCAAATAGTGAGTCTCTCTACTTCTTCTCAATCGGAGCGGCTTCTGTGAGATAAAGAGAGTGGAAAGTTCATTTCCGTTTGTATTGACTTGTGGTGAGATTTGAATGTGTAGAATGAAAAAATTGTCTCACGCACTTGTTTTCAACTATTTCTCACATGTTCAATAATTTCGTTTTTGTTACATGAACATAAGAAAATTCATTGTATTTTCCCACAAAAACTAGAAATGTGATACAAAAATTGAGATATATTTAGAAGTTAACCATAAATTTACAAGATGAAGGAAGACGACGGTTGCTTTGAGAAACCACATGTCGTTTTAGTCAAACTCTCCATACAACTCCAAAACCAAATAGTCTACATCCTCATGCTCAGCAATAAGTCCTAGCAGATGAGTCCAGTTTCTGTTTCCCTCCAAGATCATGAACCAGAAGGTCACAGATCGTCCGGGAAGATGAACTGGAGATCTTGGTTGTCTCTGTACACTTGAACCAGAGCTGCGGCTTTGTATACAAACAAACCAACCATGGCTGGTACTATCTGCAAAGGCACACAACACTGTCAAGAGAACATGTGAAAATAAAACGATTATAGGGGAGAATATTTAAGATAAGATTAGCAAAAATTTGATACCTGAAAATCAAACGAGTCATTTTGGAAATACTTGTGAGAGAGTAGCCAGAAAGCATAGATTGCAGCTGGAATCACTAGACGTGGGGAAGAGAGAGCCATGCCACTTCCCCTGATGGTCCTCTCTACAAAGTCTTGAAGGTCTTCACTTCTAATCCCGATTCTGATATAATTCGGACAAACACACAAAAGCCAAGTTAATAGCAATTGAAAACATTCTTCCATGGAGAATGTGACGAAGGCTTATCAGAAGAAACTTTACTTTTTAGACTTCTTTTTTAGGAAGATGTTAGGAACAGCTTCACGTGAAACACCATCCGCGTATCCGTACAAAAGCTGAAGGTACAAACAACTGCACTGGAAGCAGATTTGGTTAGGAACATGGGAGTGCACGAGTAAACTCTGCTGCACAACTTTTAATTTACAATGTCAATGTCTATTTTTTCCATAAGAACTAACCTGAAAACAACTCCAACTGCATAACTGATGGCAGCCTGTTTTGATAGAAACAATATATCTATCATCTTCTTTGCAATATATTATGCTTTTAAAGGATTCTTCATTGAATAAATGACCTTACAAAGAAACCCATGAGAGAGCTTACTTGGGGTGATAAAGCTAGTAAGCAATATCCACTGCACCCGGTTCCAATTACAATTGACAGGTACATCAGCTCACGCTTCAGCTGTAGGAAGAAAAGACACAGAAGCAATCATTACAATGTGCTTTCTATAAATAAACGCATCCAAATTATCCCACTATATAGCTTTTTCCCACAGAGTAAGTGTTTTAGTAAAAATCATACTGCTTTGACTGATAGACTAATCAAGAAACATACTGAAAAGGAATAATCATACAGCTTCATATTTCAGAAAGTTCAGCTTCTTCCTTCTCTCGCTGTCATCTCGTAATGCCTGCGATTAAACCCAAAGGGTTTATTATGGGGAAATAGATAACACGCAGTTGGCTATCGCGTTGCAATGAGAAGGAGAAGGTGTGAAACGAAGACATGACACACCTTAGCTAAAGCTTTCCTATTCATGGGAGCGGAATCACTTTCCCCAACAATCCATTCTTGTGTCGGTTTAAGTTTCAAGAAACCGCTTTCATCATCATCATCATCATCATCTGCGCTTTCCATCAAGCTCTCCTGCAATATATAGAACATCAAATAAAGCAGCTTTACCGACCAAACTAACAGTTCCAAGCGAGACTAGTGAACTTTTGAAAGAAACAAACTTGAAACATGTTCAAATACTATAAAAGACATGTTTTTTTTCTTTTCTTTACCTGGTTATTAAGTTCAACAGCTGAAGAAGAGGCTCCATTAGAATTAAGATCAATAGATTCGAGAATTTCTCGCAACCAGAGCCTATCAGAAACTTTGGAAATGAAATCTCCATTTTCTTCTCTGTCTTTCAAGAACATTTGCAGCACATCCTCCTCCACAAGCTCACTCACTTAACAAGGATCATGAAATTTTCACAGAGCAAAAAGGAATAAGAGGAAATGAGCAAAAAACATTGGAGCAGGACGAATCATATATATAGAGAGAGAGAGATAAGAGAAATGTATTATCACCAGAGCGAGAAGCGGCATTTAAGGCGGACAAGCGGGGGTGATTCCTGCTCGGTGGTTTCCGAAGGAGGTACGGCAGAGAAAGCCTCGCGTGCGACGGATAAATGGAGCCGCCGGAAAACCACGCAGCGGCGGGAATCGAGAGAGTCTCCATGTGCGAGAGAGTGCGACGGCCTCTGGTGGTTCCAGAACAAGCAGTAGCAAAGCTTATCCTCCGACTTGGTGGAAAGAAAGAGAAATATACAAAAACATGACCCTTTTATTATTTTGTATATTTTAGTTTCTCCCCGTTTATTTGATTAGATGACTCTTAAGTCCTGAAGGAGATATATCCTTTTTTTTACCCGTCATCAGAAATTGGATTTGGTCTTGATTAGTAAAATTTTTGAAGTAACAAATGTATATTACACATTATGAGAAAATCATTTTTACGCCTAAATGAGTGAGTTTACTACATTCGTATTGTATTTTGTTTCGTCATTTTTCATCCAAAATTCACTTTTTTGATGAAGAATGAGTTTTAAGGAAATCAAATTTTTTGACAGAATCTTTATTTAATTTTTCAATTTTTTCTCCTTGATTTTTGAAAGAATCGCATTTGTTTTGCTTGATAAAATTTCGAAAACGAAAAATATTGTTTCCTCTAATTGTTTTCTTTCCATTGTTAATGAAAATGTGGGGTGATTTCATAAACGGAAAAAGAATAAAGGGCTGTTGTTGTAATAAATATGAAGTTATAAGCTTTGTAGAAAAGGTGGGGTTTTGCCAATTTGGAGAAGAAGACGCACCAAAGCGAGGAGGCGTTGCAAACTCAGAGAGCTCTCAAACTCTTCAGCCGTCATCGTCGAAGAATACAACAAAGACCTAGAGGTCTTCTCCGTAACTCGTAAGGGCACAGTAACAGTCGACGGAGATGGAGAAAGTGAAGATTGAAGAAATTCAGTCCACCGCTAAGAAACAGCGGATTGCTACTCACACCCATATCAAAGGCCTTGGCCTCGAGGTTCTTCTCCTCCTCCTCCTCCCTCTCTCTCTCTTCACTGAATATCTCTCTTTGAATCTATTAGATTGCGGTAGTATGCTCGTATTGCTGGAAGTTCATCCGGGTTTAGGGTTTTAGGGTTTTAGGGTTTTTTAAGCTATTTGCTTCGTTTGTTACGCGCTCAGAGACTCTAGGGATGGTGTTTCTAGATGTATTTCAATAGATTGATGTATGCTCGTGTAGCTCAAAGTTCGTTCGGGTTTAGGGTTAAAAGTTGTAGGCTTTCATAGATTTTTTGACTGCTTTGAGTCTCTTTTGTGGTGGTTCTTCACTTTTGACACTGCATTAAAGTCTCAAGCATTGGTGTGATGTGATCTCTTTCTATAGCTTGAAAACATCATTCCCATTGCTAATTCTGTGTCTCCTTTCTTAGCCCACCGGAATTCCTATACCATTGGCGGCTGGGTTTGTGGGTCAGCTTGAGGCAAGAGAGGCAGCTGGTCTTGTAGTGGACATGATTAAGCAGAAGAAGATGGCAGGGAAGGCTCTTTTGCTTGCTGGACCTCCTGGAACCGGGAAAACAGCTTTGGCTCTTGGAATATCCCAAGAGCTTGGAAGCAAGGTGATCTCAGATGTCTTCATCTTGCATCTTCGTTATGCCATTTATCTCCATGGCTTCATCAGTTTTGGTATACATGGTATATGAAGGCAGTTTTTTATTCAACTTTTGGCTTAATGTTATTTGGATTGTTTCATGTTTGCAGGTTCCCTTCTGTCCAATGGTTGGATCTGAGGTTTACTCATCGGAGGTTAAGAAAACTGAGGTGCTCATGGAGAATTTTAGGCGTGCGATTGGGCTACGTATCAAGGAAACCAAAAAAGTCTACGAAGGAGAGGTGTGCTGCTATTTTCAGTTTCTTGTGTAGTTGTATGCCTCTCTGCAGTTAGATTCTTAACATGTTTTACTTGAGTTCCAGGTTACGGAGCTGTCCCCGGAAGAAACCGAAAGTCTTACCGGAGGTTATGGTAAAAGCATCAGCCATGTTATCATTGGACTCAAGACAGTCAAAGGAACCAAGCAACTGAAGTTGGATCCCACTATATACGATGCCTTGCTTAAGGAAAAGGTTAGTTGTTTGACTTCTTTTGCACCTCGCACTGTTTTCATCTGTTTGGTTCCCAGGCCATTATGTCCGTAAAGTTCTTCTTAGTGAAGTTGCTAATCACTTCGTCATTTTGATGGTCTTCTTCTTATATCTGATGTTTTGACTCTCAGGTAGCTGTCGGAGATGTTATATACATTGAAGCAGTCAGTGGAGCTGTCAAACGGGTGGGTAGAAGCGATGCTTTTTCCACTTCATTCGATCTGGAAGCTGAAGAATATGTTCCACTTCCGAAAGGAGAGGTTACTAAAAAGAAAGAGATAGTTCAGGTTTACCTTCTATGACCTTTTCTTATCCCAAGAACTCCCCCGTTAGAATGTGTACTTATAAACTTGAACAACAACAAAAGCACCTCTTTTAATGGTCTTCTAAAAGTTTCTTTCACTGTGGCTAGGATGTCACTCTCCAAGATCTGGATGCAGCAAATGCTCGACCTCAAGGTGGGCAGGATATACTTTCTTTGATGGGCCAAATGATGAAACCACGGAAGACCGAGATCACTGATAAGCTGCGGCAAGAAATTAACAAGGTGATCTTCACTAAATTGAATGATTATTGTTTAAATCTTGTTAAAAGGTCTAGTATCATGTACTGAATATATGGTTATTGCAGGTCGTGAACCGTTATATAGATGAAGGTATTGCAGAGCTTGTCCCGGGAGTTCTGTTTATCGATGAGGTATTTTTCCTAATAGGTTTTTTCGTTCCATCATGTTGATCTTGCTTTAGGAGAAGCTGGAATAACTTTTTGAAACTACAAAACTTCAGGTTCATATGCTTGATATGGAGTGCTTTTCATACTTGAACCGTGCTCTTGAGAGCTCATTATCTCCAATAGTGATATTTGCAACAAATAGAGGTGTTTGCAACGTAAGGTGAGGAGAAGCGCTTGACCTTTTCATTTTTTATTCTCTGAAAATCATGTGAGCTTTTGGTTAACGTAAAACTCTGTGATTCACTTTGTTTGCAGAGGGACTGATATGCCAAGTCCTCATGGTGTCCCTATTGATTTATTGGATCGGTTGGTCATTATCCGGACCCAAATCTACAATCCATCTGAAATGATACAGGTTATATATCGATCGTCATATAGTTTTTTTTTTCCGATTTGAGCTGGTTAACAACATTCTAATAGATTTGTTGTGTGGCCAGATTATAGCCATTCGTGCGCAAGTAGAAGAGCTAACAATGGATGAAGAGTGTTTGGTCCTACTTGGTGACATTGGGCAAAGAACATCCCTAAGGTTTAAAGACGAAACTCTCATTATTACTTTTTGCAAGATATTGTTCCTCTTTATTGTCTCTAAAACCTTTTTTGTGCTTTCAAATTTCAGGCATGCGGTTCAGCTTTTGTCTCCTGCCAGCATCGTGGCGAAAATGAATGGACGTGACAATATTTGCAAGGTACAGTACTTGCTTGTGAAACTTATATATAACCATAAAGCAGTTCAAAAACGAAGGTTACTTTTTTTACTCTTTCATATGCTAATTTTCTTTGTATTCCGACTTTTGACAGGCTGATATAGAGGAAGTAACATCACTGTACCTGGATGCCAAATCTTCAGCTAAGCTTTTGCACGAGCAACAAGAAAAATACATCTCATGAGAGAACACTAATCGAATGTTTTGTTTAGCGATTCTCACTTTTTTTCTTTCTCCGGTTTCTCTCTTTTGACTATTTTGTAACGCTGAGACATGGAGAGAGCCAAGAATTTAATGGGGATGGATTTGGTTTCATTCTGTAGTAACTAAACGCCGAATTTTAATCCATGATAACATATTTCTTGGAGCCAATAATTGGTTTGGTGTTGAGCTGGTTACATTGGTTGGGTTTCTTTATATTGAATTCCCAAGTTTCACAAGACGTAGAAACAATCCTTCAAGAACAAAAAAACTTGTGAAGCCTATCATCAGAATTATATTACAAATGCAACATCTGGGTCAAATTTATAAACAAAACAAAACTGTGGGGGTTTCTCAGTAAAAAAGAAAAAAAAAAAGCTGGCACGGTCGGGAAACAGAGACAATTTTTTCACTACGGGTGTCTTTGAGGTGCGACTGAACCAAAAGATTAGGGTTTTGTTACGAGGAAGATGACGAAGATGGCGAAGAATTCGTTGACCGTTGAACAAGTTCTGAAAGAGAAGAAGACCCATGACCCCGATTCCGTCAAGGAACTCAATCTTGGCTACAAAGCTCTCAGCGATGTGAGTCTCGTTTCTGTAAACTTTGTGTTCCCCTTGATAAACTTGAAACGGGACCCTAATTGTGTAATTGATATTCAGGTGTCTTGTTTGAGCAAGTTCAAAAACTTGGAGAAGCTCGACCTTCGTTTCAACAACCTCACTGATCTTCAGGTTATTACTCTTATGTGCGAAACAGAGAGATACAGAAAATAAAAACGGCACCTTTACTCAACAGAATTGATTTATGATTCCGAAATTTGAAGTTTGGTTTTCTGAGCTTAGTGTGCATGTTTTTCATTGGTTTTAGGGGCTGAAGTCTTGTGTGAATTTGAAGTGGCTATCGGTTGTGGAAAATAAATTGGAGAGCTTGAATGGAATTGAAGTATTAACTAAGCTTACAGTAAGTTCCACTGCAATCATTTTATGGTTGGTTCTCAATGATTCTCTGTTTTGCACTTTTGCTATTATGTTTGCTACTTTCATCTTCAAATCTAATTGGTTTGCTACTTCGTTGCTATTAAAGATGATGTTTTTCAATATTTAAGCTGTTCTTTTGCTAGAAAATGAGTAAATATCATCTGCTTGGTTTGATTGTGTGGTGTCGTTTGTAATTAGGTGCTAAATGCTGGGAAAAACAATCTCAAATCCATGAATGAGATCTCTTCTCTCGTCAATTTGCGAGCTTTGATTTTGAACGGTGAGTTGTACTGACACGAATCAACGGTTTTGTCTTTGCAATCCACAAGCTAACTTCTGATGATTATTGTTTCACTTCTTGCAGACAATAAAATCTCCTCCATTTGCAAGCTAGATCTACTGAAAGACTTGAACAGTCTTGGTATGTTCTTGCATCAGATCAACATGCTAACTCTTTTAAATGTTAACCCAATTCCATCTACTTAGCTTTTATTGTTTCTTATATGGATTTGATGCAGTGCTTTCAAGAAACCCAATCAGTGAAATCGGTGACTCCTTTTCCAAGTTGAAAAACCTCTCAAAAGTAAGCTCGAGCTTTCTCATGTTTCAAACTCAAAAACTAAAGTGATCCTTTGCCTAATCCCCGGTTTCAGATTTCTTTGTCTGAGTGTAGAATTAAAGCTATTGGGTCTTCTCTCAAGTCATGCTCCGATTTGAAAGAACTACGACTCGCCAACAATGAAATTAAGGTGATCTTTCTTCAATAGATAGTTATAATCTACAATATCACACTGTCCTGTTCCACAATCTTTTGTGTTTATTATATATTGCTAACGACTGTTTCCTTTACCCTAAAATGTTCAGGCTCTCCCTACAGAACTTGCACTCAACAAGAGACTACTGAATTTGGATGTGGGAAACAATATGATCACGAGTCTCTCTGGTGTAGAGGTATACAATGTGTACATATAAGTGAGAGCATGACTTTTCGCCTTGTCTAGCTCTTGACAAGTTTTTTCTGCGTTGATATAGGTTTTGGGTACACTTTCTTGCTTACGAAACTTGAATATTCGAGGAAACCCGATCTCTGACAATGAGAAGACAGCTAAGAAGGTAAAACCACTTTCTTGTACTTTCTCTTTGCATTATGATTAGTGTTACAGCTCTGGGGGAAGAATCATGTAAGAATGACAAAATATGTTTTAACGTTGCAGGTGAGAAAGTTGCTCCTCCCTTCAGTGAATGTATTCAACGCTAAACCCTTGGAGAAAAGCTCAAAGAAATCAAAGCACGCCCGTTTTGATTCCGACGATGAAACCTTTGATACTCCTCCCAACAATTCAGCAGAAGAAGATCGAAAACGTAAGAAGAGCTCCAAGGGAAACAAGTTGGAAGAGGAGGAGGAAGAAGGAGAAAATGCCAATGATGAGGATAACAAGAGCAGGAAGAAGAAGTCTAAGAGCAACCCAAGTTTAGATCAAGTTCAAACAGAGAAGAAGGAAGAACATAAAAAGAAGAAATCACCGGGTAACAACAAGGACGACGAGAAGAAACAGAAAAGGGCTAGTCCAGAGGATGAACTCGATGTTATTGATGAAGCTGAAACTTCTCTCGCCCAAATATTTTCCCGGGACAATGTGACAAAGGGTTCTGGAGATGATGTTGAGAAGAAGAGGAGAAACAGCGTGCAAGAGACGGGTGTGGTGAGAGTGATAGATTCTCAAGATAACAAGAAGAAGAAGAAAACGGGAAAGAACAAAAGCAAGAGTGCAGTGTTTGAGCTCCCTGCGGCAGTTGAAATCGGATTGGGAGGAGAGTCAAAGTGGGACTAAAACCGGAAAACATTGGTGCAACACTTCTTAGGACAGGAAGAGAAAACAGAAATGTTTAGTGATTTTGATCTTCTTTTAAAACGATTTTGCAGCGTTAAGACTTCTGAATTTTGTTGTGAAATGCACTTGGTTTAACATCTTCATCCAGTTTTTCTTTTTTCATAATTTTTTTTGTCATGTTTGTGGCGAAGGAGGTGTGTTAGAGAAGTGATGAACATTTAAAGTAATTTTTTTACTAGTTCGTCAAAATTGAAAATTGATAGCAATTTGTTACAAATTAAAGAAACCAAGTTCCTGTGAAATGTTAGAAGTTGGAACGAAAAGGGCCAAACCAAAATGGGCTCGTTCTCTACAATTCTTCCAAAAAGTAACTAAAAGAGAAAGGACAAATAAGGTCCCACCGAGACTTGAACTCGGGTTACTGGATTCAGAGTCCAATGTCCTAACCACTAGACCATGGGACCAATTTGATGGTAAAGGTTACATTTTCGATTAATATATATATATAAATTTGTAGTATATAACATAGTACAATCAACATCTTATTTCGTATCATATTCAGAGGGAGGAACTTTAGTCCAAAGAACTTTGTTTCTAAATATTGAGCAAAGGCAAAACAAATGTGGTTGAAAAAGAAATTAGATAACAGTGAAACAAGTTAAATTAGACAATAAAACAACGGTGAACATTCTCAACTGCTGGAGATACAATTAAGAATGCTAAACTATTCGGATAAATTATTGGAGTTAATGATTACGGTGAATTGCTGTAAGAGTTGTTAGTATTTTTTGAATAAGTATATATAGTAATTGACAATTTTGTCAATTTCTCCATGTGATTTGCGAGTAGTAGTCAAAGAGACTCAAAAGGATAAAGAGAGGCAACAAGAGTAGGACCCATTTTCATCAGAGCCGTTCATATATGTTTTTAGTTTCTTGCATAATCGTCGAACCCTCTTTAGCCTCACAAATTTAAAATTATTTTTACTCGTTTTTTATTTTATAAGATAAGAGTAAAAGGATCTGAGGAAGAGATTTGATTTGACTGACAGAGAAGGCATCTCTTGGGATGTTCCATAAGTATTTATTATTATTGTACACAGCAGCATGTGCCTGTCTTTCATATGCCAAACACAAAAAATACGAATTTATATTTCTTTTGAATCCTAATAATAGTTTACTTTCTTTGCATTATAGGAAATTGTTAAAGGACCTATCTAAGAAGATTTAGCCATAGCTAAATCTAAACAAATAATTTATGTTTTCAACCAACAAACTTTTAACAGTTTTAATACATCTCTGGATAAAATCCTGAATGCTGCAGTTCCTTTGCCTGTTAACTGTTAAAAAAATTAACAATATAGTTGTCATTACTTTTCATGAAAATTTCTCTGATCAAACCCTATTTACAACTGCTGCTCATATTATTCCTTAAAAAAAAGCTTATCAAAATTAACTGCAAATCCGGTCTGATCTAGTCAAACCAGGTTAAACTGTGATGTAAACCCTTGTTTGGTTCGACTTTTGGCAAGTCCTCCTTTATGTCCTATTAATAGAGACTACTTTAGAAAGTACTAACTTGGATTTGATAGTTTCCAATTCCATAATACCTTTTTGCAAAGTCATTGTTGTATATTTGGGTTACCGGCAACAAGATTTAAGAGTTAACTGCTTATGAAATTATTATTTAATAAATTGATGAAATTGGGAAACATTGGTTAATGTATGTACAATGAATCCTGCAAAACATTGCCAATTAGACAACGCACACAAACAAAACACCACTCTCTCTCTTCCCATCCTTCGTCTTCCTCCACATTTCTTTCTCTCTCTCTCTCTTCTCCCAAGAAATAACACAATTTCCCAGATTCAAAGTTCTCTTTTTTTTTTCAACGTCTAAAGAATCTAAGCAGCCATCTCTCTTATTCTTCTCTTTTTTTTTGTAGTATATACAAAAATGAATAAGTTGCTTTGCTCTTTTTCTTCTTCTTATTGAAGAGAGTTTACACTAATAAAACTTCAGAGAAAAAGCAAAAGAAGAAAAACAATCAATCTTAACTTTCTCTTTTTTGTATTATCTCTTTCACTCACTTTTAAGTCTCTTCAGAGATTCAAAAAATCAAAATTCTTCCAGAAACTGCTCAAGTTTCTACTCTTTTAAAGATGATATAAACACACTTCTCATTAAAAAAAATACCAACCAAATCCAATTTCAACTCTCTTTCTCATTCTTTTCTTTAATTTCCGGCAAGTCTTGATACAGTTTTGTTTCGGATTTGATACTATAAAGCAAAAAAAATTATTATATGGATCGGAAGAGAGGGTGCAAGATCAGGAAGAGAGGTGGTTCTTCCTCCTCTTCTTCTTCTCTTGCTCGTCGAAACCGCTTTAAACGCGCAATTTTCGCTGGGAAAAGAGCCTCCCAAGATGACGGCGGCTCAGGAACTCCGGTTAAGTCCATCTCCGCAGCTAAAACTCCCGTACTCTTATCGTTTTCGCCGGAAAAACTTCCTGAAGGCCAGTTCCAGAAACGCTGCGTGTCGGCGAGAAAGCTTGCGGCGACGTTGTGGGAGATCAGCGACGGCACAGACCCTCCGGTTAATTCGGATAGTGATTGCTTGAGAAGCAAGAAACCGTCGAGACGCAGATCGAAGAAATCAACAGAGATCTCTTCCATTGACTTCCCGCCAAAATCATCCGATCCGATTTCCCGTCTGGGATCAGAGGTCAGCGTTTGCTTCCGTTTCATATTTACTCTGTTTTTTTTTCCCTCTTCTCAAATTCTAAGTCATGAATTCATGATAACCAAAATATCTCAGAGAATCGTTCTCCGCGAAGATATAGTTCGTAAAAGATCAACAAATCCTCTGAAACTACAACTAATTGAATACAAAACCATTGGCACAAACTCGGTATGATTTTCCTTTTTCTTTTTTTTTTCAATATATAAAAAACTCTTTCTTGCGTAAGAAGAAACCTCTGATTAGTTAAATCCGAAACACAACAGGTGAAAACTCGTTTCAAGAATGTCAGCGAGGGTTTAACGACGTCTAAAGAACTCGTGAAGGTTTTGAAACGGATCGGTGAGCTAGGAGATGATCACAAGAAAGCAAGCAATCGTTTGATCTCTGCGCTGATATGCGAATTGGACAGAGCGAGATCTTCTCTAAAGCATCTGATGAGCGAATTAGATGCGGAGGAGGAGGATAAGCGGAGGTTGATGGAAAAGCTTCAAGAAGAGGCTGTGGTCGAGAGAAAGCTCCGGCAGCGAACGGAGAAGATGAACAGAAGATTAGGGAGAGAGCTCGCGGAGGCTAAGGAAACGGAGACGAAGATGAAGGAGGAAATGCAGAGAGAGAAGAGAGCCAAGGATGTTCTTGAGGAGGTTTGTGATGAGCTAGCGAGAGGAATCGGAGATGATAAGAAAGAGATGGAGAAAGAGAGAGAGATGATGCATATTGCTGATGTTTTGAGGGAAGAGAGGGTTCAGATGAAGCTAACGGAGGCGAAATACGAGTTCGAGGAGAAACACGCCGCCGTGGAGCGGCTGAAGAAGGAGTTCCGGCGGGTTTTGGATGGCCAGGAGGGAAAAGGGTCGTCGGAGATTCGCAGGATTTTGGAGATAATCGACGGTTCTGATGATGAGGATGAGGAGGAGAGTGATCTTAAGTCGATTGAGTTGAATATGGAGTGTGGGAGTAAATGGGGTTATGTTGAAAGCCGGAGAGATCTTCCGAATGAGTCTAGACTTGTTGGCTCCGGCAATGATGATGATGATGATCCTGTCGAGAAGAGATCAGTGGTTGTTGACAATGGGGAGAGAGATGAATCGTTAAAGATTTTAAGAGATTACATTGTTTCGAATGTGAGATTCATCGGTTCTTCTTCCTCGGAGCAGTTGAAACATCGGCACTTACCTAGCTCGGAGTTTGTGTAGTCACCGGAGCTAGCGCCGCCGTTGAAAAAAAAAAAACCATGCAACGTATATATATTTCTTTATTTGTAATTTATGATTCGAATTAATTTTTTGAATTTGTTTCGGAAAACAAAACCAGTTCACCGGAATGCTACATTTTACTCTTTGACACACACGAATACTACTGTATGGGTTTAACAACGAGTACAACTATAAACCATTATACTACATGTCTTGATTAATCTTAATCAAAATACGATTTTATGGATATTATATTTCCATCTGATAATTTTTCTACTTTTATAATCGGAGTGTGTAATTAAATGGTTTGTACTAATGCAAACATTGTGTCATAATCCAAGTTCAAATATGAAAGTGTGCGTCTGTAGTTTAGATGGGGCCTTTTTCGCTAATAACTAGTTAGGATATAGTAATTAATCAGTGGGGAATATGGGGGTATTAATCAAATCATTTTTGGTTTGAATTGGAGTACATTAATTGGAGTTTACAACTTCTATGAGTTTGATGATATTATATAGAGCATTTGTTTTGTTTTTGTTTTTGTTTTTGTAGGCATAATTGAGGATACACACATGGAAACGTCGGTTAAGTGTAAAACTAAATTGCTTAAATAATTACAACAATTAGAACAAGAACAACGAACAATAATGAGACATAATTGATGCAAGAAAGGATTAGTTTAATACAGTAGTATGATTGTGAATCAAAAATGAAACAAAGAGGTTTTACTTTTCTCTATTATTGTGTGGACATGGAATAACGTCGCTCCATCTTCCCATGTGGTTTTGTCGCAACTATCCGTTACGTTTCACCCTATTTGTTTTGTCGTAAAAAAATCAAACAATAAGTTTCAAAAACAGTAATAAGATGACAAAGTTAGGGACTCAAGTGTGGAGAATTTTTGGGATATTTGCAATTTGTTCCATTTTCTTGGATCTAACATTATCCGATTTACGTTACCCATTAACTGGTAAAAAAAACCAAGCCACTAAAGTTGAAACCTACAGAAACCCTACAGATGTAGAGTGAAAGCACTATTGGGTGCCACTAGGCTTTACAAGTGTATGTGTGGGTTTATCTCTTTGTCTCCTTTTGGCTTTGAATAGGTATATAGAACAAATGCAGATTTAAGAAAATGCTGAACTAACTACATTTGTGAACCATTCACAGTTTAAATACAGAACAAATAATTAATAATAAATAAATAAATGATTTGCATGCAGAACCATTATTGTTTTGATTTTTTTTATCTGCATTTAAAAACAAGAAATCTATTGAAAAGTACCAGATCTAATTTTAATTTTTTTTTATTAATTTAAATTAATCATGATTTGCATATGTTCTGTTTTATCTACATCATTTACTTGATCTGCAGCTTTTAATCTGTGCTTCCATTCAAAACCAAAACTGTGAAAAAGTTCAATGAACCTATCAGTCACTATTGTTTCGACATTGATGTTAGTAATAACAACTGTCAGTGGACAGTTCCTTTATAAACATGGGTGAAACATTTTAGATTACTATTTGGTTGAAGATTCTATTCTGCTGGGTTTTAATTATAATGATTTTCGAGATAATTATTTTTGAGAAAAATTATCGTAACAAGTTATTAAATCACTAATTATATGTACAAATTTGAAAATGAAACAAACGAGCAGAAACAACAATTATAGACGATGAACACAAGACAGACTCAATATAACGATTTGGAGCTACTAATGATAAAAATCCAATAAGTAATAGTCCAACAAATCGTGACGTTTGAAAGTTTATTTGTTGACGGTCTCATCTTTGGTTGTTACCTTGGACGTGAAGCTGACCCCTTTTCTCGGATGCTCCCTTATGTTCAAGCTAAAGACTTCAGGCCTCTAGTAGTGACCGACCACATCAAAGTCAAACTTGGAGATAATGAAAGCAACAGAAGGTTTCCGTAAGGTTATCTACAGCAACTATCACGGTTCTACATACAGAGCCAGATTTAAAGGTGGTGAGGTAGCTTTGATTTAAGAAAAACAAAATGACTCAAAGAAAAAATAATATGAGATAGAAACCTATTCTTAAAATAATCATACCTCAAAAAAAAAAAATAAAAAAAAAATAATAATCATACCTCATTGATTGGTTTCAGCTTTTTCGGTGAAGGATCCTTCACATCGCCACATATATAATTATCATCACCACGTATATAATCATCATCATATTTATACAAACGTATATCAAAGGATCTCGAAGAATATTGGTAACTAAAATGAGTTTGGTTTGTTTCTTTCTCCTGCGGAATAACGAAAATAATAACGAAAATAAGTATATAGAGATAATGGCAAGACTTGGCTTAAAATGCACTGAAAAAAAAAAAAACGTTTAAATACCTAAGAACAAGAATTCAACTTTGAAAAGAAATACTCCTAAAAGCCAAAACTACTTATCATAACTACCGCAATCCATAAACATGATTAATCATAACTACTTATCTCTTTTTGGAATAGTTTAATCGGAGGATTAGGAGTGATAATTCTGGGTTAGAGTAAAAGATGTCATGATGAATCAAGAACAGAGAGAGAACCAAAACAACTCAGCAGATTTTAATAAGAGCAACACAGTTCGAAAAATAGAATTTAAAAATAAATCAATACAATAATAACACTCAAATCTCTCCATAAGTTGACACATCAGATTTTTTAATTTTTAAAAAGCTTATACATCAGCTATTTCATAAACCAATCAAAATAAAACATTAATACAACTCATCTACTTATTTTAACCCATTAAAAACCCAAATACATTTTTGTTAATAATTTACTTTATTTTTTAACAAATCAAAGCCCAAATAATAAATAACAGCAAATGAAAAAATCTTTGTTTTATTGTTTGGCAAATTCAAGCCCAAATAATAAATAATAGTAAATAAAAAAAGTTAAATCTTTTTTTTTTTTTGCCAAACCCAAACTCAAATAATATTTAACAGCAAATAAATAAAAACATTTGTAGCTATTTGTTTGTTCGACAGAGACATACATGATTGAAAAAGTGTAGGCTCATCATCAACTATGTTTCTATAACAATAACGCAAAAAGCCTTATGATATAAGAAACTCACACATCAGCAAAAATTTGAACCAATAAAAACATAACAATAATACATATCATTAACACACTAATAAAATCAGTTTACTATTTTGCAGACCCATTAAAAAGCCCAAAACTTTACAAAAAAAAATGGAAGTGAAAAGCAAAAAATGAGAAGCTCAGACCACCATAACTTGGAGATTCGCATTTCGAGTGGTTACTCAGAACAAATTTTTATGGGTTTAGCGGGAATAGGGAATTCTTTGGTTTTGGTAGGAAAATGTGATTTTTAGTTTTGCTAGGAAAACATAATTTCTTGGTTATGGCGGAAAAAATGAATTATCAGGTTTGACAGAAAAATGTAAATTTTTGGTTTTGGTAAGAAAACAAAAAAAAAACTGATTTTGACGTGAAAACAAATATCTTAGTTTTAACAAGAAAATGCGAGGGAAAAACAACTTTTCAATTGACAAAAATACGATTTCTTGGTTTTGATAGGAAATGCAAATTTTCGGCTTTTGATGGATAATGCGATTTCATAATTTTTGCGAGAAAATATTATTTCTTAATTTGCATGGGAAATTGTAATTTGACGATTTTGACAGAAAATACAATTTCTCTGTTTGATGGGTAAACAAAATTTCTCGATTTTGGAAGGAATAAGCAATTTTTCAGTTTTGATGGGAACTACAATTTTTCAGTTTTTGACATATAATGTGATTTTTTGGTTTTCGCCGTAAAATATGATTTTTTAGTTTTCGCGGAAAAGATAATATAATTTTTGGTTTTCGCGAGAATTTGTAGTTTATCAGTTTTGGTAGGAAGGTCTGGTTTTTGGTTTGATATTTTTTTTTGCGGGAATTGATGATTTCTCGGTTTTCATAGGAAAAATGATTTTTTTGGTCTTAGTGAAAAAACTTGATTTCTCTATTTTGACAAGAAAACACAGGTTCTCGCAGGAAAATATGATATTTTGGTTTTTGCGGAAATTGCAATTTCTCTGTTTTGGTGTGAAAATGAAATTTTAAGTTTGACGAGAAAATGAATGTTTTTGGTTTTGGCGGGAATAGGTAAAATAAAATTTTTTTGTTTTGTCAGAAAATGCGATTTCTTAGTTTTTTTTTTAAAATGACAATTTGCTTTATATAATTTCAAAGGAGGATCAAGTGGTAATTTAATAGAGATAACAAATTACATTTGCTATTAGTATAAATGTACTTAAAAATGTATTGTTTTGTTCTTACATATACATTCGTAGATAGTTAGCTAAACAAATTTGATAGTAAATTATAATTTTGAAAAATAAAAAAAATTAAAAGATATTAAATGTTTATTCAGATTTAAAACATATAAATAAATAACTTAAGCTAATAAAAAATAAATATAATACTCATTTACATTATAAAAATAATTTTATTATATTAAAAATATATATAAAATCTAGAAATATATCGTGCAGCGTAGCGCGGATATATATCTAGTATTCCTAATAAGGAAACGATCTATATAATAAAATAAAGATAATTGGAATGTGTTACGTGAAACTTCAATAAAATAAAGATTTTTGACAACCCAATTTTAAAATAAAGATCCTTCACCACCCATTCTTAAATAAAACCAATAAAGAACAAGTTTAAATAAGGATTCACCTTTGGAATATTCTCAGCTTGTATGCTATTCAGAATTTGTTTCAGCGATTTCTTTACTGATTTAATTTGCTGGCAATATAGAAGATAAAAGATACTCATTAATATGAACCAAATCAATTAAACAAATAACAAAGAAGAATAAAAATTGGTAAATAGAGGGGAATATAACCTTCAATGAAAGGTCTATTAGCTCTCTTAGGGTTCGTTCTTTCGTTTCCTGCGAACATAAAAGGCCAAAAAAAACATGAGTTTACTAAGATTTAGAGGAAAAAGTACAAAAAGCAAAAGTTTAACAATGTTAGTTAACCTGAGACTTCTTTCTTGAAGAACAAGGTTGAAGAACAGAATGCTTCCACTTCTTGTCCATTAGAGAGAAGATAGATCCGCAAGAGTGAAAAATAAAAACTAAATCGGCGAAAGTTTAGGTGAATAAAGAGTGACTGCGGAAACCCTAAATTCCTCAGTTATATAGTCTTTTTTATTGGGCTGGCCCTTTACTTGGACGTGAAGCTGACCGCTTTTCTCGGATGCTCCCTTATGTTCAAGCTAAAAACTTCAGGCCTCGAGCAGTGACCGACCACATCAAAGTCAAACTTGGCTCGTCCTATGTTTCCAATATCTGTCCGAGGATATGATTAGTTTCTGTTTTTTCTTTGGAGAATGAAAGAGACTAGTCGATGAACAAGTGTCAATAATACCTAGATCAGCTGAGATGAAACCCTCTCCTTCATAGTTTGGTCCAGCCAGAACGATTCGTAGGATTTTGGAGATAATCGACGGTTCTGATGATGAGGATGAGGAGGAGAGTGATCTTAAGTCGATTGAGTTGAATATGGAGAGTGGAAGTAAATGGGGTTATGTTGAAACCCGGAGAGATCATCCGAAGGAGTTGAGACTTGTTGGCTCAGGCAATGATGATGATGATGATCATCCTTTGGAGAATAGATCGGTGGTTGTTGACAATGGGGAGAGAGATGAATCTTTAAAGATTCTAAGAGATTACATTGTTTCGAATGTGAGATTTATCGGTTCTTCTTCCTCGGGGGAGTTGAAACATCGGCACTTACCTAGCTCGGAGTTTGTGTAGTCACCGGAGCTAGCGCCGCTGTGGAAAAAAAATCATGCAACGTATATAAATTTCTCTTTATTTGTAATTTATTCGATTTTATTATTTGAATTTTTTTATGATACGACAATGACACTAGTACAATTATAAACCATTATAGGGACTATACATGTCTTGGTTAATCTTAATCAAGATACGATTTTATAGATATTATATATTTCCATCTGACAAATTGGAGTGTGTAATTAAATGGTTTGTAGTTTGTACTAATGCAAACATTGTGTCATAATCCAGGTTCAAATATGAACGTGTGCGTCTGTAATTTAGACGACAACTCATTAGATGGGGACTTTTTTGCTGATAACTAATTAGGCTAAAATTAATCAGTGGGGAATATGGGGGTATCAATCAAATCATTTTTGGATGGAATTGGAGTACAATGTATACAACTTCTTTGAATTTGAGGATATTATATGTAGAGCATTTGATTTTGTCTTTGTAGGCATAATTGAGGATACACACATGGAAACGTTGGTTCAGTGTAAAACTAAATCATAAATAATTACAACAATTAGAATAAGAACAACGAACAATAATGAGACATAATTGATGCAAGAAAAGGATTAGTTTAATACAGTAGTATGATTGTGAATCAAAAATGAAACAAAGAGGTTTTTGCTTTACTCTATTATTGTGTGTGGACATTGAATAGCGTCGCTCCATCTTCCCATGTGGTTTTGTCGCAACTATCCGTTACGTTTCACCCTATTTGTTTTGTCGTTAAAAAATCAACCAATTAGTTTCAAAACAGTAATGAGATGACAAAGTTAGGGACTCGAGTGTGGAGAATTTTTGTGATATTTGCAATTTGTTCTATTTTCTTGGATCTAACATTATCCGATTTACGTTACCCATTAACTGGTAAAAAACCAAGCAACTAAAGTTCAAACCTAGAGATAAACCCTACAGATAGTAGAGTGAAAGCATTATTGGTTGCCACTAGGCTTTACAATTGAAACCAATTGGGAAAAGATCAAATGCTAAAAACATTGGTCTAATATAGTTAGAGATTTTGTCAGCGTGATCTTTTCAAGTGTATGTGTGGGTTTATCTCTTTGTCTCCTTTTGTCTGTATAAACTTTGAAAAAGTTCAATGAACCTATTTAGTCAGTGGACAGTTCGTTTATAAGCATGGGTGAAACATTTTAGATTACTATTTAGTTGAAAGATTCTGCTTTTGCTGGGTTTTAATTATCGCAACCTGTTTAGTTGAAGACCGTCAAACCTAATATTTTCTTAAGAACTCATATTCTGAACCAAACAACACTAAAAATTTTTTTGTCTCTTTTTGCTTATATTGAGGAGGCAGGTCCTTAAACTTTCGATCCTTGCAACAATTTCTGTTTGCTAACCACCTAGAGTTTGTTTTCTAGAGAAAATAAAAATAAAATATTAATAACAAATTAATAGAACAAAAAGTAAATAATTTTATTTAATCTAACTCTATCTCATATGCAGGGTCTGACTTGGGCCGGTAATGAGATACCCACCATCCTTGAAATGGCGTCACAAAGACAGGATAATTCCCCACCGTAACCCTGCATGCTCTGTGAAATTCCTTCTTCAAGATTTTCAATGGTTAATGAATTCTTAAGTTCATAAATATTTAATTTCACCATTGTATACCATTGCCTATATGTAGCAACGGCCCAACAATTTCCTATCAAAAAAAAATGTCAAATGATAAGGTGACGATCGAAATTAGCGGCAAGACGTTGACTTCCAAGGAGCCCTGCTATAACATCGCTGCTGAGTTGAACCGCAAATATGGGCTGCAACAACCAAGCCCGCCAACGGAAATGTGAAAACTTTAGATTCTTCAGTTATATATAGTTTTTCTTTATGTTAAGAGTAAACTTTGTATTTTTGGGAGGTTATTATAATGAATGCATGATTCTAGTTTGCTCATAGTTTGGTTGGTAAGTAGAGATTTTTGTATTTTCTCACATATACCAAATTTTAATTAAACAGATAAACGGATACAACAAATGATTAATTACAAATTTTCCATAATTACGAACTTTTTAGATTATCTTTTATAACAAATCACATCTTGTTTTCGAAATTAATCAAACTTTTTTGGTTTATTTGCACAACTTTCGTTCATCTATCCTTGATAGTTGATACCATTAGTTTTCAAAGATATCGAAAACAGTAAATCAAATGATTGAAAAAAGTAAAAGAAGAGGCAGACTAATGTATTTGAAGTCTTCCCATGTGATTAAGTCTCAACTATTACGTTTACAATGTATTTTGTCCTGAAAATTCAACCGATATGTTTCAAAACACTAATGAGATGACAAGAAAAAACGGATGGCTCTTCATTTTTCTACAGATCTTGACGCGTTAACACATAGAACTTTTGTGATCTTTGCAATTTGCTCCATTTTTTTTTGATCAACATTTTCCTATTTATTTACCTATTAACTGGTATTACCAACAAAAAAAAACCCAATAAAGTTGAATCCTAGAGATAGTAGAGTGAAAACATTATGGGTAGGTGCCACTAGGCTTTACCATTCTAACTAACTCGAAAAAGGTCAAAATGCTAAAAACATTGGCCTCGAGATTTTGTCAGCGTGATCTTATCAAGTGTATATGTAGTTATGTCTTTGTATCCTTTTGTCTGTATAAACTTTGAAAAGGTTCAATGAACCTAAACTTTGAAAAGGTTCAATGAACTTAACAGTCACTATTGTTTCCACATTGATGTTAGTAATAGCAACTGTGGACAGTTCGTTTATAAACATGGGTCAACATTTCAGATTACAATTTGGTTGAAGATTCTATTTTGTTGTTTTAATTATAACGGCTTTTTAGAAATTCAAACTCAATATATTGGGTTTTAATTCACTAATTTTATGTATAAACTTGAAGATAGAACGAGACGAAACAACAAGTTATTGAATCACTAATTTGTAATCGTAACAAGTTATTGAATCACTAATTTTATGTATAAACATGAAGATGGAACGAGACGAAACAACAATATAGACGATGAACAAAAGACAAACTCAATACAGTTAATAATAGTCCAACAAATCTTGACGTTGAAAGTTCATTTGTTGACGACGGTCTCGTCTTTGGTTGTTACCTTGGACGTGAAGCTGACCGCTTTTCTCGGATACTCCCTTATGTTCAAGCTAAAAACTTCAGGCCTCGCGTAGTGACCGACCACATCAAAGTCAAACTTGGCTCGTGCTATGTCCCCAAGATCTGTCGGAGATTTTTATGGATATGATTGGTTTCTGTGTTTTCTTAAAAGAATAAAAGATAGTAATCGATTTAACAAAGGAGTATTAATAATACCTAGATCAGCAGAGAGAAGAGCCTCTCCTTCATAGTTTGGTCCAGCTAGAACAATTCCCAAAGGTGAAATGATAGAGCTTCCACCGGCGCAGACAACAGACTCCGGTGTGAGGCTCTCTTCTGAGCCGGAAAACAAGTATTCCGGCGGAGGAGGATAATCTTTCCGGCGACAAAATTGGTTAGCTGACAACACAAAACAACCACCTTCAAGAGCGATGTGAGTCATCGATGCTAGCCAAGTCTCTCTAGCATCAGCAGTGGGTGCACAATAGATCTCAATGCCTGCAAAACAGAGGAATCAACATTAACCATGAACAAACCACAAAGCTGCACATTGCTACTAACTTCTTCTAACTTAGTCTGTGAAAAAAAAACACATTTTCATAATACTAACCTTTGGCATACATGGCGGTTCTTAGAGACGGCATCCTATTTTCCCAACAGATAGCAGCGCCGATTTTCCCGATGGGAGTGTCGAAAACGGGGATCGTCGAACCATCTCCGAACCCCCAGATGCAACGTTCGAGAGCCGTCGGCATGAGTTTCCGGTGCTTCCCCAAGAACTGACCTTGTGGATCAAAGAAGAGGACAGTGCAGTATAGCGTATAGCCTTCCCTCTCTATCACACCCATCACCAAGAACACTTTGTACTTCTTCGCCATTTCAGCTAATCGTTCCACTTCAGGGCCTAATACCAAAAAAAAGAAGTTAACATTTGGTTAAATCAAAACAGATGATGAATGAAAGAATGTATTTTTACAGTTCACGCACACTTGGTGATTCAGGAAACACTCTAAACTAGAGACGGAAGCTCGAGTAAAGATTACAATCTTTAATCTCATCAACAATGTTTAATATGAAAAGAGTCTGTGTTGCTGAGGCGTTTCAATCACTAAAGTAAACCCTAAATTAAAGAGTTATGGAACAATCTCAATTTTTTTCCAGATGACTAATCGATCGAGCAAACCAAAATGAAGAGGCTTTTCAAGTTTTACCAGGAACATCAATAGCAGAAGCATGGTACTTGCGAAAATCGTCTCTTCCTTTGGCGGTACGAGCACCAATGGCAAGCTCGAAGCTAGAGCCACGAGGGTATCCGCCGATAAACGCCTCCGGGAACACCACGAGCTGGGAGCCATGGTCCGCCGCCGCCTCTGCAAGCAGCCTCTCTGCTTTATCTGCAAAATCCGGGGATGATTCTCATCGGATCAATCAACCAAGTGAATCAAAATCAGTAAGGAAGATAAGAGAGAGACGGAGAGGATCGAGAAAGGGGGAACCTAGAGTGGCGGGAGTATCGTAGAAGACGGTAGAGGCCTGGACGACGGTTGCTCGGACGTTGGGAGATGAGTCGCCGCCGGTCATATCAACCTCGGGGAAGATTTGATCGACGTTGACCGGAGGATTCGCCGTGACGAGAGACATTTCTTGCTGACTGGACATGGAGCTCGATAACTGTGTGCAAGCAGAGAGAGAGACGAAACGGATTGGATGATTTTGCTAGTGGTTTAGTTGGTAGGTGGAGATTTCCGTATTTTCTTTTTTCACACATGATACAAAATTATTAATTACGAATTTTCGTAACATTTAAAAATATAATAAAAATTCCCATTATATTTCCATTAACGAACCTAACTCTTGAGAAATTTCAAACTTCGATCAATCTTTATTTAACCAACAAATACTAATTCGTAAATTACCGAAAGTTAAAGGGATTAGAAGTTTCCATATTTTTTTCCCACTATGGATTTGTAAATTAAAAACATAAGAATTAAATTAAATAAAAATTTCGTCAAGATCCAAATTGGAAAAGGAACAGGGTCCTTGTTTTTCGGTCTATTTGTTATAAAAACTGAAGAAGTAAGAGCATCATGATTCATGATGTTCAAGCTAAGTCGATATTCTGATAGCAAACATGTTCGATGACTCCTCATCACACCGTCTTGTCGGTAAATTCTTCACAAACTCAGCTCCTCCGTCTTTCGAAGAAACAGAACAATCGCTCCGGAAACAATGGGCTCTCTCCGACGACATGACTGTCGAAAAGCCAGACGACGGCGATACGTACTTGTTCGAATTCAGACAAAAGAGTGACAAAGAGGAAATTCTGAAACATAGACCTTACAACGTCAATGGAGTTATCATAGTAATCAAGGATCTAAACTCCTCCTACGTGATTGATTTCACTGTGGCTTCCTTCTGTGTCGTTGTCGTGGGTATACCTCCGTATCTTTTAACCAGAGAAACCCTCCCGGCTCTCCGATCTCAAGTCGGCGACAACAATCCCGTTTTCTTCCAAGAAATCGACCAAAACAACAACGTTTCAAACTGTTTCTTAGTGGAAGTTGATCTCAAGAAGCCACTCAGACCAGGATTCTACATAGATAAAGGGAAGCGATTCGTGGAGTTCAAATACAAGAACTTGGGAGATTTCTGCTACAGCTGCGGAATGATTGGCCACGTCGAGAGAAGCTGTGACAAGGTTAGGTTCCCCAAGGAACGTAACTTGAACGCCACGTCAAGAACGCACGTCTATGGCCCTTGGCTAAGAGCTTCTCGCTCCAATATGTGTTACAAATCGGTTCTGATTAAATCACCGGAGAAGAAACAGAATGGTGTTCGTGAGTGCGAGAAGACTCTCTCGTATGCTCAGTTCTTCATAGAGCTTGAGTTTAACACCGTCTGTGTCTGCAACACTAATATCATCAATCTGGTAACAGAGTCCACTCACAGATTTCGTTTCCCCTGTTCTTACATCGAAACGAAAACAGAGTCCGCAGAACTTGCTAATACTACTACTTCGAAAGCTTACGAGGTTATACGGAGGGAGATCAACGAGAATACGCCTTTCTCTCTTGGCGTTTGGAACGTTACTGAAATTCTTGTGGAGCAGTTGGAAATCATCAAGTGGAACGAGTTTCGCTGTGATGATAAGTGGTTGCCTTTTAAGCTTCAAATCAACCGAACATATAAGCTAACGCCTGTTGATTACGAGACAATGCTCCAGTTTTTTGGGGACTTGAAACGCGAGGTGTTGATCCAGAGTAAGATCTCGGATTTGATCAAGAAGAGAGTGGAGGAGAACGAGGATTTGCTTTCTTTGCCTTCCTGGGAAGATCAAATCAGAAAAGCGATATCGGAGATGGGTTTCACTCACTATATGCACCACTATTATGTGTCTAGTAGAGCGGCTCAGGCGATGATGGAGGCAGTTCAGATGGAGATTTCTCCGGCCAGCACTACGATACCTGCAGATAGATCTACGGTCTGCGGGTTAGAGCGTTTTAAAGTGCTTGGACCCGACATGGACCGGCTCGATCCGTGCGTGATTTGCGCTGGAGAGATGTTTCTTGCGGAAGAAGCAACCGTTTTGCCTTGCTCTCATGTCTTCCACAGCTCTTGCATTGAAAAATGGCTTCAAGTTGGTCACAAGTGTCCTCTTTGTGGTTTCAAGTTACCTTTACAACAAAAGTAAACAATATTCTTTGTAAATTCGGAATTGATTCACTTCATTATAACATTTTCGTATGTGTCTCTTCCTATCTCGTTCAGTATAGACAATCAATATGTACTTTGACATCAAGAAGGAGAAAAATGAGGCAAATAATACATTGACTTGCTTAAGGGCTTTATAGTAATAAACTAAAGTAGAGGTCTTAAATTAAGACTAGGTGAAAACATTAAGGGGCTAACTGAAATAAAGCCTTTATTTTGACCAAGGTGTGGTGACGTGGCATTCACAGGTGAATTGTGCAATGGGCGCGCAACACCTGGGCAAAACCCTTATGTGTAGTGTGTGCATTGTTCAGCTGAAGAAACTCAAAGCTTAAGTGAGAACTGAGAAGTGAGCACTGAGAAGAAATCTCTAGAAACCAGAGAAATAAAAAAATAACACTTTAGTAGTTTCTCCGAGAGGGCGATTTGTTGAACAGTCTTAAGCGCTTGTGGCGAGTGCTGTGTACGTGCGCGCCTTCATGGAGGCGGAGGCGGTGGGAGGTTTTAAGGATACGGCGGCGTCAGTGGAAGCGTCGACGGTGTTTCCGGGGTTCAAGTTCTCGCCGACGGACGTGGAGCTTATCTCGTACTACCTGAAGCGGAAGATGGACGGCTTGGAGAGGTCCGTCGAGGTTATACCGGACGCCGATATCTACAATTTCGAGCCCTGGGACTTGCCCGGTTTGTCTTCGTTCCGATTCTTTCTTCTACTTCGAACTTGCTCTTGCTGTTCGTGGTTTCGCCCTCATGAATCAGGAAGAAATAAACATAGCACTTACTATTTTGGGTGCTCGGAGATATCGTTATCAAATACTGTATTTAGTTTGTCCTTCCTTTTGTAATCTGGTTTTTTTGGTTGAAATTGTAGCAGTTTCTAGGGGAAGGTAAGGTTCACTCGTTTGAATTCATCTGATTCTGTATATCCTTGAAGTTAGGGCACAGAGGATGCTTGAGATTTGGGGTCCTTTTAAGCAACCTTTAGATCTGTTTGATGTTGCAAATATGATTGATGTTTCGTATACAATTGGGAAACTCTGTCCTATGACATGCTCTTGCTGTCTACTTGCTCATGTTTCTCTCCTATTTGAATTTGAATCTGTAAGCATTGCCATTTCTTTCGTGACTGTATGTTCAATCTTTTGTGGAGATGATTTGCTGGTATAAGTGAGACTATTAATAGAAGCTTCCACTTACTCTTTTTGTGTGTTTGCTTTGCAGATAAGTCGATAGTGAAATCTGAAACGGAATGGTTCTTCTTCTGCGCCCGTGGCAAAAAGTATCCACACGGTTCGCAGAACAGGAGAGCGACCAAGATGGGATACTGGAAAGCGACTGGGAAAGAGCGTGATGTCAAGTCTGGCTCTGAAGTCATCGGAACAAAGAGGACGCTTGTCTTCCATACCGGTCGTGCACCAAAAGGCGAGAGAACAGAATGGCTTATGCACGAATACTGCATGAAAGGAGTATCTCTGGTAAACTCTTCCGAGACTTTTGTTTTGTTGTCTTTTACAATCATTTTGTTTGTTAACCATTACATAACTATCGGCTACTTGAGGACTTCATTGGTTTGTCTCCTGTAAAAAAATTATAGGATGATGCTGCTTTGGTTGTTTGCCGGCTTAAGAGGAACAAAGAATTTCAAAGTTGTACAAATCAGAAGGCACGAGCGCCACATTCAGCACCCGAGAAGAAGCACACGATCTTGCAAAATGGTGCTGCTGCTGCTGCTTCAGGAAGCCCGTCTGATTTGGACGACATGGTTGATTTTTACCGTGCAGGTGAATCAGGGGTTAAACTGGTCAATGAGATGGCAGCGACCGCAGAAGATCTACAGGTTTGGTTGTCCCCTTCGTCTTGTTTACTTTTGTATCACACACATACTGTTTACGCATTCATATACTTGTTTCTAGTCGATGATGATATACACTAACGTTTCATGTAATTCTCTGTGTAGGTGCACACTGAAGATGATTTCTTTGCGGATATCCTAAGGGACGAGATCATAAACCTTGATGAAATGGTGATGTCGGGGAGCACATCAAACGAAGTCCCAACACTTGAATCAGCGTCAATGTCTATAAGGGTACTTCCGTTACCAAACATGATAGACAAACAAATGGCTTCGCTGGTAGAGGCAATACCATCACAGGAGAAGAGCGGAAAAGAGAGCAATGGCACTGAATCATTGTCGAGCTGCTTCGTGGGTCTGTACTCGATCAAAACGGTGAACCGGGCACGATGGAATGTTATTATATGTGTTGTGGCTCTGACTGTGTTGTTGTTTTTTCTAGAGTAAAAGAAAAAAAAAAAGGCTATGGAACTAGGAACCAGTGTCCTCCTGTCTTGTTCTTTCTCATGGTGTTGTTATATGATGTTTTTTTTTTGTGTAGGCGGTTTTGTTGTCCTGTCTTTTGAGTTTAATGTTTTAAATCTCAGTTTCAAACCTGTCCACTTTTTAGTTCGGTTATTTGAGCCCTCCAAATCTAAACCAAACCGATGTTGTACCGAAATTTAGTTTGATCGCTTACGTGTGTTTTAATCAGAATGGATAAATGAATTGGGATAATTTTGTAAAAATTACTTTATTTGTCTAATTCCGTACTCTTCTTCTTCTTCTCCGTTTCTTAAAAGACGGTTGCACTTAAAGATTGTCGATTTCTCTCAGCCACTAAACCTTTGCTTTGCGTTTCAATCTCTCTTCCGTACGAGAAGAAGAAGAAGAAGAAGAAGAACCCATCTTCCGCCTCACTGCGCCGTTAAACAATTTTTATCGAAGAGATCTCGATTAGTGTCTTCCGTTACGCGTTCCGCCGAACAAAAGCCTCGGGGAAGACGAGGATTCGATAATGAAGTTTGCTTTCACTGTTCGATTTGGATCTGTAAGCTCAGAGATTACATCTTCTTCGATGCTTTAATTTTGTTTTCAGCGCTGTTAAAAATCGCTTTCTGTATCCATCCCTTGGTAGTTGGTAGGTGTTATATGCTTATACATGTTACAAAATGGATTTTCTTTTCATAATAGCTCACAACATTGATTAGATTGTTCTACTTTTTGGTTTTTGTTTAGAAAATTCGTTTTGGATAGGTGAATCTAAACTCGCATTAGCTCTTCATAAATTTTGCCCCTTTTCAATCTCATTTTCGATATATTTAGCAATTTGATTATGCTTAGTCTTGGATATGTGGTGTAATATGTGTGTTTAAGGATGTGTGTTTGGAACAGACTTTGTAGTGTAGGAGCTAAAAGGAAAAATGTCGAGGCCGGTCATGCTCGTCTTTCTTCTGGTCATACTTATAGTCACCTCTCAGTTTGAATGGAGGCAACCGCTTGTAGAGCTTGATGCAGCTCCTAGCTTGAATCAGAAACATCAGCAAATCGCAAAGAAGGAAGAAGCTGTCAAGGAGAAGGTACTGATTCTTACTCTTTTCATGGAAACGTCTCTTGTGTCTTCACATCAAAAATGTCTACACTTCTATACCTGAAAGGGTTTTGGGATTGCGAAGAGATATGCATAAACTACATAGAGTCGGTTACCTTATAATGTTATGATGGTAGAGATTCATCATATATCTGCATGATGGGACATCTTGGATCAGTTTGTTTCTGGACTTTGTTTTGTTGTCTTTCTGGCTTTATCCTTGGTATTGGGATGCTTGTAATGTCATGGGACTCTGCACAATTCTGACCTTATCAGGGATTGAATTTCATTTCTTTAATCTTTCTTCTTTTTCTAGAATGTCGGTGGGATCCATCAGTGACTGATCAGAATTTGTTAGTGTTGCATAGAAATATTGTCTTCTATTGAGTTTCCCCTGATTGCATCATATAATTGAGATTAGTGGAGAAAGGTAGTGTAATAATAACATCGTTGTCTTGCAATAAACTCAGTGTTTCAGCGTAATTTTGAGCCCTTTCAAACAGAGCAACTGTCATTTCTAACAGATGATTTGTCTCTTGTTTTGTTGATCGTTACAGATCATCTTGTCACAAGAGAGACATATCCAGAGGCTAAACGACCTTGTACGAAGTCTTCAAATGCAGTTACTGCGATGCAAACTAGGAGAGAACGTAACACGAAACGCCACTGAAACCTTCCATCTCAATAAACAGTTCATTGAGCTCGAGAGGAAAAACATTGTGCAAGACTAATATTCTTCACTCCCTGCAACAACTCTAATAAATAACACAAATGGTAAGTAAAAGCTATGGACGCAAAACAAAAAAAAAACGAAGAAGAAAACTCATCTTTGATCCTCTAAGCTCCAACTCTTGTATTTTATTTCTGTTGTGGTAAAACCTTGTTGATGATTTGAGTAGGAGGAATTGCTTTACTTATGAAGAAGGTTGAGATATATTTAAGTGTTATAAAATTTTAAAATTAGAGTACACTTGTAATATCCTTAGCTATGGTTGATTTATTATTATGATATTATATCTGACAAATACACATATTATTATATACATAATCGAAATATGTGTGTGTTCGTATAGTCAAAATTTGGTTTGTTGTTTGATCTTACTTTTGAAAATTTAGGGTAACGAAAGTCCTAAGATGACAATGGCAATCTTATGTCATATGAATCTCCCCACTCGATTTGCAATTTTGTTTTTATTCAGAGCCTAAAAAGCTCACCAACCACACTCCAAATTTTTTTCCAAGTCAAACAAAACCAAATCCCAACGAATATTAAAATTTATCTTTTTTTTTGTCAAACAAAAAAAAAATTTATCAATCGTTAATGTTCTTACATTTTTTTTTAACATTTCATTCACTTTCGAAAGTCAACAATCTTAACAATTAAAAGCCATTCATCTAGTCATCTTTTTGGTCAATTTTTACATCATTTTGTTGGCCGTGCGTCTAGCTGTCCAAATTCATTTTCACCAATATTATTCAATTTTCAACAACAATTGTTCAATGCTACTTTTAAATGTTTTCCGAAGAATATTCGTCTATTTTATTTCTTTCTAAGAAAATATTATTTTGAACATAATACTGGTTATTTATTTGTGGGATTTGGAATAAAACATTTCTCCTCTTCAGTTCTCAATTCTCATGGTCATGCATGCCATGATAATACTATATAATAATATCGCCTACCCATTTAACTACAATATTTTTTGTCAACACTCATTTAACAACATTACAACCTTACAAGCTCGAAAGAAATGGTCTACTTCTCTCTCTTTTCTCTCGATTTGAATTTCAATTTTCATGATAAAAATATGAGAAAAAGGACAAAGTATCTCTCGTTTGTATTTATCCAAATACTATTTGGTAGTAAATGCAATTTCAGAGCCCAAGTCATATACTCCATCTTTTGCATATTATTTTCAAATGACATTTATTGCTACAAACGCCTCATTTTTGTAATTATTTTTATCAAGAGTATTTATTTTGAAAGCTAGATAAAACTAATCTTACTAGCAATTAATTAATATGCATTCAATGAAACCCTCTCTCATCATGTGCGTATATCTGTCTATATATAACCGCAGCCAATAACATGAAGACATCATACTTTCTTTCTTTAAATCTCAAGAACAAGAACAAGAACAATACTAGTCTTCACTAAGGTAAGCTAATTCTAAACCAAGATCCAAGTTAATTTGTTGAAATATTGTTATTTTCATCTTCACTTTTTGATTGATAGACAGATAATCATTCAATTGATCAGTTCTACTGTTTTTTTCTTTTTTCTTTTTCATGATATATGTACATGTTTTATAGACCACATACATATCTTCATCAAAATTTGTATCTTGCAAACCTTAGTTTTAATTTTATTTTGTTTCTTATTCAGAGTCCAACCGAATAATATATCAGCAAATATACTCTTCTTGGAAGGCAAGAAACATGAATCAACAACAAGCTGCGACTGCGAGTAATCTTGAACTTGATCTGAAACTAAATATATTGGATTCATCTTTGCCCACTGAGAGCTCATCTTCATCGTTATGCTCGGAGGAAGCTGAAGTTGGAGGAGGAGAGGCGAAATCAATGGGGGTCGTTGGTTGCCCTAATTGCATCATGTACATCATCATGTCTCTGGAGAGTAACCCTAGATGCCCTAGATGCAACAGCCAAGTTTTGCTTGATTTTCTGTCAGGAAACCGTAGCAAGAAGAACATTAATTAAGAAAATACCCAATAAGAACGTTTTTTTCTTCTTAATTTGTTGCCACATATATCGATAGTTTGAATTAATTTTCGATGAACGGTTGTGTTCATAAAACCGAAATCTATATACTTTTGTTTTGCAAGAACATCGTTAATTTATTTTATCTGTAGCGATGAATATATATTAATATAAGCGGTTACAAATGATATACTACTGGATTACGTCGTATAATTGTTAATGACGGATGTGTTCTATTCAAAACAATTATGGTATTCCGCTTTGGGTACTAGATATTTCTTGACTATTGCATTATTTAATTATATAAGTGGAAGTTTGGTTGTTGTTGACTTGTTGTAAGTTCAATGTACTCAGTACATGTACGTGATATATAGCTACGTGTTTAACATGAAAAATGTGGAACAATGCCTTTTTCTTTTCCATTTTTTGCACTAAGTAATTCTAGCTTTAAATGAGAAGGATATGCACATCATACATCAAATAATAAATAGGTTTGGTTTACTTGTTACCAAAGTTGTTGAACTAACAAATTAAATGTCTAAGAAATCATGAAGAAGTGTATTGTTCTTATTATAAATGTGAAATATCTTCACCTAAACTTACTATAAAAATGCATGTTGGTTTTCACATTAATGTCGGATTCAATAATACGTGTTTCGTTCCTTTCCCAACTATCAAAAAAACAACACGTACGTTTAAGTTTGTTTCCCTTAAATTTTTTTTTATCATTACCACTATAATAACCCAAATTCAATCGCATAAACCAAACAAAAATTTTACTTTTTTCAAAAATATTTTCAAAACTAAAGATATTTTTCTACTAAACCAAGTCGATGGTTCCAATTTATTTCCTTCTTATATATATATATATATATATATATATATATATATCTTCCATTCAGAAAGTTCAACCAAAAAGAAAATAAAGTGTCCGATTAAGCATCCCCTTAAGCGTTTGATTACATGACTTCCATCCGAGTTTGAGACATGTCGTGATTTCTATTAATATAATATAGTAATATGCTTTCATAGTTACATTTCATTCATTGTTTTCTTTATAACTATCCAGGTTATATTGACAGTTTAGCGATGAACGATCACCTTATTTTAAAGTATCCAAAAGTTTAGCTAATATTACACACAACATTTACTATTGCACCTTAATGATTGCAGTTAGAGTCAAAACCCAAAGTAAACTCTAATTGCAACTACTTAGGTGCAAATAAATTTTGTATGTAATATTTTTAACTATACTATTGATAGTTTATACCATTTGAAATAACTTTTTCTGATCATAACATTTTAGAAAGATCAAAAAAAAAAAAAAAAAAAATGTTGCAGGTAGATGTGTGTTTGTGTGTATATAATAGATGCATGTAGGTGCAGGTAGCTCATGACAGAAATTGACGGAACACAGAGTTAATCTGATTCTTTAAAAAAGTGGGAAGCTCAAATGCATGTCTTCATTATTTTATTATATTTTCTTCTCATGTTCCCAAGTCACGTGACATTCCTCACCGTCGATCTTTTTGCATGCCATTGTCACTACTTATATACACAAATATATCTCTATACATATAGGATGCATACTATACGATAATTAATGGTGGACAGTTCTTAAATAATCATTCCTGTCGAATATTTTTTATGAGATAGATTTGGGAATCAATGGGGTTTGAATGTTCATTTTAATTGACTATTCTGTCGAGGAAAGAAAAGTTGGTAATGTTTGTAAGAGTACAAGAGTCATGCACATATCAAGACCTAACATCCACTTCAATAGTAACAATAGTTAAATCACAGTTTAATTAATAATTACCCTTTCCCTTTCTTTTTCACTCACTTTTCCTTTTCACCACAAAGCACTAATTGTGTGATCATCATCTTAATGACTACTATATCTCTAAACCCTTCACACACGTCCTCAACACTTCTCGGGCTCTTCTTAATTATAACAAACCCATGATATAAATCCAAGTCGACCATTTCCTCGTGTCAAGATCAAACCAAAGTTCGATTCATCAATGTCGAATCTGATTCGAACAGATCTTCCAAAGAAGAGGAAGAGAGGAGAAAGTAGGGTTTTCAGGCTGAAGACTTTTGGAGAGACGGGACATCCAGCTGAGATGAACGAGTTGTCTTTTCGAGAAAACCTCGGGAAGCTACTTGAGTTTGGTCACTTTGAGAGCTCCGGTCTCATGGGAAGTTGGTCTTTTCAGCTCGAGGTTCATCGTCACCCAAATCCTCTCTATGTGCTTCTCTTTGTCGTTGAAGAACCCATTGAAGCCTCTCTTAACCTTCGTTGCAACCATTGCCAATATGTTGGTGACGTCCTCTCTCTTTCTCTCTCCCACTCTCACTCTCTTTCTCTGTGTATACTTTCTTTTGCACATCTATATTTTCATGCTAATGCATTCGTAAATATGATCAACGTATTAACTTGATAAGCCAACAAAATTGCTAAGATGATCTAGCTCAATATGTAAGCTTTTTTTCTTACTTTAAACTCTAAGAAAGAAATGACATGGCGCATCTAGTTCTATATATTCATAGAAAAAAGTGCATGATGCATATATATATAGCTCAAAAATATAAATTACGCAATGCTATGGATGGAACCTTTCAGGTTGGGGAAACCAAATGATATGCAACAAGAAGTACCATTTCGTGATCCCTTCCAAGGAAACAATGGCTGCCTTTCTGAAACTAGAAGGCGGAGGATATGATTTTCCCGAAAAGGAAAGTCTCTCCCATCTCGTGGATCTTCAAGGCCATATCCTTCACGGCTTCTTTCACTCCAACGGATTTGGTCACTTGCTCTCTCTCAATGGCATCGAGTCCGGTTCCGACTTAACCGGTCATCAAGTCATGGAGTTGTGGGATCGGCTCTGCACCGGTTTAAAGGCGAGGTATAGTAATATTTCAATTACTTCACTTTGTCTTTGTATGTGTGTGCAATGTTCACGTGATAATATGTTATAATTCTATTCAACACTACTCTATTAGTTTTCATACCACAAGCCATAAAATATTTGATTTTCTTTAACCAGTTTGTTATGGTACCGTGGTTAAAAGATTTTCGTTAGGATTGAAAGCGATTTCAATAATTGTTGACCACTATAGACGCTTTGAATTACAAAAAATACCCAGTCTTTGCGTTGATTTTTGAGATTAAGCTGGGTTCTTGTTCAAGATTATCAAAAATGAATATTGGATGTTCTCTGGCTGCTAATTATTAATTTTTTACATAATTTAGTCAATTTATATTTTGAGACACTTTCTTGCATCTAATGATTATGTCGTTCTACCAATATATATCAAATATAGGAAAATAGGGCTGAACGATGCATCGCACAAGAAAGGAATGGAGCTGAGGCTGCTGCATGGTGTAGCAAAGGGAGAGCCGTGGTTCGGTCGTTGGGGCTACCGGTTCGGGTCAGGGACATACGGAGTGACTCAAAAGATTTACGAGAAGGCACTTGAATCGGTCCGTAACGTACCCTTGTGCTTGCTTAACCATCACCTGACAAGCCTTAACCGGGAAACTCCAATCCTCTTGTCAAAGTACCAAACATTATCAACCGAGCCATTGATCACTCTCAGTGACCTCTTCATGTTCATGCTTCATCTCCATTCACGTCTGCCAAGAGATAACCACATGAATAGCTCCAGAAACCAAATCATCTCCATCGATAGTACCAACTGCAGATGGTCTCAAAAACGGATTCAAATGGCAATCAAAGTGGTTATAGAGTCATTGAAAAGAGTCGAGTACAGATGGATATCGAGACAAGAAGTGAGGGATGCAGCTAGAAACTACATCGGGGACACCGGTTTGCTTGATTTCGTGTTGAAGTCGCTAGGAAACCAAGTGGTCGGGAACTATTTGGTCCGACGTAGTCTGAATCCGGTGAAGAAAGTGCTAGAGTATTGCTTGGAGGACATATCAAATTTGTTACCAAGTAGTAACCAAGAACTCATAACCCTTCAAAATCAAATTCCAATGGGGAAGACGACGACAACGGCGACGAACGGACACAACAAGATCACAAGAGGCCAACTGATGAAAGACATGGTTTATTTTTACAAACACGTTCTAATGGACTACAAGGGAGTGTTAGGCTCCATAGGCATATTGAACCAAATCGGAATGGCTTCAAGGGCAATCCTCGACGCTAAATACTTCATCAAAGAGTATCACTACATCAGAGACACATCGACAAAAACAATTCACTTAGACCGAGGGGACAAATTAGGAATCTTTTGTACAATCTTGCGGAAATGTCATCATCATTATAACAACGAGATGAAGATGCCTCCACAAGAGTGCATAGTGGTGAACAAAGACGCAACGTTGAGTGAAGTGTATGGAGAGGCGGAGAGAGTGTTTAGAGAGATATATTGGGAACTTAGAGACGTGGTGGTGGAGTCAATGGCGGATGATCAAAGGGAGATCACCACAGGGGTCGATGAAATGGCCTTGAATGGGATCAAAGGATTGGTATTAGAAGGGAATGTGGGAATGATGATGGACATTGAAGTGATGAAGTGCTATGATGATGAGTATAAGAAGAAGGATAAGAGGATCGAGTGTGAGTGTGGAGCAAAGGAAGAAGATGGAGAGAGGATGGTGTGTTGTGATATTTGTGAAGTATGGCAACACACAAGGTGTGTTGGCGTTCAACACAATGAGGAAGTTCCTCGCATTTTTCTTTGTCAAAGTTGTGACCAACATCTTATTCCTCTCTCTTTTTTACCTTAAAGCATTCATGTTGTAAACCTTGATCTCTCTATCTATACATCATAAGAATAATAAATTATGTTTATGTTCAAAGAAAAAATAAATTTGGGAAAATACCAAAGAAACAAAACATACCTATAAAATATGTAAATTTACCAACAAAAACCCCTATAAAGTATATAAACATGTGTTGTGTTCAACTTAGGATTCGTCACTGCTAGATTAAAGTTTTGGGCATGCAAAACCTTAATTCAAAAGCCCAAACTGCAGAAAAAGAGCGTTATTTATTATTCTTATAAAAAAAAGGTAAACATAAACTAAAAGGGAATATGTTAGAGAAGGTTATAGAGAGTTCTAGAACCATTAGATATATTCATATATATATTTATTATAGGCAACTGGTGAATATGTTAGACATTTACAATATAGAGATAAACTTAAACTAGATTCACTCTTTTATCTCTAATTAAAATTATCATTATCCAAAATATATATGTGAATATATCTGATGGTTTAGAACTCTCTATAACCTTCTCTAACAGAATACAGTTGAAGTTAGACACGTAGTTATTCTAATAGCTATGTCTAGAAACCCTAATCCCGGAAAGTAATTTACTACTATTGCATAATCTAAGGTTTTCTCTGATCATCACCTACAAGAGGCTACACAATTACACAAGAAAAGAAAAAAAGGACGAAAAAAGAAAAATGTCTCTGGTATTTCTCGGAAGGATAAAGAAAGTCGGTCTCATTAGAAACGCAGCGAGTGCCATCGTAAGTCCTCTCTGACTGGTTTCGTTTGCTCTTGCTGTAACTTTCAGAAACTATATATATCATCAGGTCGGTTGAATATGTGAGTGTTGGGACAGATCCAAGCAAAGAAGCCGATTCGGTTATTGTCATCATTGGTGCCGTCGTCGTCCCCGTATCTGTTGAATACCGAGATCAAGAATGCTTTGCGAGAAGGCTCTTCGATGAATATATACGATCCGAGGAAAGGCAAAAGCTTCACGATAACATCAAACAAGGGACTGATGATGATGTGTCCATCGCGTTACATAGGATCGTCTAGGGGATGGATTGGTTTCATGAATCATAATGATTCCATCGTGTATCTGACCAACATGGTCAACCACAAAGTCATATCCTTGCCTCCCCTGGATCTTGATTGTCCTGACAGTGACATGATTATCAACATGTCGCTGTCGTCTTTCCCCGACGACCAAGACAGTGACTTTGTCGTAGCCATCAAGTTTTGTGGAGGTCGCATGTGTTTCTGTAGGCCTGGTGACGCAGCCTGGACCGAAACAAAAGGCTTGTCAAGAGTCTTGTATTGCTCCAATATCCTCTACTCCAACCGTGACTCCAGGTTTTACTTGACAACGTTAAGGCTTCCCTCCAGGACCAAGCTTCATTTCACTGCCCTGAAGTTTGACGGTAGCACGTGCAAGCTTGGTCACCAAGATTTCCCCGAGGTGACTTACTACCAGAATTAAGTGCATGATGGCTTGGTTCGTGGTGACTGGTGAGGCAGGTTTGTTCAGTTGTCCCACGGTGCAGACGTCGTCCATTGGAAGGACTGTAAGCAATTGATGAAGAGCGAAGAGGTTGTGCGAAAAACAAAGCGGTTCATGGTTTATAGAGAGAATGAGGATTGTAACACGTATGACATTGGGGACCTCTGCATCTTTTTTGGTCAGAACAATGAGGCCTTTTGTTTGCAGGCGAGCTTGTTCCCGGGCCTTAAGCCCAATTCCGTTTACTTTGCTACCCCTCATCATACCGGTGTTTACGATCTTGCCACCGATGCGATCCATGATCTCCCTCTCGCTCATTCGTCTCTTACGTGGCTTGCTCCACTCTCACACTAGCTACGTGTTTCACATCTCTTTTCTTTCTTTTAAAGACTATTAAGGATAATAAGAATATGGAATCAAACAAGATTAGATTATATGTAGGTCATTTATCGTTGATCTACTTTTGATTGTGATAAATCCACAAGAGTTGAAGGAAAGATCTTGGACTTTATCTTTTCTGCTTAGTGTGTGACGATGTGACCATCGTTCTTTACTTTACCTGGACAAAGAGAGTAAAATATGGCATTCTCTGTTCTAGAATTTCATCTTTTGGTTCAAGGATTAAGATAAACTTTGCTATGTTTCTTGTTTTTTGAGTTTAATTTTTGTAAAATAAAAAAAAAGAGTAAAATATATGCATAGTAAAAAAAAATATGTATATACATATATGCATAGTACAGAGTACTACTACATTCCAATATTCCAAGAACTTACTGTTAATTAAATACTTCTCATCCTTGAAATAGAAAAAGAAGATGTACCATGAACCATTATTAGACCACCAAACAATAAAGCTATCCCAACTTTTGGCCAAACGTTATCTTTTCTGTATAATATATATAAAAAAAATTAAAAAAAATCTTTAATGCATTCAGTGTTTTGTAACCTTAATCACACTGAAGTAGATCCCTCGTCATTTCACTGGTCGTAAGAGCAACCCAATAAAGACACTAGTAATGGGATTTTATTGATTAATTATTAATATTTTATGTATTTTATGTATGTTAAACACTTTGTAATATTTTATTGTTTTTAGGCATACAATAGAGACATTTTTGATGTGTCTTAAAAAAAATTATTTAAAAATAAAAAATAAATTTAAATACACTTATCTTAACAACTTTTAAAACATAATACATCTCAGAACTTGCCACGTAGCTGTTCTTAACCCAAAAAAAAAATTCTAATTTAAATATTGGTCTTAAATTTTAGACACCTTTTATAATTTTTTTATTCTGTTATATTGTTAAGAACCATACTTTAGACCCTTGGAGATCACTATTGAGATTGGTCTAAGTGGTAACGTTTATTTCAATTTTAGATAAGGTAAATAAAAAATTAATAGAAATGAGATCATGTATATTGTTTAATGTGCAACGACTTGGGTGCACAAATGCAATGCAAAGATCTATTGGTTGGCTTAAAAAAAAAAATTATTGTGTACGTCATGGTATCATTCGGAAGAATTTATACCTCTAGTGTTATCGTGTAATCGTGTTTCCATTTACTTTCTTATAATTTGGGATGGACATATAAACCAACCAAAGTAAAAGCACTCAAAACCCGACATCGAATCAAAAATTGTTTTAAAACCAAACAGTAACATTATTGTTACACCCAAAACAGAACTGAACACGAATTCAAGCAACATAAACAAAAATATCTTAGAATTCTTTTTTTGTTAATGGAGAAATTAAGATATTTGATTAAGTATATATCGAAAATGCATATACAATAGTAAAAAAAAACGATATTAACTGAAATATAATTTGGTTTCAAACCGGTAACCTTTTAGTAAACCTGAAATGGAAAATGAAAAAAGCTTATTAAGCACCGGATCAAAACTCTAAAAAGTTTTGCACTCACACTTGAATTTCAAGACCAATCTTCAGAAATCAATGGGTTAAGGCTATTCTATATAAAAGAAAGGTGAAAAAAAATACAACGAAAGGTTGGGTTCTCTACTTGTATTAGTGAAGTATTTCAGCACAATTAGAAGAAAAATGTACAGTACTGGAAACAGCTACCAAAACATCGGCGAAAAATGAAATGGGCTCAAACGCAGGCTTCGTCCGTTGTTGCTTGCTATATTGAAATTATGGGCCTGTAAAGCCCAGTAAATTTATCTGTTCGGAAAGGCTATTTGATAACCAAACTTCAGACTAAAAATAAATTACATAACCGAACAAAATATAAACCAGAAATTTGGGATTTACTTTGGTAACCCTCCGGTCATTTCTGGACCTGATGGAAGCAATGGTTAATGATATTTGGTCCTCAAATGTACACCTTCTGCTGAACTCACTGGTTCCCCTTATGGTTTCCTTCGCTGCGCTTTTTCCCAGTTCTTACAAAACCATCTCTAGACCCTACACGAATCACGACGTCATGACTCCTATGTGTTTGCCATGATGAATGTCTTTGCCGTCATGACCAGTTTCCACATTCTCTTATCCAGTTCGAGTACCTCAGCTCGTTTCCACTTACTTGGAGCTATCTTCCTTATGGCTTTCCCCTTGTGTGCTCTCATCTTCTCGTATATGCTTGGGATTACTTTCTTCCTGCCATTAACCAACGTCTCCCACAAGACAGCCCTGGCTATGTTATGCTTAACATTGACGATCTCAAGACGCAAAAAACGTCTGTTTCCAGCAAAAGCAAAACCGGGTATGAACATACAGGTACTGAGGCTTGGTGATGAACATTCCTTTCGATTGCTCATAAGTAGATTGGAGTTTTTCTCACATGCAGTATCTCTTCTATCAAACCACATTGGTTATGTCGTGTCTCTTTTGTACCTGCATCAACAGGAACTCGCAGTTAAAGATTTAACAGAGAGCAATACATCAAGAGGGCAGTTAAGAGTTTGAAAATGTCACCTCTAAAGTATCAGCTGCTTTATTCAGATCAAGAATACCATCCTCTGCTTGTTTTATCAAGTTGATAAACTTCTTTGTCAAAAGACCTGAAGGATCAGATCATTAAGAAAAAAAAAACTTATCCTCCAAAAGTACTTTCCGTCAAACATAAGTCTGTGCAGTAAGTCATTACCTAGAGAACTATCACACCGACAAGTACCGGTCTGTGCAAAGTTTTTGCCAGCCAACACACAAGATCCTTCTCACTACATTGCAAGAATCCCATTCTCTGTTTCATGTAACCGATAGACAAAATCAGATGAAAGGGCTTAGCTCAGAATTGACTTCATCAGAAATACATGACGAGAACAATTCACTTAGACCGAGGGGACAAATTAGAATCTTCTGCACAATCTTGCGGAAATGTCATCATCATTATAACAACGAGATGAAGATGCCTCCGCAAGAATGCATAGTGGTGAACAAAGACGCAACGTTGAGTGAAGTGTATGGAGAGGCGGAGAGAGTGTTTAGAGAGATCTATTGGGAACTTAGAGACGTGGTGGTGGAGTCAATGGCGGATGGTCAAAGGGAGATCACCACAGGGGTCGATGAAATGGCCTTGAATGGGAATAAAGAATTGTTATTAGAAGGGAATGTGGGAATGATGATGGACATTGAAGTGATGAAGTGCTATGATGATGAGTATAAGAAGAAGGATAAGAGGATCGAGTGTGAGTGTGGAGCAAAAGAAGAAGATGGAGAGAGGATGGTGTGTTGTGTGATATTTGTGAAGTATGGCAACACACAAGGTGTGTTGGCGTTCAACACAATGAGGAAGTTCCTCGCATTTTTCTTTGTCAAAGTTGTGACCAACATCTTATTCCTCTCTCTTTTTTACCTTAAATCATTCATGTTGAAAAAATATATACTGTACTTATAAAATATGTAAATTTACCCTTATAAAATACGTATTAAACATGTGTTCAACTTGGGTTTCGTTTGTTGCTAGACTGAAGTTTTGGGCATGCAAACCTTAATTAAAAACCCTGTAGAACTGAAGAAAAGGAGCGTAATTTATCATTCTTTTCAGACAAGGAACGTTTGCTTAACTATTTCACTACTTATTATCATATTTGTTAATTATAAAATGATAAAAAAAACCTTTGAAGGTATAACATGGAATGTTAGATATATAGTTTTATATAGATATACTATTGTATCCATTTACTGTACCCGTATTCCTAAATTTTTTACTTGCTGTTTTCTGGCTCGAAGAGTTTGAAAACATCGATCTTCTCGGTTTCTAGCTTGCCGGTGTACACTTTTTTCATCGCTTCAAATGTTGTTTTTCCACATCCTTCCCAATTTGAGCTGGAAAATATTGGAATTAGTGAAGATTAATGAATCATGATACCATGTTAAGTTTTTTAAACTTCTGATCTAAAACTAATTGGTTATAAGTGAATTGACATAAATCTCTTATATAATAGTCAAGATCATTTTCAACTTCCGATATGAAACTAAGTATATTAAGTAATTTGATAATTAAGTAAATGTTGTCCACATTTTGTACAACAACACTGTTTACCAATCTTCGACAATATTGTCTCTTTAATTAAGTTATTAAACCAATTATTATAAAATTATTAAGTGAAATAAATTATAATATAACCAAAAAGATTAGTAATCTCAATAAGATCTCTTTGGGATCGAGTAAAACAATAGCGAAATATCTTTACCGGTGGCAGCAACATTGGGGTAGTTATGAAACTGAAGTACGACTTGTTGTAAGTGGTCAAAAGCTGCTCGATGTTATTATTTTCATACTCATTTGGATCCTCCTAAAATTGATAAATTCCTGGCGTTCCATGTAGCTTAGTTTTTGCCCTAGCTTAGTTTTTGCCCATTATTTCAGCTTCAGGAGAACATAGTCTCTCTTCAACTCTTGGTCTTGGTAGAGGAGCCGTTGCTGTGTGTATACATTTCCAATAGTCTCATCATCATGACGACATTGATGTCTTCCGACATAATGATTCTCTTCTACGGCTCTGGGAGTCTGAAGGTATTGATTTCCCTTATTGGGTTACCGGCATAAGTTGTTTTCATAGCTTCAAATGCTGTTTTGGTAGTTGTTTTCATAGCTTCAAATGCTGTTTTGGTAGCATCCTTTCCCGGGTTGAATGGTGGTAAAATGTTAATTACCACCCTTTATATTTGCATATCATATGTAAAAACCATTTAAAAAAAAAAAAAAAAATCATCATAGCATAATAGATTCTTTCTAGCTTGAGACTTTTACATAGTTTGTCATTTTACTGAAATTTTGTATAACTATTTTATTTGCATAGTGGATTCTTCCTAATAAAATATATGCATAACTAAATTCCAATCCATCATCATCCATATCCCAAGAACGTATTAAATTATAACTCTCATCCTAGAAATAGGAAAAAGAAGATGAACCATCATACTAGACCACCAACCAATTAAGAAATCCAACATCTGGACCAAACGTTAACAAAAAAGATTATAATCTTTGATGCGTTAGATATATTAATTGTTTGTAACCTTAACCCACACTGATATCTTCGGAAGTCGTAAGTTCATTGGTCGTAAGTCGTAACGATTATATATATAAATAGAAATGAGGGATGTATATTGTTTTTAATGTGTAACGAGTTGTGTACAAAAATGCAATGCAATGATTGGGTGAAGCCAACTTGGACTAAGTCTCTAGACACCGAAGTTGCGTTTGTAACAACCCGAGTCAAAGCGTCTCCACGACGCGTTTCTCACACTCTACACTTCTCCTCTCTTCACGTCTCCTTCCTCGTAACTCTTTACTCTCTGTATCCTTTTGCTGTATATATATATCATAACTAAAATCTGCAGATATCAATCAAAATTAGATAAAATCACGTGCCTTTTAACAGACGACGAAGACACAAGACGACTTTCCGATTAATTCCGATTTGAAACGATGATCAATTCAGATGCAGATCTCTCCGATCGGATACTCAAACCTAATGGCGGATCCATCGTGATTCGTGAGGTTTGGGCTGATAATCTTGACTCGGAGTTTGAGCTGATCAGCGGGATCGTCGAGGATTACCCTTTCATCTCCATGGACACGGAGTTTCCCGGCGTGATTTTCAAGGCTGATCCCGCCCTTCTCCGCCGTGGAAACCCGAGTTATCTCTACAAGCTTCTCAAATCCAACGTCGACGCTCTCAGCCTCATCCAGGTCGGTCTCACCCTCTCCGACGCCGACGGAAACCTCCCGGATCTCGGGGGCTTTGACGGACGCCGCTTCATCTGGGAGTTCAACTTCCGCGACTTCGACGTGGAGCGCGACGCACACGCGCCGGATTCGATCGAGCTCCTCCGTCGTCACGGGATCGATTTCGAGAGAAACCGCCGCGACGGGGTTGAATCGGAGAGGTTCGCGGAGCTGATGATGTCGTCGGGATTGATCTGCAACGCGTCGGTGAGCTGGGTGACGTTTCACAGCGCGTACGATTTCGGTTACCTAGTGAAGATCCTCACGCGCAGGCAGCTTCCGAGCTCGTTGCGAGAGTTTCTCCGGCTGCTCAGAGCGTTCTTCGGCGAGCGAGTGTACGACGTGAAACACATGATGAGGTTCTGCGAGCAGAGATTGTACGGCGGTTTGGACCGGGTGGCTCGGACGCTTGAGGTTAACCGGGCTGTTGGGAAATGTCATCAGGCCGGTTCGGATAGTTTGCTGACGTGGCAAGCGTTTCAGAGGATGAGGGACTTGTACTTCGTTGTGGATGGGCCGGAGAAACACGCCGGAGTTTTGTACGGTTTAGAGGCTTTTTGATGCGGAGGCTATTGGAATTAAAATTAATTAACTCAATTAATCATTGTGGTTGAAATTCAATTTATTCATTCTCGTTTTCTTCACAGACGCACAACTTTTTACATGAATCTATCAATCACAATTCTGGAAGTAAACAATTGAGCAGAATCAGAAATTTGAACTATAGTTATTTGGTTTCCTATTTTATTTTCCAATCAACTGAAATCTTACCGAGCCAAATGAAACTTTGAGGTTGGTTTTCTAAGTATCTTAAGTTAATTGATTTGAAAATACTTCAAATTAGATTTACAGTTTGTGAAAATTTCTGTTAGAACCAATATTCAAAACAAAATAGAGCTGCACTAGATTCAGGTTTATTATTAGGTACTCGAAACCAAACTAAGTGGGAGTTGTATTTGACACCCAAAATCAATTGTGAATTATTATAATCAAATCCGTCATAATTCGCTAATCATCGATTGAAAGACAGCAGACCTTGAAATGGTTCTTGTTTAATGTTCACACATAGTCTTGGAATCATATATTACATAAATTTGCAACCATAATAAGATCAAATTATTCACATTATTGTAACATATGTATATTCATGAAAAAGGATTAGTTTCTCATCTTAAGTGAAGATCTTTGGTGTGAGTCATCATCATTATCATCAAGAGGGTTAACGTAAAGACGAAGCAGTTTCCCAAGTGACCTTCCACGGCGGTCGTGTGGTGGGCGAAGATGTGAACAGACGTCCACAAAAGCCCGGACGATGAGATTGTGGTGGGGAGGAGGGTTTATGTCCAAGAAACACCTAAGAAGCTCCTTAAGATCATCTTCTGTTTCGATATCTCTCTCGTTGATCATCTGATTCATCGACGTCTTGTAATCTTCGAATGGATTGATTGATTCCTTAGCCATCGCGACGCTCTCATCAATCTTGGGACATGGACTGCGTAACACCGTGGGAGAAACCGGTGGTCCCGGGATGTAGTGGCTGTGAGATGAAGGCGGAACGGTCGAGCCGCAACCGCATGTCATAAAAATGGGGTTTAATATGGTTCTAAGTGTATACTTCCTCTTCTTCTTCAAATGCATTATTATACAGAGAGGGAAAAATGAAAAGAAGTTTGAGATTATTGAGTGAGGGTGTTGGTGTGGTAAGGTTTGTTAAAAGAGGAATCTTTCTTTTTGTTTTTAACTTAGCTTGAAGATTCAGCATTGCTCTTTGCTTTGGAGATGCACAATTTTGATGGATTTATCTCCTTTTTTTCTAAGATAAAAATAATTAAATATGATTCGGTGAAATCAAAAGTTATTTTGTACGTCATGCTATCATTTGGAAGAAACTATCGTGTTTCCTCTCACTTTCTTCAAATATGGGATGGACATATAAACCGATTCAAACCGAAACGAAAGCATTTAAAACCGAAATCGAACCAAAAATTATTTTCAACCAAACAGTAATAATATCGTTACACCGAAAACCGAATTGACCACGAATTCAAACAACATAAATAAATATATATTAGAATTTTTTATATTCATGGATTATCAAAATTTAGTATAAATTAATTTAATATTTATATTTATCTAAGTATACTGTAGATACCGAAAATGTATAAGTACACACCTAAAATCGAAATTTACCAATATTAACTGAAATATAATTTGGTTTTGACTCGGTAACCTGTTAATAAACCTGACATAGAACATTTAAAACGTTTTGCACTTGCACTTGAATTGCAAGACCAATCTTCAGAAATCAATGGGTTAAGGCTATTCTATATAAGCCGACGACTAAAAAAAAAGGAGGAAAAAATACGACGAAGGGGTTGATTTCTCTACTATTATTTTGCAATGTCTAATTCTAAGATAACGCATGCAGCTACTACTACTACTATACAAGTACAACAGGGGATTCACGGAAATCAAATTCTATGTACAGATAGTATGGTGGTGCTTGTAATGTGGTAAGGTAACTTCAGCTACCTGTGGAGTGCTGCGGTGTTGGGCTCGATGGAGTTTGTGGCTGTTCCAGGGTCGTGTTGCTCGGTCCTGCGTGGTCTTGATCGATTGAAACCATCTGATTATTCCAGTTCGCTCCAGCTAATAATAAACAGTCAAAGGAGCTCCAAACAGATTTTGATATTTGGGGAGGCAAAAACTCAAAAAAAAACACACAGAGAAATTAAACCAAAGCAGAGAAAATGACAGAGATCAAGGATACATTCATTTGGCCACAAGTCTGTGATGCTGACTTCGCCTACCTCTGATCGAAGCCAGTAATCTACATCCATCTGTACATAATGTAACATACAGATGATCAATGAATTAAGTTTTGAAATCTGACTTGCAGTCTTATCTATTCAAGATTTTTTCCCCCATGAGCCGAGCCAGTATATGTTGATTTCTGAATAAAAGGCTGAAGAAGAAGTTGGGACTTACATCCAAATCCGGAGGAACAATCTTCATGATCCCATCTACGAAGTCATGAGATTCGATGTCGGAGTAAACTCTTTGTGTATCATCAACTTCCTGCGTTTCCGTGTTTATGTCGGTGCTGTCCTCTTCCATCGGCATGGCTACATCTTGGTTCTCGGCGAGACCAGACGTTGAAGGAACATTTGAAGGTTCATCAGCGTTAGGAATGTCCTCAAATCTCTCTTCGAATTGACTTAAAAAAAACAAATAAAATGTCAGTCTCACTTCAATTTTATAAATCTATCACTGGAAAGCATAACCACTTGAGGACAGGATTTACCTGACTAGATACACGTCTATTGGTCCCATTGTGCTTCTCAGAATTATTCTGTATCTCCTCTGAGGATAACCACCAGCCTGATTAATGGAAGGATAAGTTATCGAAATAGTTACAGACGGTGCATCGCTCAATTGGTTTTGTGTGCTCTTAAGCTTACCTCATCCGGATCTGGCACCTCAAGAGTTGTTCCATGGGGTGCCTTTACAGCGATCAGCGTCTTATTCTAAATTAGGCACGAGTGACACCACAAAATCAGTTTTCCCAGTGAGCAGAATGCGAGGGAGAGAGAAACATTGAAATTACTAGAAGGAGACCAAACCTGGAAGCATGGTAGGTTCTTAATGTCGTCTTCAGTCACAAACAGAAACCTATAAAGTGGGGAACGAGATTCAGAGCAAACAGATATGTTGTATTGCACCTTTCGCCAGGAGAAATAGTAGGAGAAGCTGACCTTTTATTGTTTTCATCCTCGCTCAAGCTTGTTAATCTTTCTTGTGATTCTCTGCAACCAGGTCGATTCTCAATAAGATACAAAAAGAGCAAAGAGCAGAAAAGGAAAGGAAAATGATCTACGAGATTACCTGATTTGGTCATCTAATTTTGCCTCCTCAGCTGTGAGGTTTTGTATTTCATCCTATACGAGGATCGAGGGATGATTAAATGTCAAAATAAAACTACTAATGGAAATATAAATAGTTCGAATAGTTTTTCAAACAGAAAACCGAAACAAGAAATAATATGAGTGACCGAGATCAAAGGAAAATTGCAGTAACCATTCACTTATTCACATCTGTGTTTTTAGACTTTGTGAGAAACATAAAACAAAAGCCCGTCACTCAAATGTACTAGTACGAGAGTACAAGACAGAGCTTTTGATAAGATGTCGTTGATGTTGTGTTTGAGGTGTTTCCCCCATAATGATTTAGATTTCGAAGAAAAAGGTATAGCAAGAACTACACTAATGCGCATTTATATGATGTTCAAGAAGACAATGTGAATTAACATATACCCACGTGAAAAATAATTATAAAACTGGTGACAAATTGAGCATTGCATAACATAATTTGCAGTGGAACATGTGACGGGTAAAGGAATACAAAAGCATTTTCAATACCTGTAGATTAGCTATGTTTTCGATTGTTTCTCCTGGTTTTGAGACATCGAGTCCCCTAAGACAGACGAAAGAAAACTCAGAATACCGTCAATCACACATGATGCATCAACTTAAAGGAAATCCAAGATTTGGTAGTCGAATGACATGCTTACTTCCACTGGATCCTGTTCTTGAGTGTCTTCTCTATCAAACCTATTCCTTCTAACACATTGGTTATGTCGTATATCCGTCTCTTTTGTACCTGCATCAACAGGAACTTGCATTTAAGATTTGACAGAAAGTAATACATCAAGAGGGGCAGTTAAGAGTTTGAAAATGTCACCTCTAAAGTATCAGCTGCTTTATTAAGATCAAGAATACCGTCCTCTGCTTGTTTAATCAAATTGATAAACTTCTTTGTCAAAAGACCTGAAGCAGATCAGATCATTAAGAAAAAAAAACTTATCATCCAAAAGTACTTTCCGTCAAAGATAAGTCTGTGCAATAAGTTATTACCTAGAGAACTATCATACCGACAAGTACCAGTCTGTCCAAAGTTATTTCCAGGAGAACCTGCCAACAAAAAAAGATCCTTCTCACTACATTGCAAGAATCCCATTCTCTCTTTCAAGTAATTGATAGACAATATTAGAAGAAGCTAGTAAAGAGGGTTTAGCTCAGATGAGCACATAAGCAATATATTTCACTGGCCTACTAACACTCGCATGTGTAGATAGAAAGGAAACGGCCAAAACTCACCTGCATTAGAACCAGATGCTTGCGTTCCAGATTTATTAGACTTCACTGACCTAGAATACTTTTTGGCCTTCCCTCCTTTCCCTGATACAGGTGTTTGAAGAACACCAGCATTCAATTCGTTGGGCTCATCTATCTGGTTTACTATCTCCGTCTTACGCTTCAGCTGCGAGTAAAGACACCAGAATTGTACAGTTAGTCATTTACATACATCAAAGAGCAAACCAAGCTTTAACAGATGAACAGCAGAAGCTGAAACCACTAAAGAATACTGAAAATTTGTAGAAAACCTCCACGCTTGATTTGTAACCTATCAGCATCATCATACTGTCACTTAGCTGAATCTAAAAGCATAGGCAAATCATAGATTCCAAGGCCAGCATATCAAAATTCAGAGACTAAACTAACACAATAGCAACAACAAAAAACGCATAAATCTGCTCTAAATAGCAAGAACAGGAACACCAAAAACCCTAGAAGAGCAACTTAAGTACTCGTAGACAATAATAGCTTGCAATGCTAAATCAATAAACTGCAAACGAGCCCAATCAAGGAGGCCAAACGCAATTACACTGCCGGAAGCAAATCCCAGCACAATTCTCATCAGAATTTCACACCGTGATGTCATCATTTATACAATCAAGCCTCAAAATCGAAACAGGCGAATTATAACGAGCACTTGAAAAATTCACAAAACCAAAAATTGACACTAGACTTACAGAAGATTTAATAACAATTGCCTCAGAAACCTGATCAGGAGCTCCGCCTCCGCGAGTCTCCACCGCGTCAAACCGGTGATACTCGCCGGGAGCAACTAGCGGGGGCTTCATAGAAGACAGAGAAGGATGATACTGCCGCATAGAAGGTGGAGATTGCTGAGGTTCTTGCTGAGACTCCGACATGGGAACGAATCTAGAAAAATCCACCCGGCAAACGAAACGGCAAAAGCAACCCGGGAAAAAAATCTCCAGAAATTCGGATCTCCGGCAACTAGAGATCCTAAAAGGAATTCGGAAGCAGATCTGCGGCTGAAATTGCGGAGATTCCGGGAAGAGAATGTGAGCAGATCGGCGAAACTAAAAAAAGCGGGAGAGGAGAAAAAAAAAAGAGACGGTGGAAGAGAAGAAGAAAACGAGGGAATGAGTTGCGTTTGGTTCAGATACTGATGTGGAGGGAAGCGCACTCGTACACAATCTTTTTTACTCCTAACCAAAATCCCAACAAATAATCCTCTCTTTTTATGTATTTAAATATTTAATTATATCCGGTTTAAAAATTAAAGCTATGTAATCTAAATTAGGATACAGTTTTAATTGAGTTGAGACTTGAGTTGACCCAAATAGTAAAATTGTGTTTAATACCTCGATGCAGTAAGAAACTATTTTTCATATCTGAATTAACCCAACAGAACAGATGGTGGTGGTCAGTAAAAAACTAAAAATGGTGTTGGATTTATTCATATTAAATTTGTAGCAGAATTTATCAAACTGTTGCATCCGTTACACGCGTTAAGCGTGAACAATTATCGTCAAACGAACCTGTCAAACATATACGTTTTTAAGAATAATATTCGCCAAATAGCCAAAATATACAAATAAAATAGGTTATATCTTTATTTGTTTTGACAGCAGGAAATATATACTGACAAGAAAAAGGAGTATAGGTAATAGGATCGTAGAACAATTGGTTCAAAATATTTACGTACTCTTGGTGTGATCAATTTTGTTTTAATTTACTAATCATTTTGTGATTGATTATATAGAAGCAGTGGTAAAAAAAAAATCAAACCGGTACATGTTGACCCAGAAACAGAGCAGATAACATTAGAGAAGATGTTGACCCACCAAATAAGTGAAAAAAAAAATTTGGCCTCATAAACCAATTTAGGTTTTGACTTAATAAAATCCAGTTCATGTAATTTTGGGCTTTGATAGAGAGAAAAAACAACGTGTTGTGTAGATTTGATGAACCACCAAGACAACTTGAAAAATATTTGTTATTTGAATGCAGACACTAAAATGCAAGATTAGATTGTAACAGGATCAAAAGGAACATGCTCAATCCTTTCGACAGTAGTGGGTTAAACATTATCTATTGCATGTGTCTTTGCAATTCTTTCACAATCTAATGTTATTATCTCACAACTTAATGTTATTGTCTTGTAGGTCTCGTTAAATAAATTCGTAGTCATGCTAAGTACACATTCGACTTTATGTTCTTATATACTCTCATATAATATCAAGATTTGTAGCAGCTTATTCTATCAATTTTGTATTCACAAATACCCGTGATTACGAAATTTTTCTTTTTACGAGAAGAAAATTAAAAGGATTTGGTTATATAATGTGAAAAGTCACAGTGATTCTTGAAGAGTTACTTCTCTTTATTTGCCATATGTTGACGAAAAATGACAATGACTCCCAAAAGTTAAAACTCGAGTGTGTGTCAATCCTAACAAAATGTCAATTGGAAGTTTGGAACAAAGTTAGAAAAAATGGGGGGGGGGGGAGAAAATCAAAAAAAAAAGATTTAAAGAAAAATATGGAAACTAACAGAATATCTATTGGAAGTTTCCATTGATGATTTGAGTGGAAACAGGCTTTAATCCCTCCAACTTAGTAAAACTTATTAAGAAAATTATGCTCTTGGTATGACTGGAGAGAAGGTTAGGGTTTCAATTTAAAAAACCTTAGAGAATGGACTTTTTCAATTCGCCCGCATATGGCATCTACCTTAATTTTTACCCTGTCTTATAGGAGTGGGCACGGATCGGATATCCGGGAATTTTTTAGTATTTGTGGTTTGCTCCGTTTTTAATAGATATTTAATTTTATGATTTGATTTGCTCCAGAAATATACGGATATCCGGATTTTCGGATATCAGAAAAATTTACAAGTATTTGCGGATATTTGCAGATATTTACGAATATTTATGAATATTTAGTTTGATCCGTTTAATATACACAAAACTGAAAGTACATCAATTTTTATTATAAAAAAAAAATTCATCTAAACTATTAAGTGAAAATAACTAAAAGAAAATATTTTATTTTATAAAAAAAATCTATAAAAAATAAACTTACAAAATTAAAATGAGAAAAAATGATATTTTATATTTAAAAATAATATTAACTATTTGAAACTTTAATATTAAACTTTACTAAAAAACTTTTGTTGATATTTATTTACTAATATAAAATAAAATGTTATTTATTAACATATTTTAAGTTTAAACATATTATTTATTTTTTATAATTGGTTATTTAGTCATTTATTTTATATAATCAAAAGAACAATTGAAAATTTAGGAAGAAAATTGAGAATATATTAATAAAAATTTATAATATAATTGATATATATATGATAATATATAATAAATTTATAAAGATACGGATCGGATCGGATATCCGGCGTTATCTAAAAACATATTTGTGATTTGCTTCGTTTTGTACGGATAATACATTTTGCTATTTGCTTTGCTCCGAAGCTTTACGGATATCCGGATTTTTCGAATCGGATCAAAGCAAATATCGGTTTGAAGCGGATATAACGGATATTTTGCCCACCTCTACTGTCTTAGTGTTGGAAGTTGGAATGCTCAATTTAAAGTTTTTTTTAAAATAATCCTTTTTGAAATTTGTACGTCAACGAAATCTAAAGTGGTCTAACAATTAGTTGCAAACCGTAACCGGGCGAAACCGAGACCTCGAACCGGGATAAAACCAACGACAAGACGATCTTTAACTGCATGGTGCTCAAGCTCCGACCAATGCATATTCTCCCTCCGAAACCAAACGGCATAAAGCCCATCTTACTCTTACAGCCACCGTTCAAATCGCCGTCGAATCTCTCCGGCCTAAACTCGTGGCCGTCGTGTTCCCACAACTCAACGTCGTGGTGCATCGCCACCACATCGATCCAAATGTTCGTACCGTTTGGAATCACTCGGTCGTTCACTTTAATGTCTCCCCGGGCTTGCCGTTGTGCATTCGGCGCCGATGGATATAGCCGGAGAACCTCGTTCATCACCCATCTCATCTGCATAAATTATCGAAAGTTTCAAATATAAATATAGTAATCAAGAGGTAAAGTGATTTGTAATCAACTAAAAATGTGATTTAATTAAACCGTAACAATTAACAGTTTTTAGTTATGGATTCAATTTTTTTTATGGATGGATGCTTCCACGTGGCATGCGTCTAACATTTCGGAGCTGACGTGGCGTCTGTAATTGGTCGGTGCAATCGTTTAATGAAATAATTAATAACGTGGATTTGTTGTTTTCCATGTTTGGTGACAACGTACCTTCTTTAGTCCGGCAAGTTTGTTATAATCAATCTCGGAATCTCTGATGACTTGTCTGATCTCTTCTCTGAGCGTGTCCTGCCACTCGGGATGGACCGCAAGTAGCATGAACGTCCACGTCAGCGCTAAAGCACTCGTCTCGTGGCCAGCGAAGAAGAACGTTTTGCATTCGTCCACGAGCTCCGCAGGCGTAAACTTCCCTTTATCGGTCTTAAGCAACATTCCGAGAAGATCGTGGCGGTCGTCGCCTTCGACCAATGATCTCTTCCGTTCGTTTATGATCGACAAAAGGAGACCGTCGATCTCTCGGCCTAACTCCTTGGCTCTAAAGGTTTGCTTGAAACTCAAAATGTTGCTGAATGGTACCCCTAGGTTGCGGTTTGGGTTGAAATAATTTATTATTTTGTTACAAATACGTACGATCGGAAATTTTGATATTAGATATGAGACAAGATGATGCGAATGTCCCGAACTTGTATATGAGAAATGAGTGGACCGACTAATGTCTTTTGTATACTAGTGTTGGTTCTTTGTCACTTGTTATATGATAATTCTAACAGAGAATTTGAGAATTACTAAAGTTTACCGTATTGTTGTTGCCACCGAGCGAAGTATGGAAGTGCGATGGAGTGTATGTCATGGCTGATCCTAGTGGAAGTTTTGCTGATCTTCTCCACCATTACCGAGGCTGCCTTTAGCTTCTTCATGTCAATAATGTTTCCTAAGGCAAAACTAGGAGGTGGACCGACAAATCCATTTTCTCTAAGCTTCTTTTGAGCTTGAACCGGTAATATCCAGCAACGCAGAAAGAGCTTAAAAAACACTAAACTAAGAACTACGACAGACACGGTAAAGAACATGTACCAAACTCGAGACACGTCAAGAAACTCCATCTCAAATATCTCTCCAAAAATGTAAAAAAATATATTAAAATGTATGCGTATGTATCAATGAGAATTATTGTGTATGGAGAAGTGATTTTTTTGTTCAATATGGGTTGTTGTATGAGAGAATACTCATGGGAATTATTAACCAAATGACGTACTTATAAGATATTTTCAATTTTCGGGTGTAGAAGAATATGTCAGAGTATGTGAATGTCAAGTGGCGCGTAAGAAGAAGACAAGATGTGACATTGTGACGTGTATATTTTACGAACGTATACGCATTATCTCTTGGTATCGCTTATATACTAATTAACGTATTTATAAGATTTTATTTTGTATTGATTGACAATAAAAAGGAAAGTATTTAGGCCTAGGCAAAAAACCTGGACCCGAAAACCCGAACCGGAATCGATCCGAAATAACCAGTTCGGATCGGGTTCGGTTATCACATATTTACCCGATGGGTCTTAGGTTTAGAAATCATGGGTATTGGTTCGGATCCGGTTTTTATCCGAAACCGATCAGTTTACCCGATATTAATAACCTAAGCCTTACATCTATACCTATCTTCTCTTTGCCTTGGGTTCTATCACGGTGTCAATTGATTTTCCAGGTTTTTAGAATCATCCCACTTATTACCCAATCAAAGAAAATTCAAACAAATACAAACTGGAATCTCTATCTAAGTTCGTCGGATCTCTTTCACCCCCACCGTCAGCATCATCGAGGAACCAATCCGAGGTATGTGTCTCTGTCTCACTGTGTCTCAATCGCTTTGTATCTCCGATTCTCTGTCTTTGTTCTCTCTGTCCCTTTCTCTATGTGTCTCTCTTTAATCTCTTCACATTTGCTTTTGATTTTCGTTAGTTGTTACTCTTTCTGCTTTATGCATCTGTGAATCAAAATAGTTAATAATTCGGGTTTAAGAGTCAATAATATCAGCGGCACATTGCTAAATTAATAATTCAGAGTAGTCTATTAATTGCTACGTTTATATGATCTCTGATGCTTAGAGAGTTATTAGTTAGTAATATCAGTATAAACATGAAATGATGAAAGTAGTGTTGTGATCATTCATTCTCTGTTTATAGTCGAATGTCATTCATCCTCACATGGCCTTGTTCTAAAGTATTAAGTATATAATCGAATGTCATTCATTCTTATGTATACCAATGTCTCTGTTTTTTGCTTATGTATACTAATGTGTCTGATTTTTATTATGATGTAGATGGCATCTTGTGAATCTCCCCCTCTAAACAATGATGAAGAGTTTGTTGATATAACAGAGGAGGATGTTGAAACACCAACTCCTAATACTGGAAATAAAGGGAAGAGGAAAGAGAACACGGGAGATAGTGGTTCTGGTTTAGGGTCAAGAAAGAAGCCAAGATCTTGGGTTTGGGATCACTACACCAGAAAGGAAGAGAACTACGATATATGCAATTGCAATTACTGTGGGAAAGAGATGTCTTGTCCAACCAAGTCTGGCACATCTAATCTGAAGAAACATCTAGGTGGCTGCAAGGCGTACAGTGTATGGATAGCTGCTAATAAGTTTAAAAAGCAGTCTGTTATAACTCCTGATAAGGAAGGGAATGTGGCAATGTGTAAGGTGTCTGAGAAAGTCGTTAGAGATGCTACAAATGAGATGATGGTATTAGCAGAATTGCCGTTAGCCTTTGTAGAGAGTTTAGCTTGGAAACATTTCTGCTCAAGAGTGAAGCTGTCAAATCCTCATTCTCGGAGAACATGCACAAGAGAAATTATGGAGATGTTTGTTTCAAGGAAAGCAACTATTAAGAATATTCTTGGGCAGAACAAACAGAGGTTGTCTTTGACTACGGATATATGGGTTGCTCCCCATACTTCAGCTAGTTATATGGTAATAACCGCTCACTTTATTGATGCTTGTTGGAAGCTAAGGAAGCTGATCATAGGATTCAAACCGGTTTCAGATCATAAAGGTGCGACAATAGCTAAGGTTCTTCTTGAGTGTTTGGAAGAGTGGGATATAAAGAGAGTCTTCTGCATCACAGTAGACAATGCCACAGCTAACTCATATGCTATGAAGAGGTTTAAGGAAGGATTCAGTAAAGTTGGTGATGATGCTTTAGTTCTGAATGGGGATTTTTTGCATCTAAGGTGTTCGACTCACATATTGAATTTGATCGTGAAGGAGGGTTTGATGGAGATAGACGACAGTATCACTGCTGTTCGGAATGGTATTCAATATGTGAGATCTTCAACAAACAAACTGAAGTCATTTGAGTTTCGAGTTGAATCAGGAAAGATGACTAGGGGAAGCTTACCTTTAGATGTCAAGACGAGATGGAATGCTACGTATCTCATGCTAGATCAAGCTATGAAGTTGAAATTGCCATTTGAGAAGATGGAGGCTGAAGATAAACCGTATAACGACTATTTCTTAGAAATTGTGGAGGGAAAGAAGAGGATCGGACCACCGTCTACAACTGACTGGGATGAAGTTGAGAGGTTGATTTAATTTCTTATCATCTTTTACAAATCCACTTTGAGTCTGTCAGCTTCAATTTCAGTGACTGCTCATAAGATCTACGCAGAGATTGTTACCATCAGTAGGAATATTAGTGCAATCAACAATAGTGCAGGTCCTGATGAAGAGTTAAGGTATAAAGCATTGGCTATGATGGCAAAATTAAAGAAGTACTGGAATCCTTTTTTCGAGGCTACAAGGGAAAATGCTAAATGTCAAGATCGTGAGGTGAACAAGTTGTTGATAGTAGCTAGTGTCTTTGACCCAAGGAAGAAAATGAAGTTTGCTCACCTCTGTTTTGAAACGCTTTATGGAAAAGAAAGCATCGAGTTTGTTCTACTTTCTGAAACCGTCAAGAAGATTGTGGAGAGTTTGTTTGACGAGTACAATAGGTTTGCTAACAAAACTGGTGGTTCTGGTTCTGGAAACTCTTCTCAGACACAAGGGACATCGGATACTTAATCTTAGTCTCAAGATCAAGTTACAGATGAAGCTTTCGAGAGAATGGTTTTTAGTAATGGTGTTGGTTATGAAAGAATAGATAATCTCTATGAGGAGCTTGTGCAACAATCAGGAGTTCCAGAATCAGTTAATGAGTTAGAATTGTACTTGAAAGAACCAGTCGAGCATCCGAAGCTTATGAAAGGTACGGAGTATGATGTCTTAGATTGGTGGAAGAGAAACAGTCCTAAGTTCCCAGTTCTGTCTCTTGTAGCTAGGGATATACTTGCAATGCAAGTGTCCTCAGTAGCATCAGAATCTGCATTTAGCACTAGTGGTAGAGTATTAGATCCATATAGGAGTTGTTTGACACCTTACATGGTTGAAGTCTTGATGTGCACTGAACAATGGTTGAAATGTGAAATTCGAATGAAAGAAAAAGGAGTGATTACAATTGAGCAACTTCTTGAAGATGTGGAGGTGGAAGATTCTCTTATGAGAGGTAATTTTCTTTCTTTGAACTCTTTTAATTTGATTTACGATTGTGTTTTGTAGACTTATGTAGTTATGTTCTTTAATCTGTTTTAGAGTTTGAACCTGAATTCAACATGCAAGGACAATGAGGTAACTGAGATTGATTATTTATTTGTATTGAAATTATGTGTTCTTGTTGTTTTTTCCACTGATGTATATCATTTACTTGTATAGGAATTATGGAGATTGGAGAACAATGAACTGTGAAGACTCATCACTCATATCACTCATCGGCTCAATCTTTTTTTAACTTCTAAGACTCATCGGTTCACATTTTCCTTTTAGATGAGTTACTTATGTTTTTAGCTTGGAATTGTTTGCATTTTGTACTCTATTTTATGTTCTGTGTCTTTGCTTTCAGCACTTTCCATTTTAATTTGGTATTTTGGATCAAATGTGAGTCAAAAATAGTATGTTTAAACTTGTTTTTTCGGGTTTGTTGTTATATTTCGGGTAAATGGGTCAATTTTCAGGTATTTCGGATAGAAATGGGTAAAAATAACCGAACCGAACCGAAATTGAATAATAATCGAATTTACTCAGGTTACAAACGATTCCTGTGTTAGAAATCTGAACCGATCCGAAACCGATTGGATCCGAACCAAAACCAAATCGATATACTATCGGTTCCTATATGGATAAAAAAATCTTATATCCGAAAGATCCGGAACCGATCGGTTAAAATCCGGAACCGAACCGAATACCCGAATGTCCAGGCTTAGAAAGTATGTAAACTGTAAAACAATTTGGCCATATAACAATTTCTGATTTGACTTAAGTAAATCCAGCCCACGAAATTTTTAGCTTTTTGATAAAGATAAAAACAACATGTAACATGTAGATTTGAACCACCAAGACGACGAAACTGAATTTATGAGACATTGGTTATCTTAATGTAGACACTTATATCTCATTTGGCTGCAATGTTTTACAGACGAATTTTCAAAAGAGGCCATGGGGTAATCAGAAGAGAAAGTAAGACTCTGAAAGCTTTTAATACAACAAAACAAACACAGACACCAAAAAGAACATTAATTACTTGAACAGATGAGCAAGATCAGGGTCATCCAAATCCACATCAAGCGAACCATTCAAGCGCATGAACTCGATGTAGCTATCAGGAGGAGTGATGGCACGAGTGTTGTTCTTCGGTTTGAATCCTTGAACTCTCTGTAGATCTCTTGCAAGCCAACGCAGAAAAACCTTGTCCAATGGAGGTACAATCTTCAAGTGGATCTCTTGGCGTTCTTCTTTCACCGTTGTAGCTTTGTTTCCCATCTTGAAAACTCCGATGATACCTGCACTCACAACATTAAAGAAGACACAACAAACTTTTTAACAGATGCAATCTACAATCTCTCCGTCACCTAAACAAAAATTCACACTAATATTGAGTGTGAAACCTTTACAGTAACCAAATTCCAAAAGGAGAGCCTAATTAGTTTTACAAAAGCTATAAAAGTATCAACCTTTATCAACAAACCAATCACTATGAATCTCAAGTAAGGCTAACATCGGAAGAAGAAAAGAAAAAACTTTAGCTTTGAGAAATACAGTCTTTTGAAAACTCCCTTATTTCTCATTGGGCAAAGGAATCATCATCGACCATGAAAGACTAAAATATATTTCACGAAACCCAATTTTATAAACGAGGAGGTAATGGAGAATTCACTTCAATTTCTATCACTATGTCCAAAAAAATCAGGTAATAACTAAGCTAATCAGCGATAATCGAAAGCCTAGAGTCCTAGACAGCAAAATTAAGCGTAGCTGGATGGAATCTCAAAAGTGTTAGTGCTGATTTCTTCATCTTTCTTTTTAAAAAACTGAACATGTAGAGAATTTACCTTTCAATCAGAGAGAAAACATCCAAAAATCGATAGAGAGTTTGAAGATTTTTCTGACCGGACACTAGAAAGCGCTTGCAGAGAGTCGTCTCCGGTCCACACTAGTTGAGAACGAGTCCAGAGAAGAGGAGCAACAATACGACATCGTATCAATGCGCTAATAATGTTTGGGCTTTACAAAAACTCTGTAGTTTTCAAGGTTAGGCCCAACACATTAAAAGCCCATTAGCCAAAATTGTCTCTCCTCCATCTTGATTCACGTATAGAGTTGTAATATTTTTTTAAAAAAAATAGCTACTATTTCAACAATTTGATATGATTTCATTTCCACAAAAGTCCTGCAGCTACACGGTCGTTATCATGTTACTTATATCCAACTAGAAAATAAAAATAAGCCTTGCAAGCCTTGCCTAATCCTGATCATTTCATGTGTAGACATGCCGAGTAAAAACTGAAGTGAAACATATAAATTACATGTGCACTTATATATACATGTTCTGCTTTAGCAATTTGAGCAAGGAAATAGTTTACTAAAAAAATCATTAGTTTTATTTCGTAGAATAATTAATTAGTTAACAACCAAAATAAATAAAAATAAAAAATCAACAACAAATTACTCTATTATATCCTATTATTCCACTAAAAAAGTATTCCTCATTTTGCTTTTCATAAATCAACAGAACATTTCTGATTAGGCTGGTACTTGGTCTCTAGAAGACCGGCGCCGGAGAAGGTAATGTACGCCGGACAACTGACGAGGAGCCGATAACATCCAGAGACCCACGAGCCATATTTAAACCTAAGGCAACCGTCGATCTTGATGTCAAGAAGCAACAACCCGGATTTTTGGTCTTCGATCAATTCCTGAGACAGGTCAGGGTCCACCGGCTGGGCGGAGGCAGTAAGAACCGGCGACCACAACGTCACGTCCATATGTCCTTGATAGCTGGCCGGCAATAGTTTCCGCAACGTCACCTACTTAATTAATTGGAAAGATAAAGGTGAATAAAAACATTAAAACGTAAATGCTTAATAAGAGAGAAAGAAAACTTAAAAAAACTTTCTTTCTCTCAACAAAACAAATATGATTACTTTAACAACTTTTTCTGTGTCCAAGTAGGTAGACGAATTGCGGATTTTGTTATTTTAAATCCAAAATGAGGAAAAAAAAAAGTGAAATCGAATTGATTCTTAAATATTCTTAGACATACGTTAAGGTGGGTCATGTCTTGCGGTACATAACTAAATCTTGCTGGTCCATAAACATTGCACCAACCACTAGTTGGATAATACACACACACAACAAATTTACCGTAAAACGCAGAACGCTACCTCTTGGTTGCGGTATGTGGCATAGATGTCGAGGCGGTCGTACAAAATTCCGACATTATGGTTTGGGTTGCTACAAGAGAGGGTGACTTGAAGATTTGAAGTGAACAAATTTGGCTGTGCGATGTTGAAGTCGTAAATGGTAACGTCTGTTAGGACAAAACGCGGGTCGCTCGCGTGAAGGCAGGCCCAGGCGATTAAAACCACAACCATAACCGCAACGAACAGACCCATTATTCCCCATAGTACAAGTCTCACCACACTCTTCGCAGAATTGGGGTCCTCGCCCTCTTTCTCCGCCATTGTAGCCTTTGGTTGCGTTTAATTACCTTGTGGTTAAGAGAGATATATATGTAAAGTGTATATAGCTTTGTTATCAATTTAATGAGAGAAATATATATATATATGTAAAGTGTATATAGCCTTGTTATCAATTTAATGAGAGATATATGTATATATGTAAAGTGTATTTAGCCTTGTGGTTAAATGTATCGTAAGAAAAATAATTAATCTCCCTTTTTTGGGTTGAAACTATTTGATATCAATGTTTCAAACGCCCAAAGTCTTTTGACCTTCTTTCGTTTTGTTAAAAGGCGCACTTTTAACTTTATGAGATATTTTTAGTCCTTATCAAATTTCAACTATGAGCAATAAAAAAAAATTTCCCACAGTTTTTGGGTAACAAATTAATAACAATTACCACGAAAAGCACTTTGGAGATGAGAAACGAATCTTCTTTTACAGCGATGCATATCGTTTCTTCGTTTTTTTAAGGAATTAAGAAACAAATAATCTGACGTATCATATAAGATATATGTTTTGAAAAAAATTGTTCTGTTTGGCAATAATTATGACTAACTGATTGAAATGTCCTCTAGGCATTCATTATAGATCGCATAACATTATGTCATTTTCCTCTTTTGAACTATTACGAATTAAAAAAAAAAAGATTTTATGATTTATTTTTTAAAACATAACTACTAATATCATACAAATATATTATCACAGTTTTTTTCTTTAACTATTTTGGCAATATTTGGAAGTTTTAGGTATCTATAATTATGTGGGACATGTATTTTAAGTATCAAAAAATTCACATTATATACTCTTATCGTACTGTATGACATGAATACTCGAAAATGGATTAAGTACTAGACAAAAAGGGCCTAGGTGGTAGTCTACTGATAGTACAAGAGGCCTAGTGACACTATCTATATCAAATGATGCACTAGTAAAATGAATCATGTTTTGTGGTTCTAAATTAATATACTTAATTAATCTTAACATTAAACAAAAAAACATACTAAATTCTGCTGGCCCATAAACATTGCAACAACGAATATATATATGGTTGCATCTAAACGCAAAAACGCTACCTCTTGTTTGCAGTACGAGGCCTAGATATATAAGCGGTCGTAGAAAATCCTGATCTTGTCATTGGGATCATAGGAGATGGGATTAGGACCTTCCACAAAGCAAAAAATCGTTCTAATTAAATTTCAGCGTACGTTTTCTCTTTTTGAAGGTTTATTCTCATCTTTTAGAGCTTATTATTCTGAATATTTTTTTGGTTGTTGTTGATGAGCCTAAATAGTTAACTTTACACCCTTCAGCCCAAAATAGGGGTTAACGTTACACCCTAAAATGTAATCTGTGATGTCATTAATACCGGTTCAAATACATTGAAATCTCAAAAGTCAAGATATGAATCCTTCTAATGTTGTCACATCTCTATAATATACTAGTACTATATATATAATATTGTTAGCCCACCAGATAAATATAAGGAAAGCAAGAACATAAGAATAGGACACAAAAGAAATGATAGTCTTTGTCTCTTTGGCTATCTTATCGGCAGCTTGATTGATTACATGTTCTAGGAACCCCATGTTATCATTGCATCTTCAAATTTGGATCGCCACTTTCTTATCTTACGAATCCATTTATGTAATTTTCCTTTGGGAAAAAATAATTAAAAGTTACAACATATAAGAAAGATAACCATGTGTTTACTCCCATCTTATTTTAACATTATTTCTAAATATAAAAATAATTAAACATTTTAAAAGAAAGATAACAAATTCACTAACCCTAAAGCCAAGAACTCGTAAAAGGAGATAGACTAATGATCGGAAAAAACAAAAGAACTAAAAGGTTGTGTCCGTATAATTATCCCGGAATAAGTACTGACACGGCCTCATATGTCCGAGCAACGATCCTTTCATATTTCCAGCCGGGTCCGCCGTAAAATTCACCGGTATACTGCCGCAATGCACGGTCAAGAAACCTTGACCCAGAGATTCCGAACCGTCGTTTATACTATAGCTAGATACAACATTGACCCGAAGATCCCAACGAACGCCGTTGCCAATACCATCGGGCGTTGCAACCGTTTTGAAGACGGCATACGGAAGCGGCTCGTTGATTTTTCCGTTGACGAGTTTCCCAAAATAATCCGGAGTGACTGACTCGAGATAAGCTTGTCGCCGCGGAGGAGACGCGATTTGATCATATGGAGAGAGATCTTGCAGGTGTTACCGGGGCTATCGGCCACAAAACTGACGTTCCAATCAGCGGTTGCGTTTGCGTTTGCGGTCAAGGTGTTTGACACGGAGAAAGAGTCGACGAAGACCTCCAGGTGACAACTCCATAAGGTACCGGAACGGATTTTAAGGAAATAAATGAAGAGAATAAAGCTTCCCGTGACTGCGAGAGTAGCAGTGAGGTAGATAACGCAGAAAGAGGTTCGATTAAGCTTGAACGCTCTTTCTCCATCATCACCGTTTGCGTTTCCGGAGGTTGATGCTTCCCGGCGACATTGGCTTCGCAGGCCACAAGAGGGACAAGTAGACCTTATTGCCATTTGACGTAAACAGATAGTGAAAAACAAAGATACTTAATTTATAATTTTATTGATAAGCCACATAAGTTTGTGATAAATATAAATGATGGCCGTTTTTTTTTTAAGTATCCTAAGAATATTTGTAATTGTTGATATTCAGTTTAGATATGCGTAGATATTGCCAAATCTTAAACCTTTTTTCTAGCTAACAAAAAAAAATCAAATTAAACAAACCAACGAATGCACAAATAATTAGATTAACCTACTCCCAACTCTGATTAGGTCTATGATGATAATCTCCAAAATATCTTAACAAAGTCTCGTATCCACACACACAAATAATATAAAAAGAAGTTATTAAAGGGAAAACATAACATCATTTATAAAAATTCAATTGAAAATTATTTAGCCTACAATCTTTTCAATCGTATATAACGATTTATAATGCAAATTTAAATGATTCAGATTTTTTAAGATTACATCAAAACCATTCCTCCTTCTCCCTACCTCCAAAGAAAACAAAATGGCTAATAGCTTGCCGGAGATTGAGAGCGGATTCCCAACGACGCCGTCCTTAGCCACTGATCCTCCTCCTACTTCACGGCGGAGGACTCAACTACAATCATTATTCGATCGTCGTAAGGAACTCACTAAAGAAGAAAAAGATGCCATTTTAAAAACCATTAGCCTCAGCTATTTCACCACGGTCGTTATCACGGCCATCTTCAGCTTCATCATCTTGTTCGGCGACAGACTGCTTCACTGCCACGTCAGATTCTCCGTGGAATCTATCTCCGTTTCTCCCTCTTCCACCACGTGGCACGTCGATTTCCTCGTGAACAACCCGTCCTCGAGGTGTCCTATCTACTACGACGGCGATGGCGTGTATGCGAAGCTAGGTTCTTTATACGCCGCCGTATTGAAGACATCTCACAAGCGTCGTTCACATGGCCGCACGAGTTTCTCCGTGGATTTAGCTACGGAGGGTAATCAAAGCGACGTCGTTGCAGCTTTTCCTAGTGTTTTCGAATTGGGCATGAAACTTAGTGCGAAGAAGAAGAAGCTTTTTGTGGAAGGATATTATTATGGATATTTCGATATTAGGTGCCAGAATCTGACTCCCGGTTATGAGAAGATTAAATGCCACTCGTCTTTCAAAAAGTTGAAGGATTGTTGCGAGATTTATTGAATATGTACGACTTATATGAGTTATGAGGCTTCATTGCTTCCCTCGTCTATTTTTTATTTGAGTTTTATGCTTTTGTTGTGATTAATCTTTAGCAAATTAGATTCTAGCTTGTGCTTTGTTTGATGAAAAGGAAAAGGAATCTGTATGGCTATTTCGCAAGAACAATAAAACGATTAATCTATGAGATGTTCCATGATGAAGAAGAACTGAAGTTGCACAATCTCGACATTGAGAGCATCTTCTAATAGTAATATTCTATTTAAACCTAATTAGTTCAGAAAAATATATAATCTTTTGAATATGATTATTTTTAGCGAAAGCATTTTTTTATCAAACTACAGGTAAGCACGCGGCTAAAGATTAACCACGTGCTTAATTCCATTTTATTTGATCAATTACGACTAAAATACAAGTAAAAGAAATAAAATAACCTAAAGCCAAGAACTCAATGATTCATATTAAGATCTAAAAGGAAAGATTCAAGTTATCCCGGGATAAATAGTCACACCGTTTCATATTTCCTAGCAAAGATCCAGTCACATTTCCCGCCGGATCCGCCGTGAATTTCACCGGTAAATCGCCGCACAACACCATCAAGAAACCATGACCTATTTCTGTCACTCCGGCGGTAATCTCCACCCGACAATCCCTAACCACGCCGCCGATAATTCTCGGCATTACCACTTTTTCGAAGTCGACATGTATTACCCGCCCATCCGTTTTTTCGTAGGTAACAAGCTGTCCAAAAATATCGAACGATGGATGGGACTCGGAGATAACGTCCTCGCCACGGAGGAGACGCGATTTGATTCCATGGAGAGAGATTTTGCAACCGGTGACCGGACTCAGCGCAGTCAAACCGATTCTCCAATCAGCGGTTGAGATATTTGCGTTTGAGGCGGTAACGGAGACGGAGACGGAATGGGCAAAGAGCTGCAAGTAACAACTACCAGGTTTGCCGAATGCAATTTTTCCTGAAGATAAAATAAAGACAATGAAGAATATACTAGTCCAAAAGGAGTAGCAAGCACAGCAACATGCTGGAGTAATCTCGAGGGTCGCATCGTTTGGGTCGCGGGATACGGTGGTGGATGCTTGCCGGCGACATTGGCATTCTTGGAGGCCACAAGAGGTACATCCAGAAGTTGCCATGTTGGTGACTTTTATGAAAATATTGACTTAGCTTTCAGGTTTTAATAAATAACTGAAATGGTGATTTTTGTATATTTAAGTTTGTTTTTCGTTAATATCGTAATCTTCCTTTTGTTGATAAAAATCCGCACGCATATCTAAGGGAGGGTGTCTTGTTTATCTACTTCAATTATACTAATATAAGAAATATATTACTAGTTCAATTTTTATTTTATTTAAATAAATTATGCAGAATCTAACATAAAAACGATTAAAAGGAAATCTGACTTACTTTTTTCCCCCTAATAATCGGAGTTTTGGGAAATTACATCAACTGTATATTTTATCCCAAATAAAAGAAAAATAAAGCATTTGAATGTGGAGTTCTGTTTTTTTTTTTCTTCCTAATAAATCGAGCACCATATAATAATAAAGAAGTGAAATATAAATTAATTATTAAATGCATGGAAGAAGAAGAAGAAACAACTTAAAATAAATCCAAAGGTGTAAAAGAGGAATGACAATTAATCTTCTCAAGGCTTCGGGTCAAATTCTGACATCTGATATCAAAATGTCCAGCTTCGTGATAATCAACGTAACGCTTATGCTTCCCACCGAGTTTGATGTCAAGCTGCCCGGAAACGGCGTCGTTTCCATTACCCTGAGCATCGAAGTCCAACGAGAAAGCCGTGTGATCTCTATAAACACGTTTACGTGTGATTTTAAAAACGTCGACGGATAGATCACCGAGCCTCACGGAAGCATCATCGTCGTCGTAGTAGATAGAATATCTAGAGCTCGGGTTTTCGACGAGGAAGTCGACGTGCCACGTGGCGCCGGAGGGAGAGACGGCGACGGATTGGATGGAGAATTTGGCGTGGGGGTGAGCTTTGTCGATGGATGCAAAGACTGATAATATGGCGACGACGGTGAACAAGGCGCCGCAAAAGGGTGAAAGTAAAGCCGCAAATTCCTTGAAAGTGGGGTCATGATCATTAGTTGCCGGTATAGTCACTACTGGTCGTAACCACCACTCGCGAAGACGACTGGAGGAGGAAGAGGAGGACGGTGGCGTTGGATCTCCGAAAGTATGAGCATATGTTTCGGAAGCCATTTTTTTGTTTTTCGTTGGTTTGGAGAGAAGAATGATATTTGATATCATATCATATTAACTGTATAGATTATTGGAGAATCAATCTCTTACCTTTTATTTTTATTTTGATTTTTTTGTGCGTGGATAAAGAAAGTTTGTTATATTTGACCTTAAGCTAAAAAAGTTTGTTATGAAAAATCATAAGCATAATTGAATTAGTTAAAAAAAATTAGGTAGCAAATGCAGAAAGAAGAGAAGTAAGCTTGTACGCAAAACAAAACAAAGGTAAGCTTGTAGGAAACTTACTGGCGACACTGGCACGTAATGGAAGTGTCCAATTTCATCGCCAAAGATACGATTAAATGTTCGTAATGCTAAACTTATTTGAATTATGAGGCTTCTTGCTTTCACTATGAGTAAAACCACAAAATTATTTAAACTCATATTGAGTAAGAAAGCATTAACGGAATCTTAAGTTAATGTTTTTGTCAATCTATACTAAATAAAAGGAACTATTTGGGGCTCCTTAAGCTATCCACCTCAACTTTTCAAACTACTCTAAAAATATGACACATCAGCAAAAAATAATAATACAAATTCCCACTTTAAATTTTTTTGAAATACACATAAAGTAAATAAATAGAACCAAAATTAATATAGTTAAATACAAGAGTAAATAAAAATAAAATATTATTTTTTGAATCAGTAAAATAAATATTATTTAAATCTATAGCATCAATATATACTCTTTTGTTTGTAATATAACAAATTAACAATAATGAAAATTCTCACTTTAGATTTTTTAAAATACACATAAAATAAATAAATAGAACCATTAAATTAATATAGTTATTAGCGAAAACTAAATAAAACTATATATCATTTTAATCAGTAAAATAAATATTATTTAAATCTGTAGCATTAATATATACTCATTTTTGTCACTAAAATTAATATAGTTACCAACAAAAGTAAATAAAATTAAAATATTAAATCAGTAAAATAAACATCATTTAAATTTATAGCATCAATATATACTTCTTTTGTTTGTAATATAACAATAATAAAAAATTTCACTTTATATCTTTTGAAATACACATAAAATAAATAAATAGAACCACTAAGTTAATATAGTTATTAGGAATAGGTAAATAAAACTAAATATCATTTTCTAAATCGGTAAAATAAATATCATTTAAATCTGTAGCATTAATATATATTCCTTTTTGTAATATAGTGAATATATTAGACAACAAATTGCTCTAAAAAAAAAATAATAGTTAATAGAAACAAGATTACAAAATAATAATTTCTAAAATAAAATTTAAAATATTTACAAATTATAAAAATCTAAAACATTCACCTTTTAGAAACATACAGATTAAACATCATAGTACGTTAGATTTAAGGCAACCAACAAGACAACAGAAATTATAGGAAGCTTTTCAAAGCATCTATCTATATGAAGATTTTGATCATCGTTACTATTTACATTGCAGAAAATGATAGACATAAGAAGAATTTCATGCACTGATATTTATTCAATGTGTGTCTTAGTTGGCTTAAGGTAGTCAAGTTACTACAAGCGATACATGTCAACACATGAGTTAAACAGTTTATAAACAAAAATTAAGTTTTAGATGACAGTTAATTTTTATATATATATCAAGTTAGTAAATTTTTAAATTAAATAATAATGCATTTTTTGAAAAAATAACATACACATTTTTATGTAGAAGAAAATGTCTAAAAAAATCTCTAATTATCCACATCAACAAAATTCCTTATAAACCCAACTTGAATGAAAAACTAATATGGTTTTTTTTTACTGGGTTAAGAAACTTTTTTAAAAATAATATAATATATACTATTAGTTTAATTATAAAGGCTCATCAAAATATATATGTGTAGTTTAAGAAAAAATGTTTAAGTTAAACTACAAGCAAAAATTTTTACATCTTTTGAGTTTTGAGAAACTCAACATACTTTATTTAACATAATGAGTTAGTATGAAATTGTATTTGTATATGTATTACTTGCCTTATTCATCTATATTTTTTATAGTGTACGTGTACTTCATAGACCAAATCAAAATTGCATTTTATCAATATGATTGTGATTTTTTATACTATGTAAATATTATTTTTATTTATATGAATCATAGTTATTTTATAGATTTATAAGAGATTAGAATATTGAGTGTTGTTTGTATTTGAGATTGCTAATTAAATAAAAACACTACACGAACACAGTTGAAATAAAAATAATAATCTAAATTAATTAGAACAATAATAAACAAATTTAGTCAAAACAAAAATAATTTTAATAATATTTTGAAAGTTAGTAGTGAATAACATTGAGTTTAACAGTTAATTTTAGCATATATCAAGTAGGTAATTCTTAAAATTATATCATGATACATTTTTTGAATACGTTAAAATATTTTTGATGTATACTCATATCAAAACAATTTTAAAAATTAAATATTATATTTAAAATATTAACTTAAAGTGAAAATAATTTAACTTAAATAATAATTAAATATCTATATAAAAACAATCCGCGCGTAGCGCGGAAACATCTCTAGTTATAACTAAAAGAAAATACAAAAAAAAAGTAACCTAAAGCCAAGAACAGCTAAAAAAAAAAAAAAAATATCATAGATTCAGGTTATGAGATATTTAAGATCTATACGGGAAGATTCAACCTCTCCCGGAGTATATAGTCACATCGTCGCATACTTCCGAGCAATGATCCAATCATATTTCCCGCCGGATCCGCCGTGAATATCACAGGAATACCGCGGCAAACCACCGTCAAGAAACCACGTCTAAATTCTACCTTCGATCTGACGACAATCTCCACCCGATAATCCCAAACCACGCCGCCGATAACTCCCGGCGTTACCACCGTTTTGAAATCGAGAGTTATAGCCGGCCTGTCTGTTTTCGCGGAGGTAACCGGTCCAAAACCATACAACGACGGATATAACTCGGAGAGAACTTGGTCGCCACGAAGGAGACGCGACTGGATTGTATGGAGAGAGATTTTACATCCGGAGACTGGACTCTTGGCAACTAAACCGATTCTCCAATCAGCGGTTGAAACGTTTGCGTTTGAGACAGAGACTGAGTGAGCAAAGAACTCCAAGTAACAACCATCTTTCCTAGCGAGAAGGGTTATTAAACCATCAAGGGTCATAAGGAAAACGAGGCAAATAGTAGTCCAAAGGAAGTAGTAAGCACAGAAAAAAGCTGGAGTAATCTCGACGGCTGAGTCTGAGCCGTCGGAAACGGTAGTTGAAGCTTGCCGTGTAGATGTTGCCATGCTGGAAGTACTTATAACACTTTCTGAAAAGATTAGTTTAGCTTTTTAATGAACATATATATAAACTGGTTTTTTTATGTATATATATTTTTGTTCCTGGTCCTTTTGTTGATAAAGATTAAAAGACCCGCAAGCAAGGCAAAGTGTCTCGTTTATCTAATTTAATTATTATTATACAAAAATATTTAAATAGTTTGGGTTTTGAAAAAAATATTTAAAAAATAATTTGGGTTTATATAAGGGAAACCTAATCAGATCGTATCTTCTAACAGAAATCGGAACTAAACTTTTTATTATTTTAAGATTTAACACCGAAACCGGAGCTAGAAAGTTTAGTGAGAGTTGGATTTAAATAGGGTTTGATTTTAAAAGTTCTACGATAGTTGTTAGTTTGTATAGAGTTTCTGTTATTTGAGAAAGTTTTTAAAAGTTTGTACCGAGTTTTGTGTATTTACAAATATATATTATCAGAAAAACATATTATTTAAAAAATAAAAGTTAAATTGTTAAGAATCCATATCCCAATATAACAATAGATTTTACTAATATTCAGAAATCATTAAAAAAAAACTTTACTTTTTCAATAACAACATATATTGAGTATAAATTTAGAAGTTATCAAATCCATAAACCAATAGCAATTAACCCTATATAAAAAAACCTAACAATTGTTAAAAATCCAACGCACACTAAACCCACCCAATTTAGATTTAGACATTTAATCCTTCCTCAAACGTCTTTAAAGGTGTAAAAGAGGATTGGCATATAATCTTCTCACGGCCTCTGATCAGATTTTGGCATCGTATATTCAAGTGTCCGGCTTCGTCAAAATCTGTATAACGCTTATGCCTCGCTCTGAGTGTGATGTCAAGCTGTTCTCCGTAAACGGCGTCGCTTCGATTTCCCTGCTCAGCAACGAAAACCAACGAGAAGGCCGCGTGATCTTTAGAATCACGTTTACGAGTGATGTTTAAAACGGCTGCGTTTAGGTGACCGAGTCCCACGGTAGCGTCACCGTCACCGTCGTCAGAGTAGATTAGATACATGAAACTCGGGTTTTTCACGAGGAAATCGATTTGCCACGTGTCGGAGGAGACGGCGATGTTTTGGATGGATACTTTGGCGTGGGGTTGAGCTTGGTCGATGTATAGGTGCAAGATTAAAAATATGGCGACGATGGTGAAGATGGCGCCGAGAAAGGGTGAAAGGGAAGCCGCATATTCCTTGAGAGTGGCTTGGCGACCATTAGTTGCCGCCGGCAGAGTCGCTATTGGTCGTGACCACCACCCACAAAGACGACTGGCGGAGGACGACGGTGGCGTTGGGTAAGAATTGGTTTGGGAATCCATTATGTTTTTGGTTGGTTTGGACTTTGGAGAGGAGAATGATATATATCGATGTTATCCCTATCATTCATTAATTATAGAGACTTTGGAAATTAATCTCACTTTTTTTTTTTTGTGCGTGGATAAAGAAAGTTAGGGACGAAATTTCAAGGATTATCATCAGAAACATATAATCAGAATTGAATTATATAAGAATATAAATAATCAACACATAGACTTTTATTAATATATATCATAGATACTGAATTGGAATGAGCGAGGTTCAATTTGTTTTGCAAGAGGCAACACAACTAAACCGACATCGCATGCACACACAAACCAGAATAATCTCACTATGAGGCACAATAATATTACAAGGCCAAAGCTTAATCTCACCTATCATACTAGTTGATAACAACTATGCGTATGTGTTTGTTTTCTGTAATCCTATCGCTGAGATTATTTTAAAGTTTTTAGTACTAGCAAATCTTTCATTTTTTCCTTTAATTTTTTTAAATTGAAAATGATGAGCTAAAATTACAACATAGACGGATAACACTGTTCATACAGGTAAAATTCATATTACAAACATTCGAGACGACGAGACGCTAATAATAAAAGACCTACCACAAACGCTAACAATATATATTAACATATATACCGGTTTTTGTGCCGGAGTACGAACAAGTTAAGCCTACGTTCTTGGAAAAAGAATTATTTAGTTAAAATATGAAAATGATTATTCCCCAGCTTTCTAAATTAGTTTCCAACTATTTTAGGTCTCTGAATAATCCTCAAAATATCACAACAACCATTTGTCTCAACACGTAGATGTACGCTCCTTCGTATGTGTTTCTAGTATGAACAATTACGTGCATGGAAAAACTTGCGACTATAGGTATATATATAACCAACATAAACAAATGGTATATAACCATGTGCTTAATCTCATCTTATTTGATCAAATTATGACTGATCAAAAAGAAAACAAATATAGCCAAAGAACATCAGATATCATAGATTCATGATCGTAGAGATTCAAGATAAGGATTCAGGTTATCCCTGAATAAATAGTCACATCGTCTCATATATCCGAGCAACGACCCGATCATATTACCCGACGGATCCGTCGTGAAGTTCACCGGTATATCGCCGCAAAACACCAACAAGAAACCATTTCCATATTTAATATCTGTCTTCACTCCGGCAATAATCTCAACCCGAATATCCTAAATCACGTCGCCAATAACTTCCGGCATCACTTCCACCGTTTCGAAAACGACGTTTGTTTTGTCTCCATCGACAACTTGTCCGAAATGATCCGTCGATCGAGATGATGATTTGGCGATAACTTCGTCGCCTCGGAGTAAACGCGATTTGATTGGATGCAGAGAGATTTTACAGTCGGTGACTGGACTCCTCGCAACAAAACCGATTCTCCATTGGGCGGCTGAAACGTTTGTGTTTGCTTTTGCGTTTACGTTTGCGTTTGCGTTTGAGACGGATACGGTATCGGCAAAAAGCTCCAAGTAACAACTATTTTTGCCGTCAAATTTTTTTCCAATAACGATAGTGATGAGAGGAAAAACGAGGAGGAAAATAGTGATACAGAGGTAGTAAGCGCAGCAACAAGCTGGAGTTATCTCGGTGGGCTCGTCGGAAACTGTTGACGTTGGAGTTTGCCGGCGACATTGGCAACGTCGGCGAAGAAGACCACAAGAGGTGCATCGAGATCTTGCCATTTTGGAAGTTTAATTTTCTCTTCGTGATGAAAAGATACATAAACTTAGTTATATACATAAACATTTTATTTGATTAAAATAGTTGACCGTTCTTAATTATTTGGTACTATAATAAGCTTATGAACAAGTAGTTGGCGACCATAGGTATATGCAGATACTTGTTGGAACCAACTTACTTAGTAAGTTAGTAGTAAATATTTAACGCTCTGTCTAATTGTTGTTGCTAGTATCAATAAATTTCGTTACGGTATAGATACATATAGATGTGTAACATGAAAAAACGAGAGGGGCAATATGTTAAAAGGATAAAGGTGGGCATGCTATTTTTTTTTTCAAAATAAAACAATAGAAAATCTAGAGTACATATCTATCAACATGCATCCTAATATGATCCCAGGAGATAATATTTATCAAATGACAAGAACATATCTTACAGACAAAAATCTCCAAAACACAATTTACCTGCGCGGTTGCAGAATGTCTGTGTCTCTCGTCAGAGCCAACTCAGGTTCAAGGTCTTTGGTGTGAAACGGGTAAGCCTTAACGAGAAGCTTGTGATCTCCCATCTTGCTTCCATTAAGTTCCAACGCCTTCTCTTCTGCACCTTCTCACCAAGGCAAAACTGTAGAACAATAAAAAAAAAAGAGTTTATATAGCAAAGGCATCATGTGCAGAAGAACTAAATCCTTCCGCAGAAGAGTTTGTATACTTAAAAAGCTGACATAACCCGAGGAAAGACGGATGTGCAGAAGAACTAAATCCTTCCGCTTAACCAATCGGGCAAACGGACTGGTCGATAATGGGCGTTAGATATATAAATATATAGTTTAAACCCCTTCGAACATTTTTTCTTTTCTTAACCAATAAATTAAAATTCGCACACCTTAATTGTATCATTTTTAATGATTTGATTTAATGAAATTATACTTTGAAAATAAAATTAGCAATTTCTGAAATATTATTTCTTTCTTGCCACTTTTGGCTTGTGATAAAAGAACATGTAGTGGCTTGTCAACGTATCAATGCTTACAATTTTTTTTAGAAATTATGTAAGGGTGTAAAAGACTTAAAAGTAGATCATATCGTATTTTAATGTAAGTATGTAACTTGTTCTGATATCGCATGAAACATACATACAACGGACTCGTGAAATTTTATTGCTTGAAGAGAAAAGAAAACAATAATATATAGCACAGTTTAATCATTAATAGATAAAACCATTATTTTAATCAGCATACGAACTATTTCGGGTTATATTTTCTTGTACTGTGAGGGTGAATTTTTTGATAATGCGAAAATTACTTATGCATATATACTAAACGACATTAGTAAGAAAATAATATTCGAGAACAGATGATTGAACTCCAATTTTCACTCTAATGTTTATATCTAGTAATAATTACCTAAGTATGATGTTTATAACTTGACTAAAATTAATTTAGGTCTAGAATGGGATTAGAGAAAATATAATATTTGAGCCTCGGATATATTTTGGGCCTAGACTAAGCCTACACAAGAAATCTTTTGAACCTCAAACGAAAGTCTAAACATGCTTTAATAAAAGCATCCAGAATTTTTCAAACCTCAAAACGAAAGTCTCAACATGCTTAGTAAAAGCATCCAGATAAAAACATCATAATGAAGGCAGATTGTTAGATTAGTGAGCTTACTTTTAACATCCAAACAAAAAAAAGAAAAGACATCTAAAAAAGATCCACAACCATAGAATTTTTTACATCGTCCGTAATTATTTTCGTTCCTCTAAAAAAACAAACGAATTAAAGCAAGATTTTATTTTTTACCAAGAATTTAAGAATTAAGAAGCAAGAAGCCAATTCATGTACCTCAGTCATACTTCAATGTGGAAGAAATGAGTCACAACACTGGCATCAATGAAGTAGTCCCATAGGAGTCTTGGCATTCGAGAATTACTTTGTCATTGACTACTCACCATGTAATTACGACAATGGCATGACTAAAGTACACGTCCTGTGCAAAAAGAAAAACCAGTTAACAGTTTACTAATATATTTTACTAATTGAACAAATTCAATTTAACTTATCTCACAAGAGAGATTTTTGTAGCTCTATTTCAAATATCAAAACACTAATCTCTTGCGCTAATTCAACATAGTGAAATCGGTTGACAACCAACACATCTCTAGGAATGAATCTATATCCAAACTGTCCATACGGTTAATCAAAATCAAAATAGAATAGAAAATGAAAAAATAGAAAAATACATGGAGAAAAGAATATTTACCAAAATTAAAGGGAGATTATCTGATTCCATGATGGTTCCACACATCCAAAATGTTGCAACTGCCGAGTACACATCCATCATTCCACAACGCCAATCTGCTTCCAACTGAGCTCTAGGTGAGACATTTACGAGTTCTTGAATGGACAAAGTCTTGTTAAACTCCAACAAACCCATCATCTTCAGTCTTGCTTGAAATTGTAGAACTAGTGAGATGGTCCAACAAATGTCTTGAAACTTTGTAGAACTAGTGAGATGGTCCAACAAATGTCTCGAAACTGGACAGGAACACCAATTAAAAGGGGAACCAAACTGTTCCAGCAACTATCTTTTTTAGCATCCATCCCTTTTTCCTGTCGATTAACTAAAGTGCAAAAGCCGACAATTCAACTACTAACAAACAATTAGGAATGTATTATATTAATTCAGGGGAAATCGAGAAAAAGATATTTGGGCCTTGAATATATTATGGGCCTAAACTAAACCCACATATTTCCAACAGTGTTGGAGAAATCTTTCGAACCACAAACGAATTGCCTCGAGTCTAAAGAAAGTTAAGAAACATTTGGGAGCAGAAGTTGCAACTAATCTTGCCAACCAAGTTGAGATGGGGGAGATGATGGTTTTTCGAATCGTATATGTAGTAATGAAGATAGATAATGATTATTTGGTTAACTTTAAACATCCGGATAATAAACATCATACATAGGTTATAGATTTCTTGATTAGCGAGCTTACAAAACTGGTAATAAAGTTGAAAACACCAAAGAGCTTCGTGTTATCAGGGCTTTCTACTTCGCAGCCTCATTCTTCTTCTCGCTTTCCACCATCGTCATTAGCCTAAAACAAACCACGAATCAATGAGAGGTTTTACAGTATGGTTACCAAGAATCAAGTATCAATGAATCAAGAATCGAATTCATGTACATGTTGGGGAAACAGCCAGCCCTAACGTGGCGGCGCGGTGGTCCGCCAGCAAACGTAACCCGAGAAACTTCAACCTTCTCAAATCCTGGCACATCACATCCACCAAGTTGCAGCGCCTTCTCTATTGCGTCTTGTCCCTCAAGAGTAACATGAGCAAGGCTATAAAAAGCAATAAACAAAAACAAATCTTTGGTTAGCATATGACAGCATGAGAGGTGGGTACAAAATTCACAAGCAAATTGGGAGGAGGAAGCCACAAACTCGAAGAGAGCACCCTCGCTTTCGTCTTTGTGAGCAGACGCACGCAGGACAGTTCCACATTTAGAGAAGTGTTGAATCAGCGTGCTCTTGACATAATCCTCAGAAAGCGAAGTGTCAAATCCCTTAACATGCATCCTAATATGATCCCAGGAGATAATATTTATCAACATGACAAGAACATATCTTACAGACAAAAATCTCCAAAACACAATTTTACCTGTGCGGTTGCAGAATGTCTGTGTCTCTCGTCAGAGCCAACTCAGGTTCAAGGTCTTTGGTGTGAAACGGGTAAGCCTTAACGAGAAGCTTGTGATCTCCCATCTTGCTTCCATTAAGTTCCAACGCCTTCTCTTCTGCACCTTCTCCCCGAAGATAAACCAAGGCAAATCTGTAAACAATAAAAAAGAGTTTATATAGCAAAAGGCATCTAAGTATCTAACTTAAGAAGCTGACAAAACCCGAGGAAAGACGCCACAAACCTGTTGATATTACGGCAGACGTCGTAAACGTATCCGGGAATGTAAACATGTAACACCTCTCCACATGAATTGAAATGTTTTCTCAAATCGGAAACGACAAAATAGCCAGGGATCGAAGTGACGTATCCCTCAACGTAAATCCTGCTAATCATGCCACTGCGACACATGTGATTGCCGGTGATAATATTATTGACATGGCCGAAACACAGATATGCTCAAAAGAAGGACGAAAAAAAAAAACCAATTCGTATCTGCTTTTTGGAATGAATGCATCACTATCGTTCAATTTCAGATCAACCTACGGTTCAAAAGATCTAATCAGCGAATTCAAAATTGGGAAACAGAGGTTAATGAAAGACATAAGGGTCGAAGAAGAATTTACTTTGATGGCGGATCCTTCCATGGATAAGATGCGACTGCGCTAGGTTTTCAAGAGGCAATGATAAGAGATTTTAGGGCTTTAGGTCTTTCTAGAGACTGCCCAAGAGGAAGAAGGTATATAGTATCCTATCTTTCTTTTTTTTTCTTCTTCTGGAAACTTGTTTTGTTTTATTTTTTCTATATAAGGAAATTGTTTAATTTAGTGACTGTATGGAAGAAATAAAACATGAAGATGAGGAAAAGTAGAACCATAACTAAAACAACTCATTAACGCTTAGCAAAAGTCTCAAATTGCGTGAAAGAAGAGTGACATTGAATCTTGTCAATGTTTTCATGGTTTAGGGTCAGATTATGACACTTTATATTAACATGTCCAGCGTCATCAGGTTCAAGTCCGTATAGCTTATGCTTCGCCCTTAGTTTGATTTTCCAACACTCGGCAAAACAACGTCGCTTGTATTACAAGCCGCAACGAAATCCAATGAGAACGCCGTGTGACTTGGAGAATTACGTTTATGAGAAGTGCTTAATACGGCAGCGTTTAAGGGACCAAGCCTAACGGCAGCATCATCACCTTCGTAGTAGATAGAATACCTGCATGACCAGAACATAGGCAAAGGAAACCATATACAGTTTCGGGTATTAAATATATTTAAATAACGACCAAAATTTGATTTTTTTTAAAAAAAAATTATATGCACTATTTAATTATTCTTCTTTGAACCGGTCAAGAACATATACACAAGAACTTGAGTTGGTCAAAATTCGTGAAAAACAAAATTATACAGTATAAAATCTTGGTTGGACCGGTGTGAATGAATACCTGGAGTTAGCAGGGTTTGTCACGAGGAAATCAACGTGCCAAGTGGCGGAGAAAGGAGAGACGGTGATCGATTGGATCGAGAATATGGCGTGGCAGTGAGCTTTGTCGGCGAAGTATAAGATCAAGATTACGGCGACAAAGGTGAAAAGGCCGCCGTAACAAGGTGAACAGTAAGCCACATGTTCCTTGAGAGTGGGTTTACGATCACCCGTTGCCGGATGAGTCGCTATTGGCCGTGACCACCATCGACGACGACGAAAGGGAGGAGAGGCGGAGGCCCATGTCGCTGGCAACATATATATGAGAATAACTCGTTTTGGTACAAGTATATAATTTCGATTCTCTCTCTCTCTGTCTCTCTCTCTTTAATTTTGGTTGAAATGCTATTCACTAGATATGAACGAAGGGGTTATAAGCATAACATTTAATATAGTGTAACTAATGACAACAATCAAACAGAGAAACGATCTCTCATACTCACCTTGATACCGTAAGGAGACAGTTTCTTCCGCATGCACTCTTCCACAAGCTCTCTGACTAGATTGATACCTTGGTAGGAACCCATTGCGGCTACAGTTCTTCCCTGTTGGATGCAGACAAGGAACAGTCAAATATATGTCCAGTGAGTGAGACATTTGCACACGTACGATTAATTACCTGAGCTCGAATGTAACACCCGGTTTCCGATTCCAGCGTCTGCAAGCCTGCAAGCAGAGCAAATTTGTTAGATGTTGAGCAAGTTTCTCATATACAGTTATACAAGTGCACAATTAGTCATTACTAATGAAGCAATACACACACACACACACCTTCAAGTTGATATAGTTAGGACCGCAAAGCTCAAGCCTCTTCCCTAGAATCCTTAATCAAGAGAGAGAGAGAGAGAGAGAGAGAGAGAGAGAGAAGCACGAGGTTGAGCTTGCAGGCGACGCCGTATTCCCCGAGAGAGCGCGGATTTAACACTGGGCCAAGACTCTTGAAGATACTTCTCCCTGTGTGGAGGATAGCGTCTTGAGAAGGAGCTGACTTCGAGCATACCAGTCGGATTCCATGCCGGATCGAACTTCTCGACTGTCCACACGCCGGTGTCTCTCAGATTCGCCGTTGAAGACTACACTTAATGATAGAGCGGCGGCTGCGAAGCTTTCTATAATATAATTAGGGTTTATGATAACCAAATAATTTATATACTTGTATCTTCTAATTACATGTATGATTTGTTTCCCCTCCATATAACTTTACACTTGTATCTCTTTCTTTCGTGATTTATGTTTTCCGTATATGGTTATCTCCTAACGTTGGTGTTGTCTTTCTTGCACCACAAGCAAACCCATCTGAGCTACTAGTTTTTAATTACAACAACAAAATTCCTTCTCGTGGACCCACACGATAGCACATTTTTCAATTTTCACAATAATGAGAGAAGTGAAGTTACGTTTCAATCTTAACCGTGAATTGATATCATTTTAGTCGGTCCAACTATTGGTGTGGTACTGATCATGAGTAAATGACTGCGTCAGGAAGTGAACGTAGCAAGTCAAACTATGAGCCACCATGATCACAATTTTTTGGGCTTCAAATTTAATGTCCCCTTTAATATCAATTAATATATATTAGTTGAAGAGGCACCGGGTTTTCCGCCGGTTTGAAGACCTTCGACGTTGTTGCAGCTTCTCCTAGGGCTTTTGAACTGGACATCAAACTCAGTTGAATCACCATTTTCTTACAAGCGATGAAAGTGGACATGTCGACGTCAGATATGAGAATTTGATCACTGATCATGTTAAGACTGAAACTGAATACCATTCGCCTTTCAAAGAATTGGAGGTTACGTCATTGAATTACGTTATTGAATTACCGAGGCTTTCTTGCTTTCTGTTTTAACTGTATATAAGCAGTTTTTGTTATCTTCTTCTTATTTGATTTTCTGCTATAAACGATAACAAATGCCGGTTTTTGTTTTGACGACATTTCCCCTCTAACTAATTACCTATACTTCAGTAATGATTAGGTCTGTAATCCCCAAAATATCATAACAACCATTCGGTCTCAACACGTAAAAAAACCATACAATTTTAAAAAATAACATTAACTCCAAAGAGATAGTATTCATGGTTGGAGAGAAATTCTAAAAGGATGTGTCCCAATACTCTTGCCGGAATGAATACTCACACGGCCTCATCATATTTCCGAGCAACGATCCCTTCACATTTTTGTCCGATTCCGCCGTGAAATTCACCGGTATATCGGCGCAAGTCATGAACAAGAAACCATGATCTGAATGATCTTTACGACCACTGTTTATCTCAACTCCCTGAACGCTGGAAACGACCTCGAGCCGGAAATCCCAAACCACGCCACCGATACCTTCGGGCGTCGCAATCGTTTTGAAAACGACATTCGAAAGCGGTTCCTTGATTTTTCCCGAGACGAGCTTCCCAAAATAATCCGGCGTGGATGACTCGGAGAGCAGCTTCTCGTCGCGGAACAGACGCGAGTTGATTGTATGGAGATAAGGTTCGCATCCCTTACCTAGGCTCCTCGCCGCAAACCCGACGTTCCAATCGACGGTTGCGTTTGCGTTTACGGCTGAGGCGTTTGAAACGGAGAAGGAGTCGACAAAGACCTCCAAGTGACAAGGATATGGGTCGACGAGAGCCGTTCCAGCAAAAAGACACAAGCTATAAATTCCTGTTGCCAGGGCGGAAAGGAAGTAGAAAATGCAGAAAGTGGCTGCAGTAAGCTTAAACGCTCTGTCTCCGTCGTCACCGTTTGCGTTTCTGGCGGTTAAAAGCTGACATCGGCAGAGTTGGCTTCTGAGACCACATGAGGTACAAAGAGACTCTAGTTTAGAATGAAACACATCATGAAAAGATATTCTAGTATTAGACCTAGCTAGAGGTTTGTGCTAAATAAATTAAGGCTCTGACTCGTATGTCAGAACAGAATAACGGAATAACTGAAAAATTACTAGCGGATTGAACTGAACTAAATAATATTTTAGCTGAATAATTGTGAAACGCTGAAAAGCTACTTTTAGTAGATTAATCACGTTTTATTTTTTTAGTTATATTTTTAACACGCTAGTGGAATCACGTTTCAAAAATATAGAAAAATGTGAAAACGTGAAAACGTGATGAATAACATGAATAGTAAAAAATAACAGAATCAAGTTTCCAAAACGTGAAAAAGCTTCATACCATTCAAACCCTAAATAATTTTGCTTTTTTAAAAAAAATATTAATAATTAAGTCATGTATTCTTTTAATATACTTAGACTTTCACATATCCTAAATACAGTTTTAAATGGTTTTGTTGATATTAATATTCGGTTATGAATGCAGATTGCCAAATCTTAAACCGTATATACATATATTACCAGTTACTAATTATACTTTTAATTGGTTTTGGTAATATATATATACGGTTTAAGATTTGGGGATTATACTTTTCCAAAAACAAAAACAAAACAAGATTTGGGGATCACCAGAGACTTAATTGGTTTCGGTAATATATATATACGGTTTAATAGATAGATATTACTAACAAATACCGCATTTTGTGCCGGGTATGAACAATTACGAGCATGAAAAAAAAAAATTTAGTTGATATAAAAATGATTATTCCCCGCCTTCCAAAATTTTTTCATTTTTTTTTCAAAACTAATTACCTAAAATTCAGTAACGATTAGGAGGATCTGATAATTCCAAAAATATCATAACAACCATTCGTCTCTGTACACGCTTTTTTAAAAATAAAAAAAACAATGTTCTATACAAAAAAACCAATCGTACGATATATTTCACTCGTATCTATAATTTAATGATAAAGATGGGCCTTCAAAGGCGGCTTGGTGATAATTTGACTTGGGGCACATCAATATCATTCTTCTTACCTCACGAATTAAAATGGCTACTCGTAGGTTCCTGGAAGTAGAAACCGGATTCCCTACGCCACCGTCCTCCGCCACCGATCGTCTTCCTCGTTCACGGTGGTGGACACAATCACAATCATTATTATTTAGTGGTAAGGAACTCACTCAACAAGAGAAATCGGCTACTCTTAAACCCTCATTGCTCGGCTGCTTAACCGCCTTCGTCGTTAGCATCATCGTCTTCTTCCCCATACTTCGTTGCAACGTCAGCTTCTCCGTCGAATCCATCTCCTTTTCTCCCTCTTCCGCCGCTTGGCACGTCGATTTCCTCGTGAAATACCCGAGCTCGAGGTGCGCTATCTACTACGACGGCGATGACGTGTATGCCAAGCTCGGTCCTGTAAACGCCGCCGTTTTGAAGACATCCCACACGCGTAGCTCTGGTGGTTACACGAGGTTCTCGGTTGATCTCGCTACGGAGAATAATCAAAGCGACGTCGTTTCAGCTTCTCCTAGGGTTTTTGAACTGGACATCAAACTCAGTGCTAAGAATACGAAAAATCTCTATGGCAATGAAATTGCAAGTGGACATTTCGACGTCAGATGTGAGAATTTGATAACTGATCATGTTAAGATTAAAGAATGCCATTCGTCTTTCAAAGAATTGAAAACGTGTTGCTAAGTTATTGAATTATACCACCGGTGCGGTGGGCTAGTGGTTTAAGTGCAGGGGTTGGGTCCATGTACTCCCTAGTTCGATCCCCGGTGGGAGGGATGCTTAACGCCATAAAAGGTATTAGCAAAGGCTCGTCCCGGGCCGTGGGGGAGATTAAGGCCCAGGCCCAAACTCCTCCTAGTTAACAAAAAAAAAAAAAAAAAGTTATTGAATTATGAGGCTTTCTAGCTTTCCGTTTTAACTTTTTTGATTCTCTGCTATAGTAAAATTGTTTTTTTCACATGCATTATTTCTCTATGTATGGTTCTGTTTCAGTTATATAATAACGATAACTCCATCTCCATCCCAAAATATTCAAAGTATGTTTTATACCTCGACAAGTCGACATCGAGGGTATCTTATCTAACCAAATGCTTTAATATTTGGCATAGATAGGAACTACAACATAAACAAATGGTTTTTAAAAAAAATCGCAACTATAGGTATATAACCATGTGCTTAATCTCATCTTATTTGATCAAATTATGACTAATCAAAAATAAAACAAACATAGCCAAAGAACATCAGATATCATAGATTCATGATCGTAGAGATTCAAGATAAGGATTCAAGTTATCCCGGTATAAATAGTCACATCGTCTCATATTTCCGAGCAACGACCCGATCATATTACCCGCCGGATCCGCCGTGAAGTTCACCGGTATATCGCCGCAAAACACCAACAAGAATCCATTTCCATATTCAATGCCTGTCTTCACTCCAGCAATAATCTCAACCCGAATATCCCAAATCACGTCGCCAATAACTTCCGGCATCGCTACCACCGTTTCGAAAACGACGTTTGTTTCGTCTCCGGTGACAACTTGTCCGAAAGGATCCATCGATGGAGATGATGATTTGGCGATAACTTCGTCGCCTCGGAGTAAACGCGATTTGATTGGACGCAAAGAGATTTTACAGCCGGTGACTGGACTCCTCGCAACAAAACCGATTCTCCATTCGGCGGCTGAAACCCTTGCGTTTGCGTTTGCGTTTGAGACGGATACGGTATCGGCAAAAAGCTCCAAGTAACAACTATCTATGCCGACAAAAAGTTTTGCAATAAGGACAGAGATGAGAAGAATAGCGAGGAGGAAAAGAGTGATACAGAGGTAGTTAGCGCAGCAACAAGCTGGAGTTATCTCGGTGGGCTCGTCGGAATCTGTTGACGTTGAAGTTTGCCGGCTACATTGGCAACGTCGGCGAACAAGGCCACAAGAGGTACACTGAGATCCTGCCATTTTGGAAATTTAATTTACTCTTCGTGATGAAAAGATGCATAAACTTGGTTAAATAAATGAAAAATTAATTCAAGTACACCCTTCAATTAAAAAAAAAAAAACTATCGATGAAAATTTTCTTTTAGTATATTCAACCTTTATTCTTTTTTTCTAATATGCCATATTTGTTTAGATACTTGAAGTAATATTTAGATTCTAAATATTCATTTTTATATAGGAGGCGGAAGCAAATCTAAGGGAAACCTAAGCAGTCTCGTTTATCAACTTTGATTATATTAATTAAATCAAATTAAACAAGAACTTTTAAATTGAAAAAAAGAATCTCAAATTACTATATATAAAAATATAAAGCAAGCAAATTAGATGAAGCTACTTAAACAAAAAAAAAAACAGTGAAACCGGAACTTTATAAAGTATGTATATTATAAATTAGTATTTTAGTTAAACAAGATATCGTACCATACAGAATATCAATCACCAATGATACGATTCCAATCCATTAAATGTTAAAAAAAGTGTGAAAGCCTCTTAGTCCGGTGATCGACTAAAGGTTCATTAATTAATGTTTCTACATCCAGAAGTCTGAATTTCGACTCCAAAAAAATACAATTTATACAGGTTAACGGAGACAAGCTGATAAGAAAAGATGGATTATTGGAGTTATTTATGGTGGACTCGCATATCTATGATGAATCTTTGTGGAATAGTTAATTTGTCCATTAAAATATTATCTTTGTAATAGTTTCCATAATTTGCATTCAGACGATAAATAAAAAATGTTAAAAAAGTTTATATGGATATATTTCTCTAGGAATGTATAGATATCCTTGTGAATGCAATCAAGAAACCTTCTTCTACCATTGCTGATCTTTGATATTCTTCATTAAAAGCGATATTGTAATTAGATTCTAACTAGCTACATTTACACATAATTTTTTTTAAACACTGAAATCGTTATAACTAGCGCTATTCTCAATAATCGTCACTAAAACAAAGAATTAAGAAATAAAGAAACTGGAAATTGTATAATCGTCACTAAATCGTAATATTACATAAGGGCGAGGAGTTTTGTTTTGTTTTAATGTTCATTATAGAGAAATTGTATAATTGACTGGCTGTATGGAAGAAAGAAAACAAGAAGATGAGGAAAAGCAGAACCATAATGAAAACAATTAATTAATGCTTAGCAAAAGTCTCAAATTGCGTGAAAGAAGAGTGACATTGAATCTTGTCAATGTTTTCATGGTTTAGGGTCAGATTATGACACTGTACATTAACATGTCCAGCGTCATCAGGTTCAAGTCCGTATAACTTATGCTTCGCCCTTAGTTTGATTTCCAACACTCCGGCAACGACGTCGCTTGTATTACACTCGGCAACGAAATCCAACGAGAAAGCCGTGTGACTCGAAGAACTACGTTTTTGAGAAGTACTTAAAACGGCAGCGTTTGAGGAACCAAACCTCACGGCAGCATCATCACCTTCGTAGTAGATAGAGTACCTGCATGCCCGGTCCAGAACATAGGCAAAACAAACCATATATATGTAAGTATTAAATGACGACCAAAATATGTTTAAACTACGTACTCTTCTTAGAACCGGTGAAGAACATATACAAAATCTTGGGATGTACCGGTGTGAATGAATACCTTGAGCTAGGGTTTTTCACGAGGAAATCAACGTGCCAAGTGTCCGAGACAGGTGAGACAGTGATCGATTGGATGGAGAATTTGGCGTGGCAGTAAGCTTTGTTGACCGAGTATAAGATCAAAATTACGGCGAACAAGGTGAAAAGGCCGCCGCAACAAGGTGAACATATAGCCGCAGTTTCCTTGCAAGTGGGTGGTTCACGAGAAGGAGGAGGAGAGGCGGTGGCGGATGCCATTTTGACCAAGAGAGTTTTGTTACGATATTTCGGGGATCTTTTAAAAACACAATCTGTTAGTACATATTGCTTCAGTCTCGTACCATAATAAATATGATTAAACTAGCTTGGGACTCGGCCCAATATTGCATACCCAAAAGGCCCAAAGCTTTGTTCACGAAAAAAGAAATTAAAAATGGCGTTCTTCCGCCATTGACGTATTCGACGACGTAAGCACAAGGGAAGCTCCGCAGGATTCTTCAGGTAGGTATCTGAAGTCACTAAACACGTCAATCACAGATTCGTTTTCCTCTCTGACAACCTTTCTACACTTCTGTATATATATATTGACTCCTGAAATCGATTTGAAATAATAAATTGTCATAACGAACGAACAAGCAATAGAAGAAGAAGAAGAAGAAGAACATTCGTCAGAAAAAAAAACTTGATTGTTTCGGTGTATTCGGAGCCTGAATCGCTAAATATGGAAGGGATTGAATCTGCGTCTAGACAAGGAAGGAGGGTCGTGGTGATCGGCGGCGGAATCGCCGGCTCCCTCGCCGCGAAATCGCTTCAGCTCGATGCTGACGTCACACTCATCGATCCGTAAGTTTATTCTTCTTCTTCTTCTTCAGATTCTCGAAACGCCATTCTTTGTAATCTCAGATCATGATGACGGGGTCAAATTTTTTGTTGTTGGCATGATCAAATCAGGAAGGAGTACTTTGAGATTACATGGGCAAGCTTGAGATCCATGGTGGAGCCTTCGTTTGCAGAAAGAACAGTTATCAACCACAAGAGTTACTTGAAAAACGGCCGTGTTGTCACTTCTCCGGCGACCAATATCACAGAGAGCGATGTAATGACTGCAGATGGGTCTGTGATTGGATATGACTATCTGGTCATCGCTACAGGTCACAACGACTCGTTGCCCAAAACAAGGCAAGATAAGCTCTCACATTACCAAGCAGGTATGATCCAAATTCTCATATCATCATCATCATTTAGTAAGAATCACATTTTAGGTTATAGATGTTGAGATTTTGTCTAAACATTTCGGCTACTGTTCTTGTTTGGTTGCAGAATATGAGAAGATCAAATCCTCTGGATCAGTTCTGATTGTTGGTGGAGGCCCGTCTGGTGTGGAGCTTGCTGCGGAGATCGCGGTTGATTTTCCGGAGAAGAAGGTCACGCTGGTGCACAAAGGACCAAGATTGCTTGAGTTTGTTGGGGCAAAAGCTGCTGACAAAGCATTTGACTGGTTAGAATCAAAGAAAGTGGAAGTGATACTGAACCAATCCGTGGATTTGAATTCAGCTTCAGACGGAAACAAAACTTATAGGACTTCAGGAGGAGAGACTATACACGCGGATTGCCATTTCCTCTGCGTCGGGAAGCCTCTGTCTTCTCAGTGGCTCAACGGAACGAATCTGAAAGATAGCTTGGATGGTAAAGGAAGGGTTATGGTCGATGAGCACTTGCGGATTAAGGATCGGAAGAATGTGTTCGCCATTGGAGATATCACCAATATCCCGGTAAGTGCATGATACCATCAAATTCCAGTTTTTTTTTTGTTGCATAGTTTCTTTGATTAGAAATGTGTTTTTTGAGTATATGATTTTTTGAATGGCACAGGAGATGAAGCAAGGATATATAGCGGAGAGTCATGCAAATGTGGTTGTGAAGAACATAAAGGTGATGATGTCGGGTGGGCAAAAGAAGAAGATGTCGACTTACAAGCCCGGACCAGAGATTGCAATTGTATCTTTGGGAAGAAAAGACTCGGTGGCTCAGTTTCCGTTTGTGACAGTCGTTGGTTGCCTCCCTGGTTTGATCAAGTCGAAGGATCTTTTCGTGGGGAAGACGAGGAAGGCAAGAGGGCTAAATCCTAAACTTGTTTAAGGTTGAGTCCTTTTGTGTGTTTTCGGGTTTCATCTTGAGAGAGAGATGCTTTTGTGCACAGACATGTGTTGTGTTGTGTTTGTGTCTGCTTATTATGTTGTTTGTTGATCTCATTGTTTCAGTGTGGAGTGAGTGTTGGTTTGCTTATGTTGTTTGTGTATCTGATCTGATGTTGTATAACAGTGTTATTATTTGAGTTCCAGTTTTCGCCTTTCACTTGCATTCCAAATTTTCTTCCTTAGAAAAACTAAACCGGAATAATGGATCTGCAAATTGAAACTAAGTTTGATCACGGTTAACTAAGTTTGGTTTACATTTTGAATAATCGAACCGGAATCTGAAACTACAGATCTTTTAATAAATTTTATACAGTAACACATCAAACCGCTGCATTGTGTATATTTGATTTGGCATTAGTTACCACTTTTTTCCTTCATAACCAAAGTCTTGAACCAAAAACGAACCGAAAACTCAAATTAAAAACCAGAAAACAAAACCATTTTAGCGTTAAGGTTGGATCGGAGATCTCCCGACGGAGCCATCACCGGCGACTTCAATCATCACTGTAAACCCCTACAGCTTTCCGTCGAAGAATCTAAATTATAAGGACCTAAGAGGCGTGAAAGGGGAACGTTTACCTCTAAGAAGTTTGTGCTTGTGATCGAGACTTTTGTGAGTCGAGTTTTGAAGATTGAGAAGATAACGATATGTCTCGTGCTTCAGAGAAGACTGATGAATCACTGAAATGTAAGTCGTTAGTCTGTGTTTAATTGATTAGGATTTGTAGTTGCATATGTAAGATCGCGGAACTCAGGAATTTCACCATTCTTCTTCTTCTTCTACTACTTTGGATTGCCCATTTATTACTGGAATTTCAGAATATAAATTTGGTGGTTTTGAATTTTCCAGGGACGAAGCTGATGGATTTCCGTTCTCTGCTCGTATCCTCCATGGTTTTGCGCGTGTTTTTGATTGTATATGGAGAATGGCAAGATGCTCACATGGAGGTCCGGTACACTGATGTTGATTACATAGTTTTCTCTGATGCTGCGTCGTTAATGGCATCCGGCGAATCTCCTTACAAGAGAACCACCTACCGTTATTCACCGTTGCTCGCGTTGCTTCTGATCCCCAATTCCATCATTCATCGGTCATGGGGAAAGTTTATCTTCTCTGCTTCTGGTACGGATCTTCTTATAGTTTATCTCACAGCCTTCTTTCGTTAATTATGTGTCACAACAGAAGAGAATCTGTAGAAAGTTTAACCTTTTAATTGTTTTGCTAATCACCAGCTTCAGTATACTGGTTTAGCAGAATCTGTTTGATGATTTACTCAATTGGTCGTTCTGAATCTGTATTTGCGTTTCAGATTTGCTGGTTGGTTTGTTTATCCGTATGATCTTGAAGCAACGTAAGGTGCCTGAGAAGATATGTACATATTCTGTAATGGTATGGCTTCTGAATCCGTTTACATTCACAATCGGAACCAGAGGGAATTGTGAACCCATCGTTTGTGCCATGATATTATGGATCATTATCTCCATAATGAAAGGTACACACATCTCTCAATTTTTTGCAGCTTTTTTATGCTTTGATTCCCTGAATTGAGCTCCATGTTATGTTACACCAATTCAATTCAAATATATGCCTCTTTCACATTACATGTAGACTAATAGCAAGACATTAAAAAAAAAAGTGGAAGAAAGATGCCATATGACACAACAGCAACAATATGTTTTGCTGTGTAGGTAATCTGTCACAAGCAGCATTCTGGTTCGGGCTTGTTGTGCATTTCAGGGTGTATCCTATTATCTATGCGTTACCAATCATCCTGGTTCTCGATTCTCGGATATTTAGATCTGGTGAAAAGCCGCTTCTTGAGAATTGGAATACAGAGAAGAACACATTCCACCTCAATCTCATGACCGGGTTGAAAAGTTTGTTTTCGAGGGAAAGAATCATGTTTGGTTTGATATCGGGAGGAGTGTTTCTTGCTTGCAATGCTGTTTCCTTCTATTTCTATGGGCACGAGTTCCTGCACGAGGCTCTCTTGTATCACCTCACTCGTACGGATCCAAGGCACAACTTCTCCATCTACTTCTATCACATATACCTTCACTACGAGCGCCAGTTTTCAGCTGTGGAGAAGCTCATCTCGTTTTTACCTCAGTTCACAGTACAGTTTGCTCTAGTCTTCTGCTTCTCGCAGGATCTAGTGTTCTGCATCTTTCTCCAAACCGTTGCATTCGTGGCTTTCAATAAGGTATATAATGCCATCACTCTGTTCGCATTTGTGTCCAAAAAAAGTATTCAATTGTTAATTGATATTATGTGTTATCGCTCCATTTGCTTCTAGGTGATAACCGCTCAGTACTTTGTGTGGTTCTATTGCCTGCTACCTCTGATTCTACCGTGGAGCCGTATGAAGCTGAAATGGGAAGGCTTGTTGTGCATCATTCTTTGGATTGGAGCTCAGACACATTGGCTCTTATGGGGATACATGCTCGAATTCAAGGGAGTTAATGTCTTTTTACAGCTATGGATGGCGAGTTTGGTGTTTCTGGCTGCAAACACTTTTGTCCTCGTCAAAATCATACAGCGCCATCGATTCTCTCCTTTGTTCAGACAGTATGAATCCTCTGATCCAAAGTGTGACTGATACTACTCCAAAAGATGTTTTGCTTTCTTTGTTTGTTGGGTCATTTCATATATTGGTTTTTTGTATATGATTCATGATCTGCAAATTTTGTTGGTGTAAGTTTATGTTTGATATGTCTTCAAAGATTTTCTTTAGGACTAGAGATGATACTAGTTAGTTAGCCGCAATTTTTAATTTAGTTTTAACCGCTGACAAAAATCAAAAATTCAATTCGAGTTTTACGAACCACATGAAAACGACGTCGTGAAAAAGAAAAGAAACGAACGACGATGGGTTCTGCAAACAAACCCTTAGCCGCAGATTCCCTCTCTGCGTTTTCTCCTCGTCTTGAATTGAATCAATAAGCGCTACTCTCTGGCTCTGCTCTTTTCTCCTCCGGCGACGTGATCTCTCTCTTTCTCTCTCTATTCTGAGGTACAAAGCTCTCTGTTCAGTGTCTCTGCTCTTAGCTTAAATGACTCTCTTGTCTCTGCTTTGTATTCTATGGTTTAGTCTTTATCCAATGGCAGCCGATTGGTGTAAAGATGAGGAACCAACAGGAACCAACTTCTCTTAGGAAAAATGCTGGAAATTTTACACTAATTTATATGATTTTCCAGGTAATTTTAGAAAATCATAAACGAAATTTTGCTATGGTTACTACATCTTCTTCAACTTCATATGTGAATTCTGTAGGGACCCTTATAGATTCTTAGTGTATTTATTTGTTTTGGAACCCTCTGATAATCTATCATATTCCATTAGAAAGAAGTAGCTGTTGGTGGGCTTAAAGTTTCTTGCTTGTTAGCTTATCTTTTTCTTCCCTCCTAATTCTGGAAATAGCTGACACTTTGTGGCTGATCGATTCTCAAGGGACTGTTTGGAGAACTTCAGAGATGATAGACAACGGAAAGGACCAACAAATTTGATGTTATATGACTCGGCAATGACATGCCTACTATCACTCTCTGATGCGACTTTAAACTGAAGCATTTTGGTGAGATTCGTCTGAAGTTATCAAGACCCGAATTGCATGTATGTTGAGGTATATAAATGGATGCACTTTAGATATTTCTCTACTGTCTTCTTGACGCGAAGGTTTATGTCTCTTTTGTTTTGATTTTAATTTTTGTTCAGACTGGTTCCGAGCTGCAAAGGTGGGCGCTTTACAGGAGTTTTGCAGCCTCTCGGAGCAGTTCTTAGAGAATATTCAGCACCTGCATATGCTTTGCAAGATCGTTGGAAAGATGGGAACGAAATCAAGTATGGTAAAGAGATTGATGTTCACATGCTTTTCAAAAATTGCACTAAGTTGCAGTCAGCCAAATGCCTCCACGCGCGTCTCATTGTGTCCAACGCATTCCAAAATGTATGCATCTCTGCTAAACTTGTTAACCTCTATTGTTACCTTGGGAGCCTTGTGCTGGCGAGGCATGCCTTTGATCATATCCAGAACAGAGATGTCTACGCTTGGAATGCGATGATTTCTGGTTATGTCCGTATGGGAAGTTCCTCTGAAGCTATCAGATGTTTTAGCCTCTTCATGCAGACTTCTGGACTGCAACCAGACTACCGCACTTTCCCTTCGGTCTTGAAAGCTTGTAGAAACCTGCTTGATGGGATGAAGATTCACTGCTCGGCTTTGAAGTCTGGATTTGTGTGGGACGTCTTTGTCGCTGCGTCATTGATCCATTTGTATTGCCGGTATGGACCTGTGGAGAATTCACGCAGGCTCTTTGATGAAATGCCCTTTCGAGACATGGGTTCTTGGAATGCAATGCTTTCTGGGTATTGTCAAAGCGGAAATGCCAAAGAGGCGTTATCACTATCCAAAGAGCTGAAAGTAATGGATGCAGTTACCATTGTGAGTCTCCTCGCGGCTTGCACAGAGGTGGGTGATTTCAATAGAGGAGCTATGATTCATGTGTACTCGATTAAACACGGGCTTGACTCTGAACTGTTTGTTTCCAACAAGCTGATTGATTTGTATGCTGAATCTGGTAACCTCAGGGGTTGCCAAAAGGTTTTCGACAGGATGGTTGTGAGGGATTTGATTTCATGGAATTCGATAATTAAGGCGTACGAGCTGAATGAGCAGCCGCTTAGAGCGCTTTCGCTGTTTGAAGAGATGCGGTTAAACAGAGTTCAACCAGATTGCCTTACTTTGATTAGTTTGGCTTCTGTACTTGCGCAGTTAGGGGACATTCGTGCTGCTAGATCCGTGCAGGGCTTCACGTTGAGGAAAGGCTGGTTCTTGGATGATATTACCGTCGGGAACACAGTTGTGGATATGTATGCAAAGCTAGGCCTTGTAGATTCAGCAAGAGCAGTGTTTAATTGGCTCCAGAGCAAAGATGTGATTTCGTGGAATACCATAATTTCTGGCTATGCTCAAAACGGTTTTGCTAGTGAAGCGATTGAAATGTATAACAAAATGGAGGAAGAAGTTGGAGAGATAACCGCTAACCAAGGGACTTGGGTGAGCGTTTTGCCCGCTTGTTCTCAGACTGGAGCGTTGCGTCAAGGTATGAAAATCCATGGCCGTCTCTTGAAGAACGGTCTTTCTTCCGATGTGTTTATCGGAACAAGCCTTGCTGATATGTATGGAAAATGCGGACGACTAGACGATGCACTCTCTTTGTTTTATCAAATCCCAAGAGTCAACTCTGTGCCGTGGAACACCTTGATAGCGTGTCACGGGCTTCACGGGCATGGGAAGAAAGCAGTGATGCTGTTTAGAGAGATGCTTGATGAAGGAGTGAAGCCAGATCACATCACATTCGTGACTCTGTTATCAGCTTGTAGCCATTCTGGTTTAGTAGACGAGGGTCAATGGTGCTTTGAGATGATGCAAACGGATTACGGCATAGCACCGAGCTTGAAACATTACGGTTGCATGGTAGATTTGTACGGTCGAGCTGGTCAGTTAGAAACCGCGTTTAGCTTTATCAAAAGCATGCCGATTCAGCCTGATGCATCTATTTGGGGAGCTCTTCTCAGCGCTTGTAGAGTCCATGGGAACGTCGATTTGGGCAAGGTCGCGTCTGAACATCTATTCGAGGTTGAACCAGAGCATATCGGGTATCACGTTTTGCTGTCAAACATGTATGCTAGTGCTGGAAAATGGGAAGGAGTTGATGAGATACGGTCGATTGCGAGAGGCAAAGGTTTAAGGAAGACGCCAGGTTGGAGCTCAATGGAAGTAAACAACAAAGTCGAAGTCTTTTACACGGGAAACCAAACGCATCCCATGTACGAAGAAATCTACAGCGAGTTAACGACGCTGCACGCGAAAATGAAGATGATTGGGTATGTACCGGACCATAGGTTTGTGCTGCAGGATGTTGAAGACGATGAGAAAGAGCACATCCTTATGAGCCATAGTGAGAGACTGGCTATTGCGTATGGAGTTATTGCCACTCCTCCAAAGACAACGATTCAGATCTTTAAGAATCTGAGGGTATGCAGCGATTGCCATAGCGTTACCAAGTTCATATCGAGAATCACTGAGAGAGAGATCATTGTGAGGGATTCAAACCGGTTTCATCATTTCAAGGATGGAGTCTGCTCTTGCGGTGATTACTGGTGATTTTAAACCGAATGAGACAGTATTCAAACCGGTTCCAGTCAGTTTTGAACTCGGTTTTTGAAGCGGTTTATCTGGGTGGGGAAAAGATCCCAACTTTGCCGCTAGGTGATAACCGCTCAGTACCTCTGATTCCACCATGGAGCCGTATGAAGCTGAAATGGGAAGACTTGTTTATGGATCACCCTTTGGATTGGAGCTCAGAAACATTGGCTCTTATGGGGGATACATGCTCGAATTCAAGGGGGTTAATGTCTTTTTACAGCTGTGGATGGCGAGTTTGGTGTTTCTGGCAGCAAACACTTCTGTCCTCGTCGAAATCATACATCGCCATCGATTCTCTCCTCTGTTCAAACAGTATGAATCCTCTAATCCGAAAGATGTTTCCTTTCTTAGACCTTCGATTTGTGGTTTTTGCATATGGTTCATGATCTGCAAATTTTGTTGGTGTATGTTTTGGTAAGGATTTTGTAGGCATTTTAAATGGCGATTAATTTACCCGAATATGAAACATTTGGTTGAGCTAGCTTGTCCATAGTTTCGTTGTGCAATATAGACTTGCAAAGAGGTCTCTTATAATAATTTTTTTGTTGGAATCAGCAGCTAATAAAAGTACTGTATATAACTAAACTACTAATTTGTTTCAATCATAAGCTCTTTGGAAAATATAATTTCATGATCCCAAATATTTACCTAAATTATTCACAGATTAATTCGGACAACTTTCAGTTGAGCTGAGTTGAGCTTGAGTAATGCAGTTTCGTTTTAACTATATTTTCTTCGAAAACAGTAATTTCAAACTGATTTCGATGATATAAATACGAAACGCAGAATCTTCGCCTTTTTGGTGCGTGTGGCTGCGTGTGAAAATTCTCTGAAAGCATTCCGACTCGCAGAGACCTAAACAATGGAGAACAAACGGGCAAACGAAGATGATGAAATCGTGGAACAAGCAAGGCTTAGTGAACCAAATTGGAGCGAGCGAGTGGAGGATCTCGTCGCAGACGGAGACGTCACGGCGGCGATCTCTTTTCTCGAGTCTTTGGTGACCAATCTTCACTCGCGGTTCGGTTTTTCTTCCTCCTCCGGCGATACTCAAGGCGGCAATAGAACGGAGTTTGGGCTTCAGTTAGCAGCCGCTCTCACCCAATTGGCCGATCTCTACTCTTCTCAGGGACTCTCCCTCAAATCCGATGAGCTTCGCACTCGTTCTTCCCTCATCAAGCAACGAGCGCTGGATTTAGATCTTGCCTCATCAAGGTAACCACTGCCTTTTGGTTGAAACGTGATACTGAAATTGTAAGCCATAACTTCATCGATCTTAGGGTTCATACGCGACTTGTGATTGCAGAGATTCCGGCGATGCAGAGAATCAAGCTGCTCCGCACATTATTGATTCCAATGGCGTCAACTCTGACCAAAAGGTCTCTCCTTCTGAAGGTTGTTCATATGTTCCCCCCTTCTTTTCTATCTGATTTCAACCCATTTTTTAGACAGTTATTGATCGAATTTCATGGATTTGTAAAGGGAAAATCCCAACGGAGAATTCCACAGAAGCCTCTAGCAACAATGCCGCTGCTCATGATTCTTCAGATGATGGTATGTTTCATAAACAGCCATACGTTTGTTGTGAGCTTGATGATTCAGTAACCTGATGTATCAGATTGTTCAATATCATGGGATCATGTGAATGCCTATGTTTACATGACCTTATATTGCAGATTGGGAAGCACTCGCAGATCGTGAGCCGAGTAAATTATTCTCTGTAGAAGAGTTGCCTGAAATATCAAAGCTTTCGGTTGAAGAACCTAAAGTTGAAGGACCTAAGAGGCGTGGAAGGGGAACGTTTACATATAAGAAGGATGCGATGTACAGTGATGGAGACTACTGTGAGTCGAGGTTTGAAGATTCAGAAGATAACGATATCTCTCGTGGTTCAGAGAAGACTGATGAATCACTGAAATGTGAGTCGTTACTCTCGATGTTTCCAACTCTGTTTTTGGATTGTTGTATCTGTAACGAGCAGGATTAGTCTGGTGGATTGATTTGGTTAGAATTTCTATGCTGCATGTTCTAAGCACAACACCTGAATTTCTTTTGGCTATAAATGCAGCCAAGTATGGCACACGACATGTCCTCGTACTTGCTGGATTTTCTCCAAGTTTGAGGACTACTGATTTGGAGAAGCTTTTTGAGGACTTCAAATACAGTGGAATTGTCATTCGTTGGGTCAATGATACAACAGCACTTGCAGTCTTCAAAACCCCTTCAATTGGTATGTGTATGTAATTTGATTTTCGTTATATACACGAATAAAAATTTGGGTTTAAACCTGCTAAAGCATTGAAAATTTATAGCTTAGTTCATTCGGCTTAGTATCTTGGCGGTTAAAGCTCATATGTAAAGTTTTGCCTTTGTTGCTAACTGAGTTTACAAATCATATTAGAGATTATCATAATACGCTAACTCTGCTGTGGTTTTTGATCATTTATACAGCTCTAGAGGCTTGCAAAAGTGTTCAATGTTCATTCACCATACGTGTTCTCGATGATCATGATTCTCTTTTGGGCTCTATTTCGGGAAAAGGTAATCTACTCTTCGTTTATCTTTCATGGTTCTGCAGAATTATTCCCTGTTCTAACCCGAATTAAGCTTCCCGACCAAAACTCATTCTAGTTCATAACTTGTATATGTCATCAAGTAACGAGCTTTAGCACATCACTCTTCATTAATCCGCTTGGTCAAGCTGACTTATTAATGAAACAAGCAAAACACATAGATCGGGTAAAATGTAGTTACTTTCTTATGCGTGACCATGTTTTATGTTCAATCTACTTCAGATTTGGAACCGCCGTCTCAAAGACCAAAGACATCAGCGAGAACAGCGCAACGGTTAATTGCTCACAGCATGGGATTGAAACTCCCGGCTTCTGGATTCGGGTCTAAAGAGCTACGAGACCAAGAAGCTGCCCGGAAAAACCGGATTGTCTCCAGACAGAAACAACGGGACGATGCTTGGGGAGATGACTGACTTTGACAGTGCCTTAGGGTCTGGTTATCCGATGCTTATTGTTGTATACACATGACAGCCTCAATCCACTTTATGTGATCATTTTTTGTGTGTTTGTTTGTGGTGTTTTGTGTTAAAACTAAAAATCCTTCTGAAAGTGGTTAACCTGAAATGAAAATCATTTTACTCCAGGTCGAAATTGCATAAACATTTAATGTAAAAAAAATTGCTATTACAGTTAGGTGAAGATTACACATCCATTTAAGGTTTTTTAATTATAGAAAATCATTTTTCCCTGACAAAACTGTAAAGCTGGTTGTGTAAACAAACACGACAACCAGTGAGAAATCAAGACATCTTTCTGAAGAGGTCTCCCCTGCCAATTCCAGTGCAAATGAGAGCGACGGTTCCCGTCTCTTGATCAGGTTTCAACGCAAAAGTAACTCCCAAAAACTCCTTTATGTTCCTCAACGTCTCCACTGCATAAGGAGATAACGTTCCCACTCGAACCTTTGACACGTCATTGTCACATAACGCACATAGTAGAAACAACAATCCCTGTAAAAGTCCAGAGAATCAAGATTTACACACTTAAAAAACAGTCTTTCGCTTTCAAAAAAATGATCGATTTTTGGTGTTTGTGGTAAATCATTACAGACGTACCTGGTGTGTTGAATCAACAACTCCGCCTTTTTCAATCTCCTGAAGAAGCCATGAAGCTGTTTCAGCACCCGTGTCTTCTGCTGGGTTTCTCTTTTCCTTCTCTACATCGAGCTCTCCTGTTTCGTCTGTCCTTCCCCAAGACACTGCTGTGTCTGCAGAGATGAAACAACCTGAAGTTGTTTCTGCTACCAATGAAATTCCGTATCCTGGTGATCTGCAATCAATCGTTTTTCAAAAAATTTAGGCTCTTATCAATCAAGTATCTCTCTCCAAAACCTGTTCTGTTTTTTTATTTATTTATTCTATTTCTGTGTAAAGTTGAAATCTTCTTACTTTCCAGCCGGAGGGCCATATCTATGGTCCTCGGAAATGTGAACATCAGGCAAGAGATTGTTGAAGATTCCACGAGCAGCGTATCTCATGGAATGTTCAAAGTCAGTAGAAACTTTTGCAGAGAAAGTCACACCTCGTATCCTCGTCACCATGCCTTCATCTTCCCAATGGACCGCCTAAAGCAGCGGCGATATAACAACAGGTAAGACATCCTGATGAAGCTTGCAGTGAGGAAGAAAAGAAAAAAAAAAGAAAATGAAGAAGTACGTACAGTGAGTCTCTGAGCATTTGGAATTGTCAAGAGAACTTCTCCACCTCCGTCGGGAGCTACTCCACGGGCTTCGATTTTAAGCTCCAAACCTTCTGCAGGGACTCCAAAACGCTTTAAGATATGTAGAGTAGTGGAACGGAATGTGTCAACGCTCGGGTCCTTTGGATCATTTGTAATCCCTGCAAAAGTAAATACTTAGTTTCAAAGCTGTAACCTTTTTCTTTCTCAAATTTACTGCACAGAAAGCTGGATTATGGAATCATGCCTACAACCAGAGATTCATTTGGTTGAACCAACATTGAAATTGCAGATGACAAAGCAAGCATGATCAGAAGTCGAAAACTACTTTACCTCTAAGCCTAATCGAAAGGGGCTTCTTTCCAAATATTCCTAACACAATCAATGGCTCCAGATAATAGCCAATGGATCGACTCAGGGCACAGTTATGAACCAAGTTCTTCCCTCCCATTATGGTTCCAGGCTTGTACTTCAATTGAGTCCCTGCCAGACAGATATTGCAACATGTTTAAACCACTGAACAATTCGGATAGAATATATATAACATATCCTTCAAAACTCAAAATGAATGATACAAAACTTTGTCTTCGACACTTGCAAAATCTAGACTCCAACCATAGCTTGAGCTCAATAGCGCAAGGTAAGTAACTTAAATACTGAAATTATATGACTTAAGTCTTAAAATGGGTCAATTTGAAGTCACGAACCCTAAATCTCGAAGCTAGGATTGAAGTTACCTGCCCAGTGAAAATTCAACTTCCGAAGAAGAAATCAAAAACAATCAAATCGGTCAAATCGGTCAAACGTACTTACCGGTCTCGTTAACCTCAATGATGCTGTCATCGGAGACAGCGTCGAAGAGGCGGATGAGAGACATCTCGTGAGGGCGGAGGCCAGGAATCATGTCGTCGGCGCGAATCTCATCAATGATGATAGGCTTCAATGAAAGGGCCGATAGAAGCAACCTCTGCCTCAAGCTCTTGCTTCCCTTCACCCGCTTGAACGCTATCTTCCCCATTCTTCTCTCTCTCTCTCTCTCTCTCTCTCTCTCTCTCTCTGATTTCGGTCTGTCTCCTTCTCCGACTTTTTCTCTTTTTTGGGTTTGTTGAACTCCAACTTTTTCTTAAACCCTAAATCCTAGTGATTTTTCACCAGCTTTTTCTTTCGGTTTCAAATTTTGGGCTTCTATTCCAGGCCTTTTAAGAAAGCCTTCAGGCCCTTTAGGAGTTCTATTTTCTCTTTTCTTTCCAACTTAAAAAATTATGCATATTATTGACATTAAAGGTTTATTTCTACTTTATAACACAGTCTAACTCTTATAACACATTAACAAATACTTGTAACAACCAATCTGTTTTTTTCTTCTTTTAACAATCACTATACCCATTTTTCCTATCAATTCTTTGTATTAAATCAGATAATGAAACTTAACAAAAAAAAGGGTCCAACCATCCACATATTAAATTAACTACCCTGTTGTTAAAAAAAAAATATATATATATATATATAAATAAATTAACTAACCTCGTATTAAGAAATTTTGTTAAGATATACTTCCTATAACAGTGCCCCAATCCCATATAGATTTCATACGTAAAAAATGAGATTTGTGGACTTCTCCAAATTATTAACCAAGAAATAGCATCATCATCCATTGGCCAGTTTATAAGATTTGGTTATAATCACGAAATTATTATTTTTTGTCGATTTTATAGCTCCAAAAAGTATTCACCAATCACATTTCGACAGTTAGATTAACACTACAGTGCAAACAGAAGAAACTATTGAGAGAGAGGACTTTTGGTCGGTTGAAAAATGTGAGAAAAGTTGAAAAAGAAAAGAAATACAGTATGTGATAAATATATATATATATATATATATAATCCCTTATAATTAAGAAACTTAGCTTTATAGTAGTGGTCGCTGGAAATATTGTGACTTGGTAATTACTATTTCCACGCTGAAAATATTGAGATCTATTTATGTGCAGTATCATCAAATTCAGTGTCGCTATAACATACCAAAATCCTAATTGTATGAACATACCATTACATTTTTACCCATTTTTTTTATTTCATTCTAACTTTTTCTCTATTCATTCACCATTCAGGATTCACGTGAACATTTCTAAATAGAAGCGTAAATAATATTAATCACGGCTTGAATGTCTATGATTTGAACGGAATCAAAGTTGGGTCATCTCATTGTTAAAAAAGGTGCTTACAAACATACAATTGGTTTAAAAAAAAAATTAAAAAAAAAAACAAAAACAAGAAAACATCAGTGTGACCGATCACCAAACACCAATAAAAGCGATGTCTTGTCAACAAGATATCAAAAGAGATTACAACCATCTTAATTAATTGCAATTAAACCCTCAATAAATTGTACGGACAATCAGATCTAAAACGCAACGTTTTGTCCGTACTCTTAACTCTGCGTCACTCTTCATTCTCCTCCAGTCTTGCTTCCCACTTTCATTTTGCATAAACAAAATTAAAGAAAATAGTAAAACTCATGCAATCAGCTAACAACCGATTATGTAGTTAATCCGGCAAATAACGAGAACCCAACTGAACCATACTTGAATATTATTTTTAAACTTTAATTCTGAATAAACGTACATTATATAGAAAAGCTGATGCGGAACTACTTGCTTGTTGCTACTTGCGTTGTGTGTGGTAAGGTGTATATTTGATCCTTGCTTCTTTATTCTCAAAATTTTTTAAAAATTGAATTAGAAATAAGTTGTATATAAATTATAACAATGAAAACTGCTTTTTCATCTTTTGGTGTATGCCTAGTCTCATGGATCGGTGCCTTCTGAATCCTTATTTGTTGTCGGCCACCTTTATACTTCTTATCCTATTGGTTTCACTGCGCAGCATCTTACTAACCAATATTCGTACACAATGAAATCAAATACATGTAAACTATAACTAATTTATGTTTTTTTTAGCACACAACCAAAAAAAAACTAGTTCATGCTTTTGGCTTTAGAGCTAAGACGGTAAGACCACACTATACTACCAAACATTTTTCATATAAAATGCTAGCTAGCCGCGTAAAAAATGACAATAATATGAAAGAAAATCGATATTTTACAACTCTTGAGATAAATCGTGCAAGATATACATATATATATATACACTTATGTAGTAAAGTTAATTCTCAATACAATCCAATCCATAACACGTGACATACAAAAATGGCAATTGACTTGGGATCCACAAGACTCACGTGGGAATATGTCATAAACATTACCGTACGAATTTGCATGAGATCATATCCTTGTTTTAATTGGATGGTTGAGAGAAATGTTAAAGTGATAATATCATCTCTTTAATTTTAATTTCTTCACAAAGAGATAATAAAGAATATTATGAAAAAGATGAAATTCCTTCAGGTTGTGCACCATTTAGCATTTCTTTTCTTTTTTGGTCTAACATTTAGCATTTATTTGTGGCTACGTACGTTGCGTTCGATCGGTCCTTTCACTTCACTTCCAAATTCCAATTATTCCTCCGATTAATCAAAATCAACATGAGCCGTTGATCTCACCAACGATGGCTCAATGGGATTAGACCACCATAATGGTTCATATAACTTTTGATATTTACGTTAGTTTATTAATAAGAGGTTTTTTCCTCTATACCCAAATGCATTATTATAGGTTGCTTAAAAAATATGAAATGCTTTTATAAATTTACAACCATGTATTACAAAGTTACAAGGGTGATTAATTAATTGATTTTTGTACTACACTAACCTAGACGTGTTTGGTCATTTCCCTTGGTACAGGTGGCATCCTATAATTTGTCAAATTTGCTACGTTGAAATGGACAACACAAACTGGAAAAATTCCATCCAAAAGAAGAAAAATTCTCCCCAATCTTCTTTGCTTTAAATTTCCCACCTTTGTATTCTGTTTTTCTTTTGTAGTACAAATAAATAATTAGTCAAATAAAAGGAAAAATGTGTTTTTTAATGTTAACTTTTGTTTCATTTCTCTCTTTTTTCTCTCTTTGTTTCTCTGCCACCGGATATAGCATCCACTCCACTTATAAAGAAAGAAAATCCCCCTCGGTTAGAGTTTGTTATCTAAAATAACTGTGTGGTAAGAAATTAAGATGCACAAATGACCTGGAAAATAACATAAAACTCTACATTTGCTTGGGACACTTTAAAAAAAAAGAATGTTTTCAAATTAGAGTTATATAACTTGTAGGTGAGTGACCTATCATTTCATTTCTCTAGTATTAACTTGAAGAAAGAACGCAAAAACTTGAACAGTGTTATGGAAACTTGCAAAAGACGTCTTATAAATACAAAATTTACAAGGCTAATTACAAATATGGTTTAGGCGTTTAGTTTTGATTTATAAAATTTAAGATTTTAATCTAACACTAAAATATTCTGACACCTTACAAATATGGTTTAGGCGTTTAGTTCATCTGTGAGCGAAATATTAGATCAGTACAATATCTCACTTTTTGGAGTCCTCCCTATATAGAGTTTAATGTATGTGTATTTTTCTAAAAATTATTTATGACTGATGAATATAACTATAACCCACGGTTAAACAAAAAACGAAAATGCTATGAACTAAGAAAATAAAATGTATTGAAAATATTTAGTGTAATTAGTGGGGGGACTAGGTAGCTTTATTCGGGAAAGGGGTCGTAGACTACTGTTGACCATCGTAAAGGTCATGGACTGACGGTGCTCATATAGCTTAATGAATATATATATATACTGTAATTAGATCACTTCGAATACATTTCCTCTGAAATATATATTTATTTTCAACTCATCTCTATTTTTACTTGTAAAATAGAGATTGCTATTTTTTTTCTTCAAATGTAATAAAAAATTAGCAGTCTGTGTTTTATAAATTAAAATAGAGGTGGGTTAGAAAACATATTACTCTAAACAATAAGAAAAATAAAAATATGTTGGAAATGCTTTTATAACTGAAACAATAGTGTACTTTTATTTATAACAGAATTGTGTTGTTATATTTTTAAAAAGAAAAATATATACTCAAATTAAATGTCCTCGTTCATGAAGAATAGTACTGTGTGGTTAAATATCCAATAATAATATCTATAAAATTGTAAACAATTTGACAAAGAAAGTATATAGCATAGAAGTAATGAGTTATAATTAAAATATATAATGGAAGTATATATGCTATTTTAAGATATTAGTATTAATGTAGGTTTATAATTAAATGATATATTTATAATTAAAAATAATAATACCCGCGGCCGTCCGAATATATTAAGGTGTCTATATTCCCTTCTTTAGAAAACCATTTTTAAATTAACGTAAAGTTGGAACTTCATGTTTCATTGGTCTCCACTTGTTCTGGAATTTTATCTTGGCCTATGGCCTAACCTCCCTATTTGTTTATATAGTTTCATAGGCCACACTTTAGTGTCACGAACCCATTGTTGACAATATTTCTTTAAGAAAAAAACAATACCCTAATTAAGTAGTATACTATATTTGGTTTCATATAGATTTTCATGTCAACAAAAGAAAAAGAAAAATAGCCGTAAAAAAAAAGAATTTGATTTAATTTTTCCTCCTGATTAAAACTTGCAGTCAGAAGATTATTTAATTTTGAACTACTTAAGAGACGGTGGATATTTCTTGAATTTATTAGACAAGGGAATCCCAAGTAATAAATATTTTCAAGAATACTGTTGACTAGAATAAAGAGAATTGATAATTTAATAGTACATACAGACGAATTGTTATTTTTACACTAAAGTGTTTTCATTTTTAATGTCCTAACACAAGAGTCAACTAGCACTACGAATCGATCCATATGGCTGGAAATGAGTAAATCGCATTACAAACAGTACATAAGCGGCGTTTAATAAATAAGTGAGCTGTACTAAAATAATGTGCGTAATTTTAATATATTTTTATTTGATTCCTTTTTGGTTAAAACTCCTAGTCATGCAAAACGAGAAAAGTGTGCCTATGCGTCAATATCCATTTTCTCAG